AGGATCTCCATTTAGACTCATAGCGGACTTCTCATCAGAAAACCTACATTCTAGGAGAGAATGGGGAGATATATTTCAAGTCTTAAGAGGAAAAAAAAACTGTCAACCCAAGAAAGACCTTCTATAACAAACAGAAATTTTAAAAAAATTATCACCACTTGTCCAGCCCTACAAATGATGCTTAAGGATGTGCTACACACAGAAACACAGGAAGAAATCTGTCATCATGAAAGAATGTGAAGACAGAACCCACCCCCAGTAAAAGTACAAAAGAAGTCCAAAATAAATGATAGGAACATTCGTGGAAAAATGGCAGGACCAAGTGGTTACTTATCAATAGTTACCCTGAATGTTAATGGTCTCAACTCTCCAGTTAAAAGATATAGACTGGCTGAATGGATTGAAAACCAAGATACATCTATTCGCTGCCTACAAGAAAGACCAACAATGATATACATAGACTGATAGTGAAAGGATAGAAAAAGATACTGCAACTAACAGGGAAAAATTAAAGGTCAGGTGTAGCCATCCTAATATCAGACAAAATAGATGTTAACACAAAAACTGTTAAAAGAGAAAAAAGGACATGATATATGATTAAGGGATCAATACAACAGGAAGACATGGCAATAATAAATGTATATGCACCAAACTACAAGGCACCTGGCTACCTAAAAGAACTATTAATGGATCTAAAGGGAGACATAGACTCCAATACAATAGTAACAGGGCACTTCAACTCCCCCACTTTCATCACTGGATAGATCAACCAGACAGAAAATCAACAAAGAAACAACTGAGTTAATTGATACTATGAACTAAATGGACCTAACGAATATGTACAGAAGTTTTCACCCCACAGTAGCAGAAAAAACATTCTTCTCAGCAGTGCACAGAACTTTCACTAAGATAGACCATATACTGGGACAGAAAGCAAGTCTCAGCAAATTCAAAAAAAATCAAAATCACTCAGCAAAGTGAAGAGGTAGCTGACAGAATGGGAGAAAATATTTGCAAACTATGAAACCTGACAAAGGATTAATTTCCAGAATCTATTAAGAGCTCAAGAAACTAAACAACCACAAAAAAAACAACTTAGTCAAAAAGTGGGCAAAGGTCCTGAACAGACATTTTTCAAAAGAGGACATTCAAATGGGCTATAGACACATGAAAAAATGCTCAGGATCGCTAGCCATCAGGAAATGCAAATCAAAACCGCAATGAGGATTCACCTCACCCCCATTAGAGGGGCTCTCATACAGAAATCAACAAACAACAAATGCTGGTGAGGATGTGGGAGAAGGTTCCTTAATTTACTGTAGGCGGGAATGTAAACTGGTACAGCCACTGTGTGTAAGACAATATGGAGATTGCTCAAAAAGCTGAGTATGTACCTACCATATGATCCAGCCATCCCACGCCTGGGAATTTATCCAAAGGAAATTAAATCACCATATGAAAGAGTGATCTGTACAACATGTTTGTCTCAGCTCAATTTACAATGGCTAAGATTTAGAATTAACCCAGATGTCCTTCAACTGAGAGCCAGATAAAGAAATTATGGTATATATACACTATGGAATACTACACAGCAGTAGAAAAAAATGAAATACTTTCATTTACAAGAAAATGGGTGCAACTGGAAACCATTATACTTCATGAAATAAGACAGACACAAAAACATAAATACCAGATGGTCTCTCTGATCCATAGTAACAGAGTACCTCAAATGTAATCTATGCAGACACTTTGAATGCATTGATTTTGAACAGCCTGTGCTTTGACTGTTGAGGAATATTTTTTTAGTTTGTTTTTTTCTTTTTTCTTCATAATAATCAATGAACTCTCTACTTAGTGTAGAGTTAATTTTATGAGTATAAAAATTATCTGAAAAATTGATCTCTGTAAAAAATAAGATTGGGAAAGGAAGAGGGAGGAAAAAGAAGAGAAGAAGTATGAATGGGAGGGGGGAAATCATCATGTTCCCAAATCTGTATATATTAAATACATAAGGATGTATTCCTTAAATAATTCAAAAAAGTGGAATTTTATTATAGATGCTAGAAATGCTGTAGGAAGATTTTATGCAAGGTAAATTATATAATCTAATTCTTTAATAGATTTCTCAAGGTGGGCATTTGGCCTGGCCATTGAGATGCCTGCGTCCTCTATCAGAGTGGCTAGATTCAAATCCTAGCTCGGCTCCCAACTTCAGCTTTCTGCTCCTGTGCACCCTGAGGGGCAACAGCGATGGCTCAAGTAGTTGGGTCTCTGCCTCCCTTGTGTGAGACCTGGATTGAGTTCCTGGCTCCTGACGTTGGCCTGGCCCAATCCTGGACATTGTGGATGCTTAGGAAGTGAACCAGTGTCTGCAAACTCTGTTCTGTCTGCCTCTCGAATAAATAAGCAATTTTTTTCATGCAAGAGATTTCTCTTTCAACACATGTACATATTCCACGTACATGAACTATCCAGAGAAGGGAAATCTGTAGATTGAAAGGAGACGCATGGTTTTGTCTAGCAGGGTTGGGAAAAGATACGGATTAGCTGGGAAAGAGCAGGAGAAATCTTAGTGCAGCAAGGAAATACTCAAACTAGAATGTGGTGACTGCTGGATTTACCAAAAGCCATTGAACCATATTCTTAAAATGGGTGAATTGAATAATATGTCCATTATGCCTCAACTAGGTTGTTGTTTGAAAGTTCACTATGGCTGATGTAATGGAAAATAAATCAGGGAAACAAGATGGTAGCAAGGTGTCCAGGTGCAGTACACTTGGGACTGGGTCATTAGCAAAGGACAGAGGTCTATTGTGGCTCATGACTTTGCAGTCTGTGAAGCCCAAGAGCATGGCACTAGCATCTGCTTGGCTTCAGTTGAGAGCCTTGTGCTGCTTCAACTTAAGGTGGGAAGTGGCAGGGCAAACAGGTAGGAAGAGATAAAGCATGATGGCAGCCCTGCTTTGTAACAACCCGCACTTGCAGTACCTACCCCAGTCCTGCAAGAGTGAGAACTCTTTTAAGAAAGACACTAATCCTTCTTTTAAAAAAAAAAAGATTTATTATATTCATTTGAAAGAAAGAGTTACAGAGAGAGGTAGAGACAGAGAGAGAGAGGTCTTCTATCCGCTGGTTCACTCCCCAGATGGCCACAATGGTCAGAGCTGTGCCGATCTGAAGCCAGGAGCTTCCTCCGGGTCTCCCACATGGGTGCAGGGGACCAAGGACTTGAGCCATCTTCCACTGCTATCCCAGGCCGTAGCAGAGAGCTGGATCAGAAGAGGAGCAGCTGGGACTAGAACCAGCGTCCATATGGGATGCTGGCACTTCAGGCCAGGGCTTTAACCCACTGCGCCACAGGGCTGGCCCCTGACACTAATCCTTCCTGATGATCTAATTACCTCCTGCAGGTCTCATCACCTCCCAACAACTAAATTTCAACATGAGTTTTGGAGATTGCAAACTGTGTTCAAACAATAGCACTAGTGACAAGTTGGCAGGCAACTCCTATAGCCAAGATAAGCAGCTTGAATGTGGTGCCTAAAAGTATAAAGAATCTAGCTATATAAGTTCCTAAACACAAGGAGGTGGCAAATTTTCCCCATAAAGAGACAGTAACAATTTTAGGCTTTGTTTATCATACAATACCTATCACAAATGCTCCACTGTGCTGGTCTAGACAAAATGCTACCATCTGTGATACATAAAGGAGTATAGCAATGTTCCAATAAAACTTCATTAAAGGACACTGAAGTCTAAGGACATACAGTTTTAGCATATCCCAAAATAATCTTTATGAATTTTTTCAAGCATTTAAAAATGTAAGACCAGACCAGCGCTGTGATGTAGTCAGCTAAGCCTCCGCCTGCAGCTCCTGCATCCCATATGGGTGTCAGTTCGTGTCCTAGCTGCTCCTCTTCCAATGCAGCTCTCTGCTTATGTCCTGGGAAAGTAGTGGAAGATGACCCAACTGATTAGGCCCCTGCACCTGCATGGGAGACCTGGAAGAAACTCCTGGCTCCTAGCTTTGGATCAGCCAAGCCCCAGCCATTGCGGCCATCTGGGAAGTGAACCAGCAGATGAAAGACCTTTCTTTCTGTGTCTCCCTCTCTCTGTCTGTAACTCTGCCTCTCAAATAAATAAAATCTTTAAAAATTAGAAAACAGAATAAAAATATAGGGCCATTCTGAGCTCATAGGCTATATAAACGCAGGCAGTGGGGTTTGCCTTTCCTGCTCTAGGCACCTGACAAAATGGACCAGCCTTCTCTTTAAAAGATTTCTACTGGTCTGTATGCCAGATGGTGCTTGGCCCACAGACCTGTACGACAGGAAGGAGACATCATCACCAGGTGCCTCCTATTCTGCTCCTTGAATACGTGTAATTATCATCAGGAAGGTTTCCCACCCTTTGCTGAATCGATGGATTGTCATTCCACTCACGGATTCTATTCAGCTTATCACACAAGCATTTTTTCCTCCAATAGAGTTGATCCTCTTACACCGCCCAGAGTTTTGGGTAGGATTATTATTCCCTTTTTTTTTTTCTTCAGGAGGATTTAAAGCAAAGTTGTCAAACCTTCCCCCACTCCTATCTTTCACTAAGAGCTCATATAAACCCCACAGCTCTGACCTAGCTGTTAATCTTTCTGGCTGTGTAAGTTCTTTGAAGTCATTTATCCTGCTCAGGAGACAGGTAAGCTGTATACTGTAGATATTTTAAGACCCCTTTGGTTCCCCTTCTTCCCCAAAGCATGAGGCCAGCTAAGGAATGCGCCTGCTATAATTCCCAGCTCTGGGCTCCTGCATGCTGAATGATATGAGAGCAATTTCTATCATCCAGTATCTACACTGTGCTTAGCTAAGACTCCATCTCTTGATCACAGTCTATTGCTTTCCATTCTGCCCCTTAAACTATTGATTAGGATTTTTTTTTTGACAGGCAGAGTGGACAGTGAGAGAGAGAGAGAGACAGAGAGAAAGGTCTTCCTTTGCCGTTGGTTCACCCTCCAGTGGCCGCCGCGGCCGGCACGCTGCGGCCGGCGCGCTGCGGCCGGCGCGCCACACTGATCCGATGGCAGGAGCCAGGAGCCAGGTGCTTATCCTGGTCTCCCATGGGGTGCAGGGCCCAAGCACTTGGGCCCTCCTCCACTGCACTCCCTGGCCACAGCAGAGAGCTGGCCTGGAAGAGGGGCAACCGGGACAGAATCCGGCGCCCCGACCGGGACTAGAACCCGGTATGCCGGCGCCGCTAGGCGGAGGATTAGCCTAGTGAGCCTCGGCGCCGGCCTGATTAAGATCTTAATGTAATCATCAGCTGAGAGGATGGCTTATCCTCATATCTGTGATAAAGGAAACGTGGTCTTCAATAGAAAGAATTGGAATGAGCAAAAAGAATGCCCTTAAAGATGGCTGGCCTCAAGGGAACAGCTCCAAGTTGTACTTTCTTGCTCCTCATGAAAGGCCACATATACAAAGGTGGTCCCAAAAGATTATACAGCTCAGTGATGCCACAGCTGTTGTAGTTTGTGTAAATACAGTCTGTGATATCTATGCAATGACAAACTCGCCCAACAGTGCATTTCTCAGAATGTGTCCCTGTCATTAAATGACACACAACTGGGTTTTCTTAATCAGTGGCCAACCAACTGTGAATTTTGATGGCAAATATAAAGGTTCCAATCCTGATTGACCTGCCTGCATTCTCTTGTGTCACTTGCACATCCAAGCCTCAGTTTCTTCAAATTGTAAAATTAGAACCTAATGAGAAGTCTTACTTTGATGACCAATGAGTTACCATATGCAAACTCCTTACAGATTAGATAGTTCAACAAATATTAGCCTTCACCACTCTTTCATTAGATATTTAGCTTAAAGGCAGACCCTGAACCTTTGGTGTTGTCTCATAGACTCTGGAGACAACAACCTGATTTTAAAGTTCAAGATTGTCCTCATCACCTAATGCCATTGAACCAGTCCCCAAGCCTTGGGTCCCTCCTCATGAAGAGGGAGCTGGGACTAACAGGGAAGATGGCTGAGTAAATGGACCATCATAATGTGTTAAGAACATCTAGCACTGGCCTAAATCAAGTGTTACTTTGGGCTGGTTCTCATCTCCCTACTGTCTGCTGATTCGGTATCTGATTGTCTTGTTTGCTTCATGGTATGCTGAGAAAGGCAGGCTTGTCAGGTTAAACTAATCTGGGTTGATCTGTGATCCTTGTGATACACAGATAAAGTAATACAAGGCCTAATGGAGACTCCAGAGATTTTGCACACGTCCAGATCCAGGATACAATGTGGACTTGCTGTGAATTAATTCACAAGGGTCTTGTTGAGATTCCTTGCTCATCGACTACACAAAAGTTCTCAGTCCTTCTCCCAGGATTGTTACTTGGATTTCTAACCCCTCCTGTCCTCCAAAATGCTTTGAAATAACCAATTTTGTTTGTTTTCAACATCCAGTCCTTTGGTGTTCCCCTGGGATGGTATGTTGAGGCAGAATAAGATTTTGGAAAAAGTGTATGAGAGATGGTCCAAGTTTTATTTCTCCCATGGAATGGCCATGGGCTCATGAGAGGGATGCGGCTCCTTCTCTGATCCCCAGGTCTTTCTCTGTGTAATAGCAATAGCAGTGTCTCTCTCATAGGATGACTGCAAACTAGCAGAAATTCTTTCCCAAAGTGGAGGCTCAATAAATTACACTATCAAGGAGGGAACATTTTTTCGGTCTGTCCTCCTACATTCAGTACCTGGAGCCCTACAAATTGCACTGACCAAAAATGGATTAACAGGAGCAAACGGCTTATTGCATTGGCTTGGGGCAGGAGGGCTCAAATAAATGAAATGAAAATCCCAAGGGGACAGTCAGACTTGGAGGTTTTTATACCTTCTTAGCAAGCATTCAATAAATCCACAACGAAGTGATAAGACAAAGGGAAGGGGCTCGGGAGGTTTAGAGGTATTTAGAGGTGGAACGTGGTGGGAAGGAAAATATATGGGGGGACCAATAGAAGATACGGGCTATCTTAGTAAGGTTTGGTTGTGCAGGCCTAGCTCAAGGCCAGCTGTTTTCCTCCTGGTTGTGAAATACCCCCGGGAGAGGGGATTTACAGCAGTATTCACTCCTCCAAAATTCCTGCACTGGGTCCGATAAGGGAAGCTCTGAGAAGACTTCTACAGCTGCTGACTGTATGGCCTGAAGCTCAGAATAATCCATGTGCCAAAGTGGCATATTTTGGGCTGGCTTATTCTAATCCTCCCCAGTACATTATTATTGTCTATCTTTACATGACTTGCTTTTCTGCAAGTGTCATTGAAGAAACAATGATTTATGAATAATTGTCCAAAAATAGCTATGGAGACTGCAGGGAAATAATGACAACCTTATTTTGGAGTAGAGTTTTGGCCATCTGATCCGGTCTCTGTAAGACAGAACTGAAGACTGTAATCCCATCAGGTCGAAACCCTTGTCTGTCTTGCCTACTATTAGAGTACCAACATCTTGTATCTATGTGTTAAACACTCTTATGGAAACTTACTCGGCACCATATACTCTCTCTGTATTTTATCATGTTTTATAACACATTTTGGCCCTTGTGACAGCCTTGAATGTGGAAACTGAGACACCAAGCTGTTTATTAACTTGTCTGATAACAAATGACAGGGCCAGGAAGTAAACCCAAGCACAGCAAATTCTCAGGAATTTCTTCCACTCCCAGCTCACCTTCCAGATTGATTCCAGTGCCTACCAATGGAAAATTTCTGCTCTTCTCAAGCGAAGTTTACACAGCCTACATTTTAAACGGGTGTTACTTTCATACCTACACACGGTGATCATGTCGTTTTCAGAGTTTAGTCTTCAGCATTCTGTGTACTGCCTGGCACACAGCAAGTGCACAATGAAGCCTCACCATCACTCCTTTTAGCCTCAGTCTCTCAGCTTTAATTATCCTGCTGATTCCACATAGCAACTGGCCGACAGTGCTGTAGACACTCACATGTACTCATGTATCATTTTCCTCTGTGTGAGCAGTAGTGATGCTGAACTGGAGACTGTGTCCCAGCTAAACAGCCAGGAAAACCAAGGAAGAGATACTAGTACTCCCTGAATAGTCATGCTCCAGCCAGCCTCATATTCCTAGATTTCCTGCACTTAAAACAGAGAAATGTGGAGTAATTCCGGCATGATCTGTAACAGCAAACACATCACTTCCTTCCAAAGCGCAAGAGTTGCTAAGTAACCCTCCAGCTCTCTCCCTTCCACTGCCGTGTAACTTAGTGACTTAGGAGGCCTTGACACCAGTTAATGAAATACAAGAGGGTGGAGCTTCCAAGGTGGCAGTGTGGAGAATTCCCTCTCAGGCCACCCTAAAGAGGGAAATAAGCAAGAATTCAGGTTCTGTTGTTGAATTAAGTAGATGAGATTGTGCAGTTAAATAGCTATCTCAGCATTCACTTACCTTCCTAACTAGTACACAGCGTTTTTCAGGTCTTCATTTTTTTTTTTTTTTTGACAAGCAGAGTGGACAGTGAGAGAGAGAGACAGAGAGAAAGGTCTTCCTTTGCCGTTGGTTCACCCTCCAATGGCCGCCGCGGCCGGTGCGCTGCGGCCGGCGCACCACGCTGATCCGATGGCAGGAGCCAGGTACTTATCCTGGTCTCCCACGGGGTGCAGGGCCCAAGCACCTGGGCCATCCTCCACTGCACTCCCTGGCCACATCAGAGAGCTGGCCTGGAAGAGGGGCAACCGGGACAGAATCCGGCGCCCCGACCGGGACTAGAACCCGGTGTGCCGGCGCCGCTAGGCGGAGGATTAGCCTAGTGAGCCGCGGCGCCAGCCTCAGGTCTTAATTTTAACGAGTTGCAGAAACTGTCCTCAAAGAACATTCAGCATAAATATACTTGGTGATCCAACCTGTTTCCTTCAAGCATTTGCTTGCTTGCTTCCAGGTGGCTACAACCATGCTGGGATTCCTGCTACAGTGTTCTCCAGGGAGGCTGTGTGTAGGCCTCACCTGTGTCCTGACCTTTTGGAACACAGGTAAGTCTAATTGCTCCTGAACAAGTTGAGCAAGACTTCTCTGAAATGACTGGGACAGGAAGCTTTGGCTTTTAGATTTTTTGAATTGTGGAATAGTTGCATTTCCATCACGAGATATCTCAAGTCTAGGCATGAACTTCACTTATGTTCCATACACACCTTATTCACATAGCCTGAGGGTAATTTTTATAACAGTTGTAATGACTTCATGCATGAAACAACGTTTCGTGGTGTAGAGTTTTCACTTTGGGCATTGTGTGGGTGCTCGGAGGGTTTCAGATTCTGGATTTCAGATCCTGGGGTTGGGGATGCTCAGCCTGTGTTAAGTTTGGGTGCTCACGTGCTTTAGAGAATCTCCGCAGCCAGCATCTCTGCTTGGAATCCCGACTTTGCTCAAGTGGGCAATCATTAATTCCCTTTGCCTGTTTTTTTCTTCTCCTTGACTTTTGCATTTGAGTCTCGTTTATGCAACAGGATTCTCTTTGCTTCCACTACTACTGTTCTCTTCCAAACCATTGTTTCTCTTTTCTGCATCAGGAGAGAGCTTTGTTCATCAGCCCCCTGCCTCTCCTCTCGTCTCTTCTTGACTGTTCTCCACTCTTCAGCCTGAGTGATCTTTCTATAAGTTTTCAAAAGCCAATTTCCAAGCTCCTTCCTCATTCTCACGCACCCGCAAGTTCATCATTGACTCCCTCCTCCTCCTTGGAGAGCATCTCAAGCCCTTTGCACGCTCTCTCTGATCCGATGTGCCTGATTAGTGCTAGTTCCTGCAAATCTCCACCTCCTTTCCATATGCTCTGTCACTGTCCACCTCAGATGGTTATTTGAAGGAAGCAGACCCTGGGAACATGGTGTTCCCTCCACACTGAACACTCCATCAGTTGACTAAGCAGTACTCTCCATCCTTCGAATCTCAGTTCAGCAGCTCCTCCCAGCCAAGGCCTCTGGGTCACGGAGACACGATCATGCTCTGTATTAAACACACTCATGGTTTTGTTCAAAGTATTCAATGTTTTCATAATTACATCCTTGAGTTCACTTCCTTGCTGTCTGCCTCTGCAGTGTACAAATCACGTAGCAAAGTCTAGGGGGAAGGCTTAATAACTTTATCATCAATATTATAGTATTTCAATAAATGACAAATGATTGAATGGAAGAACACAATAGATGTGGGATTTTAAGCACATGAACTCACAATTGCAGATCTTAATGTTCTTATCTACAGAATGGGTGTTTTAGATTAAATTCTCTCTGATGTTATATCTGGGTTATAATTTCCCTGATACAAACTTATTTACCTTAGTGTCTGGCAGTAGAGGAGAAATCAAGAGAGAGAAAGGAATGACCTTCCTACCTGCAACAGGTAAGTGGCAGGTGCTCCTCCCTAGCTAGCAAGTTAGGGCAAATTCCTTGACTTCAGTGACACTAGTTTCTCCAACCCTAAGTGGAAATTGTCCTCTCTAAAGCTCCACAGTGATAGCAATGGTTCCTATGATCTGCTGATTACTTTATGATTCACTGAATACTTGGATTCTCAAGATCTTATCAAATCCACAAAGATCATATTTTGTTTTTGAGAGAAGATGTTGTAATGGGAGGTACTGTTGTTTGCCATCATCATCTCTCCCATTCTGATGGCCTGGAACAGGCTGTGCAGGGTGATGGTGAAGGCACTGCACCACAGAGCACACACAGGAGTCAGGGACTGGGTGTCTCCTCCTGAGCATTTGGGAAACAAGCAGGATAATTTTGGGGTATGATTTGATTTTTACTTGATCTTTATTTCTAAAATTGTATTTGTTTTTAATTAGAACATTCGTGTGATTCAAATAGCAAAAGGTTCAAGTGCTTATATAGTTAAAAAGCTCCCCCCGGGCAGGTGTTGTGGTGCAGTGGGCCCACTCGGGCTGCCCACATTGCATATCAGAGTGCTGGTTCAAGTCCTGGCTACTCTGCGCTTTCAGTCCACCTTCCTGATAATGCAGCTGGGAGGCAGCAGCAGATGGCCCAAGTATTTAGATTCCTGCACCCTCATGGGAGACCTGGATGGAGTTCCTGGCCCGTGGCTTTAGCCTAGCCCAGCCCTGGCTGTTGCAGGCATTTGGGGAGTGAAAAAGCACATGAAAGATCTGTTTTTCCCACTTTCTGTCACTCTGCCTTTTAAATAAACAAATAAATACATCCTTCTCTAGCCACTGGTGTCCTTGAGAACACAAATTGTTCCAATGTATTTTGAATAATGAGAGTTTTCCATAGATATTTACCATATTTGAGCCTCTAATGTTCTCCCCTTTTTAAATGGGAACTTTTGCTCTGCAGGTAGTCACAAAGATAAAAGGTGATGAAATACCAAGCTTGAAGAAGTGAGAAAAGTGCCAGCTTTATGTTGCCACTATGGTGGCATTTAAAAAAAAATATTTATTTATGGGACCAGCACTGTGGCTAATGGGTAAAGCCGCTGCCTGGAGTGCCCACATCCCACATGGGCACTGGTTCAAGTCCCAGCTGCTCCACTTCTGATCCAGCTCCCTGCCGATGGCTTGGGAAAGCAGCGGAAGATGGCCCAAGTGCTTGGGTCCCTGCCACCCATGTGGCTCCTGGCTTCAGCCTGGCAGAGCACTGCCCGTGGCAGCCATTTGAGGATTGAACCAGTAGATGTAAGATCTCTCTCCCTCTCTCTCTCTCTGTATCCCTGCCATTCAAATAAATAAATCTAAAAAAAGAAAGAAAGAAAAAGAACAAAGACTGCACAGGGCCTATTACTGCGGCTAGGAAGGTGTGAGAATTCTGCCAGCCCTGCAGCAGCCTGGCTATCTGGAGCTCGGATGATGCTGGGTCCCTCATCTGCATGGGCAAATGAGAAGCAAGGTCAGTGTGCCACCCACAGAGCTCATGGCAGCTGCTACAGAGCCAGATGCTCGTGCACAGGGCTGGGCGGTGCAGGGAGACAGTTGGACTCTGGTTGCTGGAAAGCTTCTGGCCCACTTAATCATAAATACTTGTCTCGGACTTCCTTTCATTCTAGCATAAGCCCCCACCTCTGATAATTTCACTGCAGGAAAGGACACCCACACACCCCTCCCAGCTCTAACCCTGGAAGCTCTAATATTGAACTGAAACACTTGGTAACTGGTAAAGCCAAATAGGGTTCAACAGGCAACAACTGAGCTGACCTGGTTTTCACCAGGGCACTTGACAAGCAGAGAGGAGCAAGCTAAATGTCCATCAGTGGATGCATGAAGAACAAAAATGTAGTCTACACACACTGTGCAATATTACTCAGCCTTTAAAAAGAAAATTCTGCTAGATGAACCCTGAGGCCATCATGCTAAATGAAACAAGTGTCACGGGACAGATACTGCATGATGTCACTTACATGAGATGCCTCGTAGTCACAACTCTTAGCAGCACAGAGCAGAAAGGTGGTCCCCAGGGCCTGACGGGGTGGGGGGTGGATTGGAAAGCTTGTGGCGCAGAGAGCATAAAGTTTCAGGCATGCAAGATGAGTGAGTGCTAGAGATGTTGCCGTACAACATAGTGCCTACAGTTAACAGCATGATGCTGTGCACCTAACAGTTAAGGAGGTAGATCTCACGTTTGATATTCTTACCACAATAAAAAAAGTAAATTGGGAGAGGACAACATGTACAAAGAGCTGAACTACCTGTGTCTAGCCTAATGTGGGATTTTGGTCTATCACTATGGCTTCCAAGAACGTTATAAATTGTGCAAGCCTGTACTGCCAGGATATTATTTCATTCATTTAAAACATTGTTATTTCAGTGTCTGGAAGTAAAGAAGTTAAGAGAGAAAAAGATGGGGCTCTCCTTGGTGCAACAGGTAGGAGGCCAGTCCCCAACCCTGACTCAATGTACTGTACCCTGGTTTTTCCCTCTATAAGGTCACAGAGGGGTAGGCTGGTAGTCTTGTAGTTAAGATGCCCCCGTCTCACACTGGAGTGCCTGGGCACAACACGTGGCCAAGGCTCCCAACTCCAGCTTCCTGCCAGTGCAGACCCTGGCCGGCAGTAAGTGACAGTGCAAGTAGTTAGGTTTCTGTGTCACTCACATGAGAGACCTGGACTGAGGTCCTGGCTCCCAGCTTTGGCCCAGCCCAGCTTTGGCCACTGTGTTGCATTTAGGGAGTGAACCTGCAAATAGCAATTCTGCCTGCCTCTCAAAGAAATAAATAAAACTTGAAATTATCATAAAGCACTTTCTCTATCCAAATGTAACCTGCAAAATGCTTTCTGTGAGTCACAGTAACAAATGCAGAGTGAGTCGATATCTAATACAAAACAACTGATCCTCCAGGTCTGCTCAAAGTCCCTTCCACGGGGTGGCCCTCTGCGGCTCCCTGTGCCAGGCCAGTGCTCACAGCGGCTGGCTGCTCCCTCGCAGACCCTCCTCATTTGTCCATCCAGAATCTCCTCTTCTCTACCCAGGCCACACAGAGGAAGTTCCGTGTGGCCAAACGCCTCATTCTCTCCCATTTATCTCCTTACATACGACACCTAGCCTGTTGCTCAGCCCTTACTGGGTATCTGTTGATTGAATGAATGAATGAGTGCCTTTGACACTTCAAAGTGTCTTTTGACATGTTTGTCTTTGGCAGCATGGGAGTCTGGAAGGGACACATGCTGCTCCACAGGTCTAGGAAGTCCTTTCTGAGCCCTTCATTTCCACTGCTTGGTTGTGCAAATCAATGCAAATTACTTCTCTCTGACCCTGTTAGGGGAGTGGGCAAGATTAGACCCATTGCATTAAAATCACCTTGCATATTTATTTAAAGGTGGGATTCTGGGCCACAGGCAGTCCAAGGAGATGTAGAGGTAGAGGGGCAGGTGCCTCCCACCTTCTCCAGCTCAGTGAGGCTGGTTTGGACTCTAGCAGCTCTCTGATGATAACTTTTTCCCTTCCCAGCATCTGGCCTTAGAAGAGGAGAGAGGAAGGAAAAGGTGGTGGTATTTCTTGCAACCACAGGTGAGACCTCACCCCAATTCTGTGGTGCCCAGCTACTGTCCCACTTCTCTGGGCCTGTGTCACACACACACACACACACACACACACACACACAGTGGGGATGAAAGCATCTCTCTACTCATCGTCTAAACGTTAAGTTGAAAAGCACATTATAAAACTATAAAGAAGAACCTCAACCACTATGCCCATCCATGAGCTGTTGTTTCAGTCAAGACACATTGGTGAGAAGCAGAGACTTTAATCCAGCAGTGTCGTGCCACCTGGCTGCACACACTGACACCTGGGGTATTTTATTTTTTTAAGTACTGCTGTTGGGGTCTTCTGCCAGCCTCGTTAAATCTGTATCTCTTGGAGCTGAAGCGTAATTACTGTGGGATCAAAAAACCATCTTTCTTTCCAGCCGATGTCCCTGCACAGCCAGGGACCGAGCGTCTCCACCACTCGTGAGCCTTTCCAAACGCAGCGCTTTTGAGAATGCCTGTGATGTCCTTGGGCTTCCCGTCGACGCGACATTTTCCACCCATTTCTGTTCTCTTCAAAAATAGAGATAAAATAGTCACTAGGAACATGTGTTTCATTCGCACTTCTCTCGACATCCATCACTGTGTCATTGCCTATCACCTCCTGGGGATGGGACGTGCCTCTTATCTTTGAACCCCTTGTTCCTGGCACTTGGTGTGGGCTTAGCACGTGTCCCAAGAGGAATGTATCTGCATTGAGGAACTGTCTGCCCATGACATTATCTTCGCGTATCTTTCAGAGCTCCCTGCAAGGTCAGTGGATCTGTCTACGCTTAACCTCACAGAGCTCGTGAATGGGATGGTGAGCAGAGCTTTAAAAGGTACATCATTCTGTAGACACAATCCAAGCCCATTTTTGTCTTGTCCTAGCTTCTCTTCCGGGCTGCTCTGTGACCTGGATAAGACACGGCATTTCTCTGTTTCCTCGTAGCCAGGGTAGAGCCTATGGGGTGTTGCCTAACACGCGATGAGACGGCAAACAACACGAAGTGGGAGATTTATGAGCATTTGTAGAGCAAACAGCTCCAACGTAGTACATGTGCAGGCTTTGCGATTGTGACTATTATCAGAAGTTTTCAATTACTCATTAAGTTAATAAGATTATGAATTTTTCTTTAAAAGAGGGGTCCTACCGAGTGCTTACGATATTCTCCCAGTCTTCTATGTTCTTTCAGTTTCTAGCAAAAGAAGTTATAAGTAGCATGTATTCAATCAATGGCTCATCGATCTACTAAAACAAAGACTATGGAAATTCATTGCAGAAGCTTCTCAGAGAGCTAATAGGTTTCAAGAGACATCATAGAGCCGAGAGACACATATGCTGTAGGGTTTTGGTTTTACTTCTGTAATTTGTCATTTTATTGTTTTCTTAATCATTTGTTTATTGCCCTATCATTCTCATATCTGTTGGCTCAGCTATATTATCATTCATTTATTACTATGTGTCTCAGTAGGTGTCCCTCTACTGGTCTCTTTCAGCAGAGAGCAAGAAGTTCTTCTCCCTGCTGAGTGTTACCTCCTACAGCTCCTTCGCCTTCCACAAGTTGTCGGTGGCCATTTACAACAGTGAGAAGGGGCTGGCTCTTCCTGGGGGTGGTGGCTGGGAGGGGCCCTGCAGGGCCAGCCTGCCGGGGTCCCCATGTGAACCATTTCCCTTCACAGTTTCTAACCTGAAGGCAGTGGACCCAGCCAAGTTCCCCACAAGATACTGCTACTGTTTAAACAACCAGACCAACGACTTGTCAGGTGGGTGGAGCCAGCTGGGAGGCTTGCAACTCTTGTGACTTTGGTTTTGCCTGTGGCCTTCTAGAAAGAGGAAAATGTGGCGATACCCAAAATGCCTTAATATGTGCACACAAATGCAGAGGATGCTGATCACCTGGCCAGGGGAAGCGGGATGAAGGAGGTGACAGTGGGGAGAGATGCTGCTACACATAAAAGCAACAGAGGAGCTTTTTCTAATGAGCTGAGAGGGACTTGTAGGAAGTAGGGGTCCAGTCCTGGTTCTGGCAAAGGCCCTGGGCAGCAGGGTGAGGACCAGAGAGACCAGCATGGCTGGAGCAGGTGAGCCAGGGAAGAAAAATGTGAGAAATGAGCTCAGATAAGTGAGGGCAGGCTGGGGAAGGTGTTGCAGATAAAATAGAAGTTTATGGCCCACTGTAAGGATTTTAATTTTCACTCTAAAATAAGAAAGCATCCTTCATGTTTGCCTGTACAGGAGAGCAACATGCTTTGACTCAGACCCCAGGAAGGGCCTCCCCTGGCTACTCACTAGAGTAAACTATAAGGAAAGCAAGGACCGACCCTAGTGAAAGATTTTTCCCCACTTATCATGGACAATCGTCTTAAGGTTTGGCTATCACAAATTCGTGTAGACATTTATAATGATTATGTAACCTATCTTTAGCCAGGATGCTGTTCTTGAACTTTTAGATGGAGATGAGATTTTCCCAATAGAAAGAATCCTGCACTGACCATCTTTGTACATGAGGCATTTCCCTGTTGTAGATTATCTCATGAAGAGAGATTTCCCAAAGTGGGATTTCTAAGAGAAGCACTGAACATTTTATTCTGGAGATTTATTTGAAAGGCAGAAGGAAACCTAGAGGGAGAGACAGACACAAAAAGACCCTCCATTCACTGGTTTGTTCCCCAAACAACCACAATGGCCAGGATTGGTCCAGGCTGAAGCCAGAAGCCTGGAACTCCATCCTGGCCTCTCCGTGGTGGGCAGGGGCCGACATTGGGCCATCTTCCACTGCTCTCCCAGGTGCATTAGTGGGGAGCTGGACAGGAAGTGGAGCAGCTGGGACTCGAGCTGGTGCTGCAGAATGGGATGTGGTGTTACAAGCTCTGGCTTAACCACTGCACCAGAATACCCGCTCCAGCATGTGCATTTTAAGGATAAAAATTACTAATTTTTAATCAGTATCATATGCCAGATTCTGCGCTGAGTACTTAAGATTCATTATCTTATTTAACTCATCCTGTGTACCTCATCGACAAAGACAATTTGGAAGAAAGAAGCACTTCATAATCACATATTTCTCACCAACTCACCTAGCCTCTGCTGAGGGCCAAGTTTTGCACTGGGGGAGTCCCCACCCTGACTGTGTGAAAGATAAAAAGGTTTAAAATTTGGGGCCGGCACCGTGGCGTAGCTGCCATCTGCAGCACACGTATCCTATATAGGGCACCAATTCAGGTCCCGGCTGCTCCACTTCCCATCCAGCTCCCTGCTAATGTGCCTAGGAGAGCAGCGGAAGATGGCCCAAGTCCTTGGGCTTCTGCTCCCATGTGGGAGGCTCAGGAGAGGCTAGTGGCTCCTGGCTTTAGATTGGTCCAGCTCTGGTCATTGTAGCCATTTGGGGAATGAAGCAGATCTCTCTCTCTCTCTTGGATAAATTAAAAAAAAACAAAAAAAACTTTTAAAAGTCACATCTGCCTGACGAAAATTAATAATTGTAATGAGCCAAAATGTATTTCTCCATGCTTGAAACAATTCTTTAAAAAGAACTGATCCGTGGATCATTATCTACTGAAAAACAGGATGCTGCCAGTCTGGCCTATCACAGCAAGTTTCTCAGTGCCTGACAAGTCACCATGTGCCTGATGTCGACCCCCCTCAAACTGCTATCGTGAGAGGCTGGACACCTACTTGGTGCAACATCTTGATAATACCTAAAGCCTTTGGGAAGGATGTCTTTGTGAATAATCTTCAGATTTATATCATTTTCTTTTGAATATTCTCAACTTTGCACAAAGCGCTCTCCTTTGAGAGCATTATTTGCATATTCTTTTATATATATGTGAAACTTCTTAAATTCTATTGATTTGAAAAAACATCACATGATGATGTTAAAATGCTATGCGACATGGACAGCTATATCCAAGACATCAGAAATACCTGATTCTGTTCTAGATAATTACTATCATTCTGAGGAGCGTTTTCCAAAGTTATCTAACCTACCTCTCTAACCCACATATCTAAGCCACCTGCCAAACTACCTTCTTATCTAACTTACCTATACACCCCACTTAACTACCCTTTATCTAGCCATTCTACTCTATGTATAAGAATCCGCTCTTTGTACTATTTAGAACAGAGGCTGGCCTACTTCAACAAATGACCCCAAAGTAGGGCGTCTTAAAGAAGGGACGGATTCATTATTTTCATGGGTTTCTATCTGGGCAGGCAAACCAGGGCTGCTCTGATTTGGGTGTTTATGGGCCCAGGAGCCTTCTAATTTGTTACTCTGCCTTCCATAAGGTGTGCTCTGTTCTCATAGTGCAAGGTGGCTTGAGACTCATCCAGATTCCAGTTCCAAGGAAGAGGAGAAAGGGATCCAAAGTCGTGCCCATCACCCTAAACCCAGCCTGGGAATGGTTCACAATTGTCCCCCTCACGTTGGTCTCATGGCCACCCCACTCCGCAAAGCAAGCTTGCAAATGTAGTCATTATGTTAAACCATAGCATGTCTGACTACAATCTGATGTTCTCTTGTTAGAGGAGAATGGGCAAATGGGTTTTAGAAGACAACCATTAGCATCAATCTTGTTTCAAGGGTTTTAAAATCTACCTTTAGTCAATATGTCTTTAAAAAGCCATTCTGTCCCAATTTATATAAATACATCTTCTTCCCATGAATTTGTGGTATTCATCAATAGAATGTGCTGTAATTTAATTTGTTTCTCTTTGATGGAAATTTAGCTTGCTCCCAATAGTTTTGCAATTATAAACAATGCTGTGATGACCAGCTGTGTAAAATATCTTGGAATACCTGCCCAATTATCTCTGTAGGATGAAGTGCTTGGAACGGAAGTGTTGGCTGACAGGGAAACAATCGTGTGGTGGTCAAACTGCTAAAACTTCTTCTAGAAATCTTGCCTAAGTCTACACTCTTACCAGCAATTTTTGAACACATATTTTTCCACACTCTGGCCAATACTTGACACTAAGATACAGTCTTAAATCCTTACTGATTAGACATGGGAGTTATTTCCCCTATCTTCTATTTATATATGAAGTTAGTCTGAAATAACTCATTTATGATCATTGCTTGTAAATTAGATAATGAAAAATTTCTGTAAAACAAAGACCATCTGTGAGATAACAGGTTTTTTCCCCCAAGGCTAATAATCAGTTTGTGAAAGTAGTTCTAAAGAAAGGGCTGATAAAATGTCTTGAGAAAGTGGCTATCTGAATGGAGTGGGAATATTGGGCAGAGTGAAACTTTGGTGGATGGAGGCCTCAGCTGAAATCCAAGGGCTGCCATGTACCGTGGGACCTTGGGCAGGTTCCACCACCTCCTGAGTCCTAGCAGGATCTGGACTCCACCTTTCACGTCTGGCTCCAGAGCCACGAGTATAGCTTCCAAGCAATATTAACAGTGGATTTCAACATTGCACTTGACTTGTCTGTTTAGAAATCTCTTTCCCATTAACCCCCACATCCTGTGTGTCTACACAGCTCTCTAGTACTCTGTAAACACTGCATGAATATTAGACAAAGAAAGAAGTTTTGAAAAGTAGAAGCAAATATGGCCAGCGCCGCAGCTCAATAGGCTAATCCTCCACCTGCAGCGCTGGCACACCGGGTTCTAGTCCCAGTAGGGGCGCCGGATTCTGTCCCGGTTGCCCCTCTTCCAGGCCACCTCTCTGCTGTGGCCAGGGAGTGCAGTGGAGGATGGCCCAAGTGCTTGGGCCCTGCACCTGCATGAGAGACCAGGAAAAGCACCTGCCTCCTGGCTTCGGATCAGCACAATGCACCGGCCACAGCGGCCATTGGAGGGGTGAACCAATGGAAAAGGAAGACCTTTCTCTCTGTCTCTCTCTCTCACTATCCACTCTGCCTGTAAAAAAAAAAAAAAAAAAAAAAAAAAAAAAAAAAAAAAAGTAGAAGCAAATAGCAATATGGCCGGCGCCGCAGCTCAATAGGCTAATCCTCCACCTGCAGCGCCGGCACTCTGGGTTCTAGTCCCAGTCGGAGCGCCGGATTCTGTCCTGGTTGCCCCTCTTCCAGGCCAGCTCTCTGCTGTGGCCAGGGAGTGCAGTGGAGGATGGCCCAAGTGCTTGGGCCCTGCACCCACAGGAGAAGCACCTGGCTCCTGCCATTGGATCAGCATGATGCACCGGCCACAGCGGCCATTGGAGGGGTGAACCAACAGAAAAGGAAAACCTTTCTCTCTGTCTCTCTCTCTCACTATCCACTCTGCCTGTAAAAAAAAAAAAAAAAGTAGAAGCAAATAGATGGAATGAGTAGTGAAATACTATCCTTCCTCAGTTTCTGCAATACCCATGGAAGGGGAGATGCCTACACTTGCCGATCTTCTACAAAGCACATGACTACACCAACATAGGTAGCACCACATCTCTTCATGAAATTAAACATGTGTCCATGAAGATGTAGTAAGATCACAGTTTAGCTCTGGTCGCACATTGTACAATGCGTGTGTGGTCTCAGGATGCTGCACATCCTACTACTCATTCTATTACATGTACCTGCCTATTTGGATTCTGTATTTCCAAGTCAGATTGCTCCTGTCAAAATGCAGAATCCCATTAATTAGTTAAGAAGCATTTATCCAAAGCATAGTGTGAAATCACCTAGCAGGTGCAAGAAGCTTTTTTGAGGAAATCACTATTTGTGATTCCCAGATCACCTTCCCCTTGTTTTAGAAGCCAAGACCTCACTTGTCCTTGGAGAACCACAAGTAAACAGAAGAGGTAGTGGCAGTTATTGGTAAAGAAGTGTATGAAGAGCCTTTGCTGGTCAACGGCTCACACCATGTGGAACAATGGCCCTGTTCAAACTCTGCTCAGAGAGAAAGCTCACAAGGTTGTATCAATTGGAATTTTGTCAAATTCCTCCAGTCTCCCACCATCTGCTCTCTTAGCAAGGTGGGGCAGAGGGAGAGATTCCTGGTGTTATTTTGTACACAGTCTTGTCTCTTTTGATAGCTCATAGTTTATAACCCACTGCCAAATTGAACACTGCAGTTTGAAAATCTAGTCCCAGAAAGACAAATACCATATGCTTTGCCTGATCTGTGGTAAATAATAGAGTATCTAAAAGGTTATCTGTAAGAGTGAAATTGATGCTTTAAGATTCAATGATTGTTTACAGCCCTTGCCTTGACTATTGAGGAACAGTGGATTTTTCATACTATTTGTTGAACCTTTTACTTTGTGTAGGGTTAATCTTATGAATATAAAGATAACTGAAAATAGATCTTTGTAAAAGAAATAAGGATGAGAACAGGAGAGGGAGGAGGAAGTGTGGGAGCAGAGGCAGGAGGGAGGGTAGAGAGGAAAGTATCACTATGTTCCTGAATCTGTATATGGGAAACACACAAAATCTATACACCTTAACTAAAATTTAAAAATAAGAAAATCCAATATTATGTAAATTCACATACATGACTTTGGGGCTGCTCCCCCACTCCTTGGAGCTGATATTCCACAACAACTGGATTAGATAAGAGAGAAAAGCCATCAGTCAACAACGAGGCCTGTTGGAGGAGGGGTCAGGGCAGAGAGCAGTGAGAGCATGACAGGAGTTATAAAAGGTGCGACAATTTCCCTCCTGTGTGAAGTTGGCTGTTGCATTTAGATTGACTCAGTAATATTTCTCTACAATTGATTGTTAGTCTTCCTCAATATCCGTAACTAAATCGATCTTGTGAAATCTATATTGGACAATCCAGGTATAATATAGTCTTCCCCTGAAGTCTCCAAATTTGAAATGCACATTTCTTAAATCTCTTGCAGATTTCACAGCCCTCCTGGTGGATATCATTGGAAACTCAACCAGCTACCTCACGGAGATTTTCAAGTCAACCTCCATCCTCTCAGGTGTGGTCACCAAATGTGAGGCTTGGCATCCATTGTGGAGCATGATGGAGCCTTTAGATTTCCTACTCCACACTCTGCCTTCAGCCAGGCTGCCAGCAACCTTCATGAGAGCTTCGTTTAGGTTATCAGCGTCCCACTTGCCAACACCAGTACTCAAAGGCTCCATCTTTCACGAGAACTGTTCCTGGGGTCTGGAGGGAGAACCCAAGGCTCAGTGCTGGAGAAATGTAGGCAGATGTGAGCAAACTGCATTGGTGAAGAGCTAGGCATCGTCTCAAGGATGACAAAAAACGAGATCTGTAGAGGCTGAATATTTGGCTCGAGGTTGGTGCCAGAACTCAGATTGGGTCTTTAAGGAGCCTAAGCTGTAGTTTTACGTAGTTGAAAAATGTATACCTCATTTTTAAGGTGATTTCATGTCACAGGAAAATCACGTTTTCCTGGGATCCACTTTGAAAAACAGAGCTAGTCAATACCCCAAGAGTTTGTGTCCTCAGAAACACTGAGTGTCCCAACAGGGAGCAGTTTCCATTTTAAAAGCAGAGAGGGAGGGAGAAAGAAGTAGACTCAATATCAACTATTAGTTGTCAAAGTCAATATCAACTATTAATTATCAAAGATTCTTGCCAAGAGCTTTCCACAGCTTGTCTCCTTGTATCCTCACTACAACCTGATGGAGTAACTACTATATTTATCCCCCACTTTGCAGGTGGGATACTGGCATACAAAGACTAAGTCCCAACATCACTCTTAGAGACGGAATTCTAACCCAGGCTACCTGGCTCTGTAGCCCATGGTCTTGCTCACTATAATACCCAATACAAATTATATAAATAACAGTACCCCATGAACAGAATACTAATGATTGGCTATTTATTGATCTCATTTATCTGTCAGGCAGCATACTTGGCACTCTACAGACACTGTCTCATTGACTCCGTAGAGCAATTCTGTGACAGACCTGCAGTTCCATACTCAAGTCCTTTCACACACAAGTATGTTTAGAAATCCCCAAGTTGTCAGATTTTGGAAGGTCTAACACAGTGTCTACACTGCACATGATGTGGCAACTCCAAGAGCATCCAGGGAAGCCTATTGGAATACATCACATCACTATTCATTTAGCAGAATGTGAGTCTTTTTGCACTAAGTGAGACAAAGACAATGACAGCCTCACACCTGCCAAGTCTGACTTTGCAACCACATGAACCATACTCCTATAAACTTTCCATCTGACACAGATTTGGGGATTTGAGAACTGCAACTACAGGGCTGTGCGATTGACATTTTCACCATTTTAAAGATGAGCAAAGCGAGTCCTGGAGAAGTCCAGAGGCTCACTCAGGTTCACACATTACATGGCAGAACTGACATGGTAAGCCTGGAAGCCGACCCCAGAGGCTGTGCCCTTAGCCATGACACTGTATCACACCATTCCTTTAGTCCTGCCAAACAAAATAAAGAAACCAGATCAGCGCTCCCTGAAGAGTGAGAGTTAGCCTCATTTTTCCTGTATGCATCCTAAGTACTTGCAGCTTCATTTTCATTTCAACCAGTGACTTAAGGATTCAGACCCATGGCTAAGTCTTGTGTCCTGGTTCATCTTCCAGTGAGTCAAACCAATGAATCTGACTGCATCTTCATTTGCGTGATGACGGGAAAGTCAGGTGAGCTCCAGCCACCCCTCGGGAAGGTCTCTGGGCTGAGAAGTCAACACAGCTCTCCAGCATGTGAACCCACAGTCTGATCTTGCTGGTGTGGTTTTTTGCAGGCAGGAATCTTTCTGACTTCTGGGAGCTGGCGGAGAAGTCCCCTGTTATCAATTACACATTTACCAGTGGCGTGGCTAGTGTTCTGGGTGAGTGCAAACCTCCCGAACTCCTGAAGACTCTTTGGACTAGGCTCCCACTATGGGTGCTTCATTTAGCTTTAATGTGTTTTAAACCATACGATCTCACCATTTACAAAAATGAATTTCTGGATCCTCTACAACAATATCTGGCAACGTTGGATCTTCCCTCCTCCAAGTCCATGGCCACAAGTAACTGGAGCTGAGGAGCTACTGTCCCCAGCCTTCCAGTAGGAGGGCCCCTTTTGTGTATTTTCCACAGTCCTTTCTGCTCCCTATTGCCTGGCATCTTTTTTATTAGATACTTGGATTCTGTAGATATTTGAGTTTGTGACTCCATTCTAGAGACATAGCCACTCTACAATAGTCCTCTCCTACTCAACCTTGCTCTACCCACTCACACACGTGCCCATGCTCCTGTCTTTTCCCTGTCACCAAGTGGAATTTTTGGAACCATCTTTAGGTCCTCTTTCTCCTTTGCACTGAACTGGCATTTCTAGAAGCACAAAGCTCCTGGAATGTGACTGATCCTCTGGGATGACCTGCAGCTGGGATTATCTTAGCTAAGTGCTCATCGCCTACCTTTGGGTTGTCATGGTTTTGAGTCTCCCTTATCCTTCCACCTTAAGGAGGGTGATAACCTTAACAAGCAGAGGTTGCTTCTTTTTACTGCTCAGGACTCCTCCACCACCAGCAGTGGGTCCAACATCCTTAGCCTGGAGTATGCATTTCTCTCTTCTCCTGCTTTTTCCAGGAAGCAACTGCACTGAAACCACTGCCCGTCTAGCAGGTGGCATACTTCTCCATGCCCACCCATGAGACCACTCACACTGTTATCTGTGATTGCAACTCTTTCCCCATGTTTCCCTATTTTCCATGTTTCCATATTTCAGAACCCTGTTTACCTGTCAGTTGCCAGCCCAGGCACTACCTCCTTTCTAAAGGTCCCCAGTCTTTGGTGGTCTTACAACACTGACATTCCCAGAAGCTCCTCAAAGAATGATGCTTGAAGGCAGAGAGACTCTCCCTGAGCTCCCCATTCTGCCTTCCCCTGAGCACCTCACAGCCCTTTGCACACAGTAGGCTCTTTATCAGTGACTCTTGCAGTAAAATGAAGGATTAACTAAATCTCCAACTTCACCAATGGGCTGCTTCTATTTAAGTATGTTGTAAGGCATCTCTTGGTTATGCTGCAGGAGGAATTGCAATTCGTGTGGATAAGAATACTTGATAGCATTGGTGGGTTCACTGAGCAGGCTCCTCCACCTGCCCGACTGTGAGGACCTATCTGAGGCCCAAGTCAATCTCCCTTATTTGGGGAGTCCTCAAAATACCTTCCTACTTCCAATCTCAATCAGGCTCCCTTTTGTGCTACTTCAGTAAGGACCTACACTTAGGAAGAGAGAACGGATTCACAAAATGATCCTAAGGTTGATGTGCTGGTAGTCAGTTGCCTGTCTAAGTGAAAGTTTGGCTGGGATGTACCTAGCCCCATGCCCAATAGCCCAGGAAGCAAGGCTCAGGTGCATGTGGGGTCTTAGTGGGCCCATAAATAAGACAGGGTAGAAGAAATGAGGTTGCAGGGCCATCTCTTGCAGATGTGCCCTCTATGCAGTTACCTGCCACAGGGCAAAGTGGAAGCCAAAATGCAACTTGGGCTCTGCCCACCAGTCTTTGAGCACCTAGAAGAAGGGATACTATGGGCCAGTGGGAACCAGTAATCCTCATAGCCACTCTCCAGCCCCATCACCTAATGTCCAGTACTTTCAAGCCTGACAGCTTTATGCGATTCTCCCCCCACCTTTACTAGGGATGGATATTTTGGCTGATTTTCTCATTTGACACTGTTCAGGGGAAGTTTGGGATCTCTGCATCCTCTATATGTGCTGTTCAATGACCTTTCCATAGCTCAACAGTCCTTTATGTCTGAAGTGTCAACACATGGCAAAGCTGCCATTGGTTATCTCCCTGAAGGTGGAGCTACCAGGGTAACAGCCAGGACTCCAAAGCCCACAACCAAAAGCCAGCAAACACTGCCAAGTCAAGGGCCCCCGCACTGGGCCTGGAGCACACTACGGCCGTCTGCTCCAAGCCGTCCTCAGTGGATGAAGACAACGACTGTTTCAGAGGGAGAGGCTTCGGGCACTTGGAGTAGCGCCCCTCACGCTCTACCCACCACAGGTAAGATGCCTTCTCACCGCTCCTCTCCTTTGCTGTGTCTCCTTCCTGTCCCTCTGGGCTCACATGAATAAGGACAATCCTTCCCTTTATCTCTTCTCCACCACCTGAAGCTATGCTTCAGCTTCCCTTGAGGAGCAAGCACTGGTCCAATAGAGTCAGGCAAGGTGCCAGTATCATTGATACAATGCAGCTTTAACATTTGTTTTTATAACATTTCCTTTTGAAATAGTTCAAGTCTCAGAAGAAATTGTGAATGTAGTGTTGAAAGTTCTCTGGTACCCACTACCCAGCCTCCTATAAAGCAAATATCTTACAGAATCATAGTACATGGTAGCAAGAGATGTTTCAATTTCAAAAAAGCATTCAGCAATCTCTCTTCTGAAATTCACATGAAATGGAAAAATGAAGTCATGATTTTGTGCATGGGTAGTTTAGTTTGCAGCTGGCCGGATAACGATGCCAAGAAGATGTTAACAATTTGACACCAGTATGAGAATTTGCAGCCAATGGCTATGCAAGAGATCCTTTCCTCTTCAGCTTCTGTACATGATCTTTGGTGTTGTCACTGAAGACAAAAATTTGGAGAAAATATAAAAGACGGTAGCTCTGTCATTAATTGTCAGTATTGCCTTGTTGAGTTCCAATGATGGACCAGTGACATAAGTATTCATTCATTCATTCACTCATCAAAATATACATTTGCTACCAGATGCTAGGGTAGACCACAAGAGGATGAGACATGTAGGAGAGAGGGATTGGGAAAGTGAGCTAATGTTACTCAACTGTAGTTAGGAGAGATAGGTTCTGGGGTTCTATTGCTCAGTAAGATAACGTCATAATGATCATGTACTGTTATTTCACAAAAGCCAGAAGAAAGGATTTTGAATGCTTTCACCATAAAGAAACGGTAGATGTTTGAGGAGTAGTACCCTCATTGAATAATACACAATGTATGTATGTATCAAAATATCCCTGGCATTCATAAATACGTATAATTTCTATGTCAATCAAAAATAAAAAGGAAAATAACCCCCAACCCTGTAAATGTTCACCTTTCCTCTTGGGTTCAAGTCACCGTAGTTATGACCCCAGCTTATAAAGAGCTATTGTGTGTGTAGAGGTCAATGGCGGGCTCCTAGCCAAGGTAGCCAGGGGCACTGGCTTCCCCAGAGAGGTAAGAATTGGAAAGAGGCAGGCAGGAAAAGAAACAAGGGCACTGGATGGTAGGGAAGACCAGGAATCAATTTCACTAAATAGAGTTCTTGCATTTATTACAGGAAGGTGAGTACAATAGTTGGCAACATGACAATTGCATAAAATTAGAAACCTTTCCTGTTGCCTATGAAAAAAGATGTGATTGCTAGAAGCAAGGAAAGTCATAAAATGCCAAATTATAACTTTGAAAGGAAAAATGCTATTTTATATAGGAAAAACTACCAACTTCAATGAGAGAACATTTAAATAAATGGATATACCATGTTATGGATGAGAAATTAAATATTTTCAACATTCAAAACATTCTAAATTAACTTACAAATGTAAAATCCTTAAATGGGATTAGTTTTGCAAGAAATGATTTAAATTTCTACCATGGAATGAATAGGTGAGAACATCTAACAGTTTCAAAAGATCAATGAGGAAAGATTTGTTGTAATTGATAGCAACCCTGTGATGCCTTAGAGTGGGAATTACCATTTTTATTTTATCCTCATTTTAATGACAAAACTGAAATGAGTTAAGCCACCTGCCCCAAAATTCACAGCATGGAGAAGGCAGGGCAGAACTAATACCCCAAGACCTCTTTACCTGAACTCACCGTTCTTCCCACTGGGTGCTGTCATTAGACACGCACACCCTAGCTGATTGGGAAGGGTGGGGAGGACTCAAGAGATTTGGAGACTTTTTCCTTCCTGAAAAGTGCTTAGGCAAATAAAAATCCATTTGGTCCATAAATTACAGTTCGGGGTAAAGTTTAAGCCTCTTTATGTACATTACAACATGTGCTTGGTAGTTGCCTTTTGATCATATTTTAATGTCACTTGAAGCAACGTGGTCCAGCATGGCAATGTCCTGTAACTGTCACTTTGACCTTGTAGCTATCAGAAGGGTGTCCAGAACACCATGGGTGACAGCCAACAGGCAGACCTGGGCTCAGACCATCCATGAGAAAAAACCTGGAGGGCCTCCCTGGGAAGCACTTTCCTCCACACTGATGTCTACTGCAGGGGACCAGGAGGCCACCAACACAACGGGGCCTCTGGAGCTACCTGCTGGGATGGCTACACCCACCAGCCCAGCCTCAGGTAAGAGAGGGTGATCTACTCCTTTCTTTTCCAACTGAATTTAGCATCTCTTGTTTTGAAAACGTTTTCTGAATTTTTGAAACTTGCACATTTACGGAAAAGGAATAAAACATAGGCAAGCAACATAATCAATCATAAAGCAAATTCTTCTTCTCCTCCTTCTCCTGACCCCACTCCTTTCCTATCCTCTTTGTGTGAATGGGAACTCCCTCTTTACAGGATTCTTCTTCCTCCTCTTTGATTTGTACCCACTTCCCAATCTCTTTTTCCCTTCCAGTCCCTGAAATAAGTGAAGTTGGCATTGTTCACTCAAGACAGTTCAACTGGTTTTTTTTTTTTTGGCATAGTATAGATAAAATTGCATTAATTACATATACATTATGCATTTGTAATAGGACATTAAAAATGTCCACTATATATACAAATATTATTACACATATGTTAATATATAACCATGTAGTGAGAAAGGCAAGAGCTCCAAAAAGCAGAAGAAAAGCCATTGAGTGTGATCCCAATTTTGGGTGTTCATATGTATTTGTATGTGTATGGTTATGCCTACAGGTATATGAAAAACAAAGCAAAAGAAGGCTGGAAGAAATTTATAACACATTAACCTTACATCTAAGCTTATGGTTCCCAGACCATATCTGGTTAGTAGAGTCATACTGATTTTTATTTCTTTACTCCAATTTTATGGATTTTCCCTATTTACTATCACTATAATCAAACAAAAATTTACTTTTTAAAAATAGCTTCCTCTGAGCCCTGCAGCATGGCCAGAAGCCCTTTTCCTATGCTCTCCATGATCAATGAACAATAAGGTGTATTTGAGGCAGGCATTTTGTGCATTTTAGTTGCTACAGGGGACACCACAGCCCATATCAGGGTGCCTGGTTCAAGTCCTGGCTACTCCAACACTGCTGCTAATTCCTATCCTGGGAGGCAGCAGATGACTCCTGTACTTGTCTGGCACCCAGGTACATTACCCAGATGGAGTTGTGGACTCTTGGCTTCAACCTGGCCCAGCCCTGGCTGTCGTGGGCGTGTGTGCAGTGACCAGCAGAGGATGATCTGTCTCTCTACCTTTCAAAATAAGTGAAAATAAACAAACACAAATAGTAAAGTGTATCATAGTGTGTGTGAACTTGACTTTCTTCTCTGGGGTATGTTCTTCTCAAGGAATTATGTCTTTCATCTCAGGATCCTGTGAGACACAGTAGGCATTCAGCAAAAGTTGGTTGAAACACTGACTATTGTAAGGAATACAAGGAGAGGGGTAAATGAATTTCAACAGACATACATGTGAAGTCGTGACTTTAGGCTCAAATATCAACTGCACAAACAGGTCTGGGAATGCCATTTTAATCATATGAATGCCTGACATAATTGTATGAATTCAGTCGGTTTAAGCATCATTCATAAATGAAGGGGAAAACGCAAGCTTGGATTTGGCTAGTGTCGCTCCCCCTCTTTGCGGAGGAACGACACCAGACCCTGCGCTGTTCTTTTATCTGCTCGGCCCTTCCCGGGTTAGCTGCCATTCCCTCATTCGTGGAGGAACGACGCCATCCCGGGTTAGCTGCCGGCCCCTCCACCTCTGTGGAGGGGCGGCACCCCCTGCCGCTTTCCCCACTTCCGCAGAGGAGCGGCACACCGCCGGCCGGCTCTCTCGGGGGCTGCTCAGATGTTCCTGGTGCATGTTGTCTCTCTCCTCCTTTATAGTCCTCTTCCACCAATCCGTGCTCTGCTACCCACACGCCGAGCATGCTGCTCTCCTCCAATCAGGAGCAGGATCAGCTCCTGCAGCTTACCAAACTGATGAGGCAGCTGCGTAGAAGTTTACTCCTCCCCAGCGCCATATTGTGGGAGAGCAGATGCATAGAATAAGTCTTAATTCCAGTAACTTAGTCTAGTCTCAGTTGCTCCCCACAGCTAGATGGATACAGCAGCCAGGAGGCTGTGAGCTCTGCTCTCCATTTCAGACACAACTGGGCCTGCCAGTTACTCTGCATCTTCAGGCAGTTTCCTTGAGTGGTCCGAGTCCTGGCTTTCTCGCCTACGAAATGGGAGTTTCTGTGATAGTTAAATTAGGTGGCATCCATGAGGTATTTCACTCAATGCATAGCATCAGGAAGCACTCAATTATTGGCGATTCCTGCTATCCTGCCCTCAAATGGGGGCACTGAGACCAGCTGCAGGAGACATTTTGCAAAGGATAGTAGCAAACAGTAGGATACCCCTAGAGGACAGCATTATCTGATTTGGCACTTTGCCCTTTGCCTCAGTAGATGTCGCCTGCCACAGCCGAATTGGGTGGCTCAATAACTGGCATTGATTGGATAGGGCAGGACTGACGGCATGGCCTCTCTTCTTCCCAACCAAGCCCTCTTCAAGGAGATGAAGGCTCATCCTCCTTTAATCTCATCCTAGGAACTTCCACCATTGGCACACAGACCACAGTTCCAACTAAGGCACCAGCCCCGAAAGAGCCACATACAGGTGAGAAAGGCAGTGTCACAGGGGAGACATAGCCTGGGGGCAGCAGCGTGATGGGGACGGGATGCCAGCAGTCAGACCAGGCTGATCATTGTACTTTAAACAGATTCATAAGCCTTGCTGTCCTGCTGAATTGCTGTGTGTTCTTGGATACGTCACTTCCCCTCTGCTGGCTACAATTTCCCTATAGATTTTGAGATCTGTCTTTAAGCTGTTATAATTCTGATTCCATACGTAATCCAAGGCCATTTCATTTTGACCTTTGGGGGACCTCTGTTGCCCATTGCAGGTGATCTTCCTGTGGAGTGGCCATTCATCCCCAGGGAAGAGTCAATCCTGGTCCCAGCACCTCACCGAGTTTCAAGTGAGTACCAGAGCCTGGTCACTGTTACGGGCATGCTTGTTTTGAATGCATTCATGGAATGGAGATTTGAGAGCCCCTCTCCTGGGATTCAAAGCCTTCTGTCCCCAGGACTCAGTTTTCTCAATCGTGAAACAAGAATCACCACAATGGTTGTGAGCGTGAAGAAGTCTGCGTTTGTTTCTTTCCCACAGGGTTGTGTACTAAGTAAGATAATGTGTGTGGGAGCGATTTGGAATTGTAGAGCTCTGTATAATGGGCATTTAACCAACTGTTATCGAGTGATCGTCTATTGAGCTGTTTGCTGGACACTTTGTAAAATGGAAACTGCCCTTAGAACAAGGTGGGTTGTTGGCAGAGGGAGGAAGGCGTAAAAGATGACTCCAAAATTCAATCCCCATTCACTGGGCGCCATTTCTGCTGTTCTGTTTTACAGAACCTGTACACTCTTAATTCTCGTGGATCTAGTGGATAACCGACTCCTGGCCCTGCAGCTGACACTTGAGCTTCCGTGTTTCTTTTTCTACACTTTTCCAGGTTATGGATGTCCCACTCTCCCTATTCCATTGAGCCAAGTTTCCTGAATGTTCCTAAGCCATCCAGCCATTTGTCAACGGGGCATTATTAAATTACTGGTGCCTGCACAGTCTCCCTTTTCATATCTCCTCAGTTCTGCCTCCACCCCAGGCTCAGCCTGTGCTGAATGAGCCTTTCAGACACAGAGATGCGATTATGCTACCAAAGGAAATGATTACATCTTTGTCTCCCCAGTTTTTTTTTTTTTTTTTGGACAGGCAGAGTGGATAGTGAGAGAGAGAGACAGAGAGAAAGGTCTTCCTTTGCCGTTGGTTCACCCTCCAATGGCAGCTACAGCTGGTGCGCTGCGGCCGGCACACCGCGCTGATCCGAAGGCAGGAGCCAGGTGCTTCTCCTGGTCTCCCATGGGGTGCAGGGCCCAAGCACTTGGGCCATCCTCCACTGCACTCCCGGGCCACAGCAGAGAGCTGGCCTAGAAGAGGGGCAACCGGGACAGAATCCGGCGCCCTGACCAGGCTAGAACCTGGTGTGCCGGCACCGCTAGGTGGAGGATTAGCCTATTGAGCCACGGCGCCGGCCTGTGTCCCCAGTTCTACAGAGATGCACTAGTGGTGCAGATGGGAGCAGCTGTCAGATGGAGTTTTAGAAAATAACTTTACAACTGTATCTATGTATCTTTGTATCATCTGTAACTATATCTGCACCTATGTATTTCTATGTATCATTTTTGTGTATATTATCTATATTTGCATGTATATATCCATCCATTTGCCTACCCATGCATTCATCTAATAGATTAATTTATACCTATCCATCATCCCCCACCTAACCACTCTCCTACCATGTACCTGCCTATCTATCCTTCTATATAGTTATCTAATTTTTATCTTTCTATATCATATACATCTATACACAATTTATCCATTATCTGTCTATCCATCTGCTATCTATCCATCATCTGTCTAATCATCTATTTAATGAGGAATGTAATTGTAAAATAAAGTTCTAGCATCTTCTAGTAAACTATTCTTTTCATCTAGAAAAATAGTATGCCCCAAAGCCGTTGCCATCCAATCTTTCATATATTCAATAAATATATGAACATTTAATGAATTCCTACTGTGTGCCAGGCACACTTTTATTTTCTCTTCACAATTGTATAAATAGCCATATTTACAATGTAAATAATAATGTCTTAACTAAGCAGTTCTGGAGAGTTCTATAGATACAGAGACTGGGTTTTGATCCCAGATCTGTCTAATTCCAAAGTCTGTGCTATTCCATCTTTCCTTATTACCTCTCCCTAGCTGTAGCATATGGACAGAAAACAGCAATTTAAGGAAGAATGTGGTAAGGTTAAGAGAAAAATTAGTGTCATGTATCTGAAGAGGAAGAGATTACTTATGGCTGGAGAAAACATTCAAGAGTTTATTGGGCCGGCACCGCAGCTCACTAGGCTAATCCTCTGCCTTGTGGCGCCGGCACACCGGGTTCTAGTCCCGGTTGGGGCGCCGGATTCTGTCCCAGTTGCCCCTCTTCCAGGCCAGCTCTCTGCTGTGGCCAGGGAGTGCAGTGGAGGATGGCCCAAGTGCTTGGGCCCTGCACCCCATGGGAGACCAGGAGAAGTACCTGGCTCCTGCCTTCGTATCAGCGCGGTGCGCCAGCTGCAGCGCGCCAGCTGCGGCGGCCATTGGAGGGTGAACCAATGGCAAAAGGAAGACCTTTCTCTCTGTCTCTCTCTCACTGTCCACTCTGCCTGTCAAAAAAATAAAAATTAAAAAAAAAGAGTTTATTGGTTGAGAAAGTGGCATCTAAACAAGATTGCCTCTTCACACATACACCAAGCAGAGACATAGCTTAAGCAAAGGCACTGTGGCATAAAACAACTGATGTTACCCAGGAACTTGGAAAGACCTTTTTTTGGCTTGAATTCTGATACAAAAGGTGAGAGTAGTGTGGGATGAAAGTTTGGCAAGAGTGAGATCGCCAGGGTCTTATTGGTCAAGGCTTCTCTGAGACATATGGGGACAGAATGAATGGATTTGTGTGCAGAAATATTTCTCTAACTGCAGAGTAGAGACTAAGGGGGAGGCTGGGAACGACGGAATTAGATGCCGTTGTGCCGATGATGGCAGGGATGAGAGAGACTAGAATTAGGAAGTGACCATGAAGATGGGGAGACGCGGATGATGCTTAAAAAGAGAATCAAGATGAAGCAGTGATGGGTGTATGAGTATCAGGAAGGAAACAAAAATTATGCCCAAGTATGAGCAACTGAGAGTATTTTCCCGAGATGGAGAAGGGTAGGGCGCGTGTGTGTATGGGGTGGGGGCCAGTGATGGCTCAGAAGAGAACATGAGAGTTGAGCCTCAGGCTAAGTAAGTTCATGTACTAGAGTGTGGGGTACTTATGAGCATGGACCTCGGAAGATGTGTTATTCATATGAGGTGCTCATAAATGGTAAAGAAAAAGTCATGATACTTGGTGGAATTTCATCAGTGCTCTGGAGGGTTTAATATTCTAGTTGACTTAGGATAAAATACTTCCTTTCTACATTTTTTAAGCCTTTGTCTAACATCATTCTCCACTACAATAAATCTGCTACTGCTAAATTATAATTTTCAAGAATGTAAAAACATGACTCTAATGATAATGTAAAAAGAATAGGCATCAACATAGAAAAATGCTGTTCAACTCACTGATGAATGAGGAAACCAGGAATATTTTAAAGCTGATTCAATGGAGATGCTGAGGAACAGGCATTTATATAATCAAAGAAATTCTCAAATAAATTTTCTAATTAATATCCTGTAGTGATAAACTCTTTTTTATTAGACAAAATCAATCACACCTTCACCAGAAAATAATTATTTCCATTGCAATGGAGAGCAAGCATTTGCATGGCTCTCAGACAAGAATTAATGTGATTATCAGTTAACTTACTCCATTTCAAAGTTGTAAAATCATCCAATTAAAAAATCAATTAAAAGGGTAAACTCCCATAAAACAGGTAACCCCGCCGAGAGCCTGCTAGACAAGCAGAACTGTAGTAAAAGAATATCCAACACTCCTCTAGATAATTTTTCTTGATAGTATTAGTGATCATTTGTTGGTAGATTAGTATCAGTATCCTATATCCAAGTTACTAGAAGAAAAGCTCAGAGAGGAATGTCCTTTTCTTTCTTATTTGTTGTTAAATCTTTACTGTCTGGTAGCAGCATCTGGTACATAGTTGATGCTGCATAAATTTAAATAAAGAGTAAATAAATAAATGCTGTAATTTGTTGTTCGTTTCATCAGGAACTTTTCAGTGTGCTTGGTATAAGTTATCGCTTTTACTCCTCCCACTCACTCTAAGTGACAGGCATGGATCTCCTTAGTTGCCACTTGAGGAAACATAGATATACTCATAGGATGATGCTCAGGAGATCTCAAAACACTGAAATTTAAAAAAATCTATTGTTCTTCTTGTCATTTACTGCTCTCTCCTAAAAGAAAAATATTACTATTAAACAATGAACTTTAGTTTGCTGAAACATAAATAATCTTTACAAACTCAGAACCCACAACCTGAGAGCCTGGTACTCCAGTGACTCAGCATTTTATCTTTCGATGTGCCCCTCCTTGCACAGATGTACACATATGTACATACACATGGAAAAACATCCATACACATTTATACCACACATGTACACAGATTTCATATACACTTATCTTCATGTGCACACATATGCATACACACCTCCCAATTTGAATTATTCTCTACTCTCCCTTCAGCATCTCATCCCTTACATGACACAGAATCTCTGTATACCCTGTACCTTGCACCAATATGCCCTCCACGTGGTACATTTCTGTTTGGTGTTTTAGATCCTTACGTAATATTTGCTCTTCAGTGAAACTAGCTTTGATCCCCCCCAGGAACTTGATTCCCACCTTCTCTCCACCTGTCTTTGGAAACTCTCACAGATTTACCAGGAAACTATGAACCAACATCGTGTTTACCTGTCAATCTCAAGCTACTCATATCAAGGCAAGACACAGGGGTTACCCAATGGAAGATGCTTGTTAAACTCAATTTTTTGACTGGTCTGGGATTGCATCTTCCAGGATGTCCTCAGCCACTCCTCAAAGAGGTGACCATGACAGCAACTCCTCTCAGCCTGGCCATCCAGAAGCTCAGCCCATGCCTGATGGAGTTGTGCCACTTCTTTCAGCAATGCCTCTGCATGAGCCAGAGAAATTCCAAGGCAGAAGTCATGAGGTAACATGGCCCACTTGCTGCTTTTCACATCCAATTTTACAAGTTTCTCGTTCTATATGGCTTTTCTGAAGGCTGCAAAGTATTCAGGCAACAAGTCATCCACTGACAAGTGATAGAGACTACCTCAAAGAGAGGACTCTCAGTGACTACCCCACTAAACTGTCACTTCTTTGAGGGCTGTGATGGAACTCATTCATTTCAGGGTCCTCAAAACCAATTATAGAGCCTAATATGGTAAGTAAGATAGACTGACATGAGTTGAATTATATTGGATTGAATTGAGTTGGGTTGGGTTAGGTTGACATACACTGGGTTGAGTTTGGGATGGGTTTGTTGAGCTGGATTGGGTTGAATTAGTTGGTCTGAAATGAATTGAGTTGAGGTGATGTGTGGGGAGGGGAGTTTTTATTTTGAAGTGAAGCGAGTTGCATTGTATCAAGTGGAATTACTGTTGAAGACTTTGAGTGGTCCTTGAACCCCAATTCACTCAGTATCATGAGATTTTTAATGGAAGAATGACCAAAAGATATGTCTACCATACAGATTCCAGGTCTTTCACAGATCTCTAGTGTCTTCTTCCAGTAGAATGGCAAAGTTGTAAAACTAAAATAAGAACACAGATGTGATTTTATGTTAAGACATTTAAGCCAGGACATTTTCCGGACTCAATGCTGGTATGCTATCCTTTCTCCTTGGATTTATTCTTGGTTGTTTATATGGAACCAAATGATGCAGGTAAATATTGCTGCTCCAGTACTCCAAGGGGCAGATTCTCAGATACTTTATACTGTTTTCTCTTTTTTAACTTTTATTTAGTAAATATAAATTTCCAAAATACAGTTTCTGGATTACAATGGCTTCCCCCCATAACTTCCCTCCCACTCACACCCCTCCCATCTCCCACTCCCTCTCCCATTCCATTCACATCAAGATTCATTTTCAATTCTCTTTATATACAGAAGATTGCCTTAGCATATATTAAGTAGAGATTTCAACAGTTTGCACCCACACAGAAACACAAAGTGTAAAATACTGTTTCAGTACTAGTTCTAGCATTAGTTTTCAAAATTAACTCACAAGATCCTTTTTCAAATCTGCATGATCTATTGCCTCTGAGTCTCAAGCTCTTTCCCGTCACTCCCTTCTGGCCCTGCTCTAGGATCTCTCAAGTGGTGTGGAACTTCCCTGCTCCCAGAAGGGGTGACAATACCCATCGTCCAACAGTGTTAGTAAGCAGGCTGGAAGCATTTCTCCACGGCACAGGCTGATGCTAAAGAAAGCACCTCTGCAACAGTACATCCTTTATTGTTTAGGATCAGCCTGCTGTATTAGATCATTCACTTACACTTCCTTCAATTAACGAGACATATTGAGTATCTACTTTGTGGCAGTCATACACTCTGCTAAGCCATAGGGATACCCAAGCGAATCAGCAATAGCCTCAGAATCTGAGGATTTCATAATTAGGAGGAAGAAAATATCATAAACAATTATGTATAATAAATCCATAGATCCAAGTTATACACTCAGGCAAAAACCTATCAATCATATTCTTCTGGACAGTATATTTGAAAACATGTTTTTGTGTGTGTGTGTGTGTGTGACAGGCAGAGACAGTGAGAGGGAGAGACAGAGAGAAAGGTCTTCCTTCCGTTGGTTCACCCCTCAAATGGCCGCCATGGCCAGCGCGCTGTGCCGATCCAAAGCCAGAAGCCAGGTGCTTCTCCTGGTCTCCCATGTGAGTGCAGGGCCCAAGCACTTGGGCCATCCTCCACTGCCTTTCCGGGCCACAGCAGAGAGCTGACCTGAACTGGGACAGAATCTGGCGCCCCGACCGGGACTAGAACCCAGAGTGCCGGGTTAGCCTACTGAGCCGCAGCACCAGCCAAAAACATGTATTTTAAATATTGGCTGGTTGAATAAATGGGAAGTTACAAGTTTACAGAGCTTTAGTTTAAATTTAGATCAGTACAGGATTTGTTTACCTGGGCTTGTCTCTTCTTTCTTCTGTGTTTTCACTGAATAGTGAATTGTACCACAAACTCATACTAGGCCCTGGATATAGGCCAAAAATACCAGAATAGGAGGATGGAATTACTCAGAATGTTTGTTCAATAAGACAGCCTCTCCAATTAAAGAAAACTAATATGTAGAGAGGAAGTTGGCAATAAAAAGACACAAATTTCAAAGAAGCATGACAAGTGCACAAGAAGATTCTGAATAACACACTGCGGCACCCCAGAAGAAATAACTGATAGGTTTTGATGAAGAAATAGGAATTTTCCCAGCAGAAAACAGGGTAAGCCACTCCAGACAAAAAGAATGGAATATGCAAAGACAGAGTGGGAGGCAGCCTGCAGCCTTCTAGGACCACTGAGAGACTCAGTGTGGATAAAGCAAAGATAGAAGACCATGTTCTGACATATATCCCTGTTGAGACAGGCTTGCCCCTTCAAGCACTAATTACCTTTTACAAATAAGAGCTCAGGCTGCCTCTGCAAGCTTTCTACTCCATCCTTACTCAGACGAAATAATGCACACAGGATCCTTGAAGTCTGCTCCCCTCATCCAATCCATTCCTCAACTAAGATTCCCTAAGCTCCTTTTCCCCCAAATCATCTTCCTTCTGTGGTCCTCCCTTGAAACCTATCTACAGTCCCAGCATGATTCCTAGGACAGATAAACTCCTCTTGCAGGGCGATGAAGCTCTGCTCCTTTCACTGCCTGGTGTCTTACAAGTTCTGGGACTGCTGTGGGCCCCAGATGCCCACGGCTCCTTCTCTGTCCTGGCTGCTGCTGACTACACAGTGAGTGCAGTGGCTCTGGTGCTGGGAGGAACTGCTACAATGGTGGGTGCTTCAACACCAGTTCCAGCTCATTCTATCCACAGCATTGCAGCTGATGTCTGCTCTGAAGAACCCAAAGGTCACCTTTATGACTGATTTTTTTAATTTAGTAAATATAAATTTTCAAAGTACAGTTAATGGATTACAATGGCTCCCCCCCATAACTTCCCTCCCACTCACACCCCTCCCATCTCCCGCTCCCTCTCCCATTCCATTCACATCAAGATTCATTTTCAATTCTCTTTATATACAGAAGATCAATTCAGTATATATTAAGTAAAGATTTCATCAGTTTGCACCCACACAGAACATAAAGTGTAAAATACTGTTTCAGTACTAGTCACAGCATTACTTCACATTGGACAACACATTAAGGACAGATCCCACATGAGGCGTAAGTACACAGTGACTCCTGTTGTTGACTTAACAATTTGACACTCTTGTTTATGGCATCAGTAATCATCCTAGGCTCTAGTCATGAGTTGCCAAGGCTATGGAAGCCTTTTGAGTTCGCGGACTTCGATCTTATTCCAACAGGGTCACAAAGTGGAAGTTCTCTCCTCCCTTCAGAGAAAGGTACCTCCTTCTTTGATGGCCCCGTTTTTTTAAAACCCATCTAGCATTTTCTGCATGAGAAATTCTCCCTTTAGACTATAGGAGAAGAATATACTCATGTGATTAACACAAACCTGACTACATTCTTACAAGGTAATAACCATTTCCATGAATCTACTCTTCATTTACAGAGCAATGTTTGCCGGGAGGCTTGGTGGGTAGAGTATCTCATTTAAATAGTTTCTCTCATGGTCATAGACCAAGGAGATTTCCATTCATCCAGCAAGCAAGTGCTCTCCCACAGTGAATGGAGGCACTTGTGAATGTGTGGGCTATGTGTCTGTGGTCATAGCTTAGTAAGTTCTGGCCACACAGCTTGGAGTTCCACAGAGTGCTAGAGCTGGGACAGTGTTTATCATCTTCTAAGACAGTGATCCATGGAGAAGTTGGCACTTGTTGGAAGTTCCCCGAGACATTTTTGGAGGGGCTGCTGTTAGAAAACATGTGTTACACTTTGTCAAAGTAGATGAGGAGCAATGAACTAGGCCATGAAGGAAGGGCCCCCAAGCTAGGAGGTAGCTTAATGTGCTGAATGGCGACAGCTGCGTTTCAGATTTAGGCTCTGCCACTCATAAGCTATGTGTTCTCGGACAAGTCATCTACTACCTTCCAGCTTCCGTTGGTTTATCTGCAAAGTGAATATGGTCCCGCCTACACACCAGGTCACGTGTTGCACTACTCCAGAGGTATCAGCACTCTTGCTTATGTTGACAGATTGTTGTGAGAACAGAATGAAATGAAGTGATGCATCTAAGTGTTCCTCTGTAGTACCTGAAAAGCTGCGCCAGGATTGCTGATGAAGACACTGTTGTCCTTGTTGATGTGTTGCTCCCTTGTCCACACCCCCAGCCAAGCTGGAGCCTCATTTCTAGCATACGTGTTGTGTTGTAGCTGTGGCAACCAATTGCCTTGTGGTCATGTCAGCTGCTGAGGTAACCAAGCCTAATTATTCCATCTGTTATGCCGCTGACACAGTATCTTGAGCACATGGAGTCCAGGCTCACAGGAAAAATTGCCCTGTTTGTGTTCATCCTTTGCCTCCTTACTGATTCATTCCATGCTGTTTCTCTATTCTACCCTGTCCTCAAGGGCCAGAATTGTGAAAACTACATTTCCCAGAATACCTCACCAACCAGCTCCTCATTTGTTTATACACTGGAGACAGCAGCTGATTGGAGGACCACAGAGTGGAGAAGCCAGGGAATTTCTTCCTGCTCTTGCTACTGCAGGCAATATTTTCAGAAATGGCTCCATCACTTTTTTGATTTTGGGTCCCACAGGGGCTCCTCACAAAAGCCCCCCTGTGCTGCCCGGAAGGAAGCCATTTGCTTCTCTGCCCTGACTACAATTCCTCCTCCTCTTGACTACTGCAGCTGCCAACCAGAGGGCTGCACCTTGCCCTGATGATTCTTGCAGCTCTTCTAACTCCTTTGTGACTCGTTCCCAGTGTGCAGTTCCCTCTTTGAAACCACCCAGGTTCCGATTTCCTGGCAGGGTCTTTACTTACATGTTTGTTTTACTGCTTATTAGAACAGCTGTGTGTTCCCACAGGGAGTGGCTTACCAGGATTCAGATCTAGAACTGACCCCTCTAACCCTGTGTCCTTGGGAAAGCCAGTTGATCTCTGTGTCTTGGTTCCTCCATTTTACAGTTTCCTCTAAGTGGGATGTGATAGCAACTGGGGGATCTTACAGTGAGGTTTCCTTAGGCGGTTAATTGCATAGCTCCCTAGCATATGCAGTGAGTGCAGGATGAGAAATTCGGGAATGGTTAGCCCACTTCTGCACCTGTCAGATGAGGGATGGAAGGGGACACTCATTTCCACAGGCATGCAGTGAGCCAGTGACCCAGCCTCCACTGAGAACTCTGACGACACAGTGATCTTCTCACTACAGCCCCTGAAACAACTCCTGCTGGCCCTAGCCAAGAGCAGAGCACCGTTTTGCCATGTCTTCTGTACACCCAACTGCAGCAGCATTCTACTTTGTGTCTCCGCCTCCCACAACAGCAAATAAACAAACACCATCATTTATTGAGCATCTGTTGTATTCTGGATGCTGTGCAGGAACTTTACATGTGCCATCTCACTTAATCCTCAACAACCTGTTACTGTGGGTGCTTTATTACTTTTCAATTACATAAAGGAACCGAGGTCCTGAGACCTATAAAAGCAACCTGAAGTTACATGTCCTGAACAGTAGTGGGGTTAGGACTGAACATTTTTTGCTAATGCCCAAATCTGAGCTCTTTCCCATCCATCCTCCTCTCCTAACTCTCTTTCACTACCCTAGAAAGATGGACAGGGGGCTCTGTGATGTGAGTACGTGGCCATAGGTTCATGTTCATTCACTGGCTCTTTTACTTCCGCCTATCTTTTGAAAGCCATCACAACATGGTGATTGCTTAACTCTGGTTTCCATCTCTAGGTACTGTCTTGAACACTATTCCTGGTTTCTGAAGAATGCAACGTTTGTCTGCCCGAGGGTGAAAAGGGTGCCCCACTCCCACAGTAAGTCCACAGCCTGATGACACGGTGACCCTGCATGTGTGTGCTCCATGAAAGGGGTCTGGAATTCCAAAAGATGTTCTGACATTAGCAGGTGTCACAGCCCTGTTGTGGCTCATCTACTTATTCATTCTAGACAAAGAGAGGTTGTTCCTGTTTCCCCTTTAATCAACAGCTTGACATTCACAATGAGAGATATATTAAAAATCAGGAGTCAGTCCGATCAGTCAATGTTTCTTTCTGTGTGAATTCAAGCAAGTTCCATAGCCTCTGGGTCCCCAGCTAATTTAAAAAGACAAAAGTTAAACGAAAGTCAAACTGCACATAAACCCTGAAATTCCCAACTACACGAAAATGTAGACAGTTAATTCAAGGAAAAAGCAGGCAATGTGAAGTCCTAAACTGGCTCTATAATGCCTCTGAACTCATCTCGATGGCTGCAAAGCCTTGCTTGCATGCACGCCAGTTATGCCCATGCCAATCTTGCTTCTTCTCCCCGTCCTGCAAACCAAAGCAATCGGTCTGGTCCTCTGGTCTCCAAACCAATGGGTGAACATGTTATCAGTGCCACCTGGCTGGACCATCTGCCTAGGGACTTGGCCTTCTCAGAACCGTGAAACTATATTGAACTCTGAGAAGCTGCTTCTTACTGTAACCAAATATAAGCTATTTGCTCATGTGGTCAGGGCTTGATCAGGTATTACATTAAAAAAATTCAAAAATAGTTTAGCCACCCAAGATTTCCTGGGGCTCTTAAAGAGCACCAAATGGAATCCCTGGGATCCCTGCCAACCCAGAAATTCTTTATTCTTCTTGCCATCCTGTATCTCTCACTTCCGACAAGAGCCCTCCTCCACGTCTGCATTGATCATTTTCCAGCATGTTACTCAGTAACTCTCCTGAAGCCAGGTTCTCTGGTGTTTTCTGCTCCCATGCATCTGCTCTCCTTACCTCCTTCTTCCATCCTTCCTTTCTTCCCAAATGTGAGTCCCATCGTATTCACTGGGGTGCAATGGGTTAAGCCGTTGCCACTTGGGACACCCACATCTCATATACACGTGCCCAGCTCAAGCCCAGGCTCCTGTGTCCAATCCAGCTTCCTGCTAATGCATCCTGAGAGGCAGCAGGTGATGGCTCGAGTACTTGAGCTCCTGCCACCCACCTGAGAGGCATGGATTGAGTTCTGGGCTCCTGGCTTTAGCCTGGCCTGGCCCTGTCTGTGTAGAGTGAACCAGTGGATAGAATCAATCTAAATCTCAATCCCTCCCCCCTTCTCCAGCTCTGCCTTTTAAGTAGATGGAAATAAACATAATCAACATTTTTTTAAAAAAGAAGTATCTAACTAGATTTTACAAAAAGTCATAAGAACTCCCATGGGTCTCTTTTTTCTTGTGCAAATCTTCACCTTCATTCTGCTTTACAAAAACCAAGCTTCAGGGCTCAGAAATCAAAGACAGAAATCCCTGTCTGTGATAGGAACAGGAAATCTTACAAACTTACAAATACAATAGCTCTTTTTTCTTCATCTTTACCCTCATTAAAATCTCTATACAAAATATTACATTCACTGAATAATGTGTTAATGAAGTTAAATCAGCATCATGCAAAGTGGGGCTATGAGTTAGATGCAACTGGGTTTTGGAAAAAGGGCTCTGGGCAGAGTAGACATGAAGTCTACTCCTTGCTGGACATATTGCCAGCTAGAAGGGAGACCTGTGTGAGTCCTTTCGACTCCATTAACTCTGAGTGACTCCCCACGTGTGCCCCCGGATGATTCTGCACCGTCATGGTGTCTGATTTATGTCAGCTGTCGGGTTTCTGTCTCAGGACCTTGGGTTTCTTTTTTTCAGCCTTAAAACAAAAATGCCTTGAGAAAATCTGCAAGTCTGTGTGAGGCCTGGCAGAAACATGCGTCTCCATCCGTGGATTCAGGAGCTGCGCCTTCACCCTGGCCCTGCTCCCGTCTGGCTTACGTTTGCAGAGTTCATCCAGGCATCAGGACATTATGGTTGCATTGAGCATGGCCCTTTTTGGAAGTAGCTTTTCTTTGTCTCCTATGAAGCTGTATAAAGTTTGGAAGGTAGAAGGACCCTATTAGAAGCCTCAAATTAATGCAGTAATGCTGGAATCCCCTGCCTGCTTTACTTCCACGCAAACCTAACATTTCTGCTAAAGAAACTCCCATAACGCATGCAGTAACACTGATAACTGGACAATGGGGAGGCAGGCTGCACACTAATATGAACAGATAAGACCCAGCCAGAGATCCTGACACAGTACCCAGGGTGACTTAAACAGAGTTTGAAAAGACAAAAAACAAGAGGGTGACTTGAGGAAGGCTGAATCCTTACTGGGAGAGATTCACGAATGCATTTATTCTATTTACACTAAAACTGGGATATATTCAACCAATCAAACCTGCCACAGATCTAGGCTCTCCCCAGCCCCGTTCACTGAGAGAAGATGTAGAGCTTTTATTACCATCTAATCCACAGGTACGTATGTTGCACCCTGGGGTACAATGATTCACTAGCAGGATGCACAGAGTCCAGAAAATCTATGTTCACAATTGCCATTTGTCACAGCAAAAGGACACAGATAAAAATCAGTAAAGGCACCATGAGCAGAGCCCAGGAGAGCCCAGGTACAAGCTTTCTTCTCTAGGTGGGGTTGCACACTGCACTGAATTCTGCCAGCAAAGTTGTGCAGCAGTGTGTAGAGAGAATGGCCATCCAGGAGAGCTCATCTGTGCCCTGGAGTCCAGGGGTTTTATTGGGCTCATTCACACAGGAATGGAGTGCCTACATGGCTGAACTACTCACTGTTCCCACCCCTCTAGAGGTCAAACAGGTGCCACACAACTCAAGACTCAGCATAAATCACTTTGTTACACAGAGACACTCTTCTCAGCCAGGGTGTCCGCAGGGTTAGAGGCTAGCTCCCTGGGACTGGTCCAAGGCCAGACCTTTGCTTGAAAGGTACAATATGTGAGTGCCCTATACTGACAAAGCTGGCCCTCTACTGCTATCCACATATTATGTGACCCCTTCCTTGTATCCGGTCCCTTTTAACTAACCCAGGTCTGCAGTTGCTCCAGTACCCCCATTAATGCCAAGTCTGTGTGCAGTGGCCCCTCACAGAGCACTTCAATCCTTGTTCCCAGGGACAGCATTCTTTCCAGTGGAGGAGGGCTCCACCATCATCTTAGGGCTCTGCCTGGTCATCACACTTCCGCCGTTTGGTAACAAAAGTCACATTGTGTTCAAGATGCAAGACAATGACACTCCCCATCCCCCCCACCCCACCCCGCACCATCAAAGACACTTGAGTGTCCAGGCACTGTGTGTAAACAGCGAGGTACTTAGGGAGGTGAACCCAAGCAGCCACTTTCCTGTCCAACAATGCCCAGAAAGGCCCCTTTTCGACCTTCGGAACACTTGACAGCCTCAAGGTCATACAGTGCCAAGTTCATAAGTACCTGCTGTATTGTCATGACTTTTGGGGTCTGAAAGGATTCTCTCATTTGAAAAGGTTAAGGGCACACACAGGGTGAAGTGACTGCTACCCAGATGGGAATAAAGGAAACCACCCCAATCATTAAGAATGGGTTAACTTGACTACTCTCGCTCTCTGATGAAGTTCATAGTAATTTAAACATTTTGCAGTAAGGGGCCCCCAAGATCCCCTAAGGAATAAATTATCATTAGGGAAGGTGGAGGATGGACTGATGATCTGGACCCAAGACCAGGACTGTTGACTCATGGGGAAAAGCCCTCATGGAGCCAGCTCCCACATCCCTGGGAAGGCTCAGTCTGCAGGCTTCTGAGGCCCAGTCATGAATCTGTCATGAAGAACAAAGGCTCAGAGGAACACGTGGGACCAGTTTTCTACAGCTGGTCCCTCCATTGTTCTCAGCAACAGTAATGCCAGGAGGAAAACAGATCCCAAGAATGAACTGACCAGCGCCTGGAGTGCAAAGGTCTCCAGTGTAAGGAAGCTTTGACCCTCCCTGAGCAGATTAAACCCCTATTTAGGTTATGATTAGAGAAATGAAGAGACATCAAGGATGCTGTCAACTGAGTCCTTACCATTCCGTGTGTTTTTGTGGCCACCCATGGTTAATTGATGAAGCAAAAGAGACGGGACAGTACTTGTTCCCCAGATGATGCAGCAGCATACAGTTGCACAGGCTATGTCCTTAAACAGCATTCAAGCAGCAAGAGTGCTTGTACATTTCGAGTTCATCCATTCCCAAGAGATGAGCTAGGTCGGCAAGAGAAAGAGACGAAAACATGGAGGGAGTGAGGAGAAGAAAGAGGGGCAGCTGGGAGAGGAAGAAGAGGTGTGTTGGTGTTTCATGGCCCCAGTGTGTGTCTCTGTGTGTTTGTGTGCACACACGTCCCCCTATTTCTGCGTTAATGCACTATGTTGTGAGTTTGCAGGAGTGAGAATTTGGGTGCTACCATAGCACCCAAAGTCTGTAATTTAAACCCTTATTTGGAATAGCCTTATTCTCTGATGTCTGGGTTCTCAGGACAATGTCATTCTCACTGTATGCTTGCAACAGAGAAGAGAAAGACCAAGACTCCAGGGGTATTGAGACGGTAGTTCTTAATCAGTGTGGGTTTTGCCCCACCAGGACACACTGGGCAATATCTCCAGATCCTCTAGCTTGTCACACCTGCTGGGGACTGCAACTGTAATCCAGTGGCAATGCTGCCACGCGGAGGCCAACTCCCCCAGAAAAGAGCGATTCAGCTCTACACGTCAACAGCACTAAGTTTAAGATGCCCTGTTGTAGGCGACAGGAAGAAAATGAGGCTTCTCAAATCCCTGAAAAACGGCTACAGCAACACACCTGTGCAGCTCGCATTACGGGTTAGCAATGAGCAGCAGTATGTTCTTGAGATGCTCAGAGAATTTTGTGAAATTGAACCACAGACCCCCACTGATTTCAGGGTGCAAACATGGTGGCCCTTCCGTGCCGTCGAGAAAGGACTAGGAACAATGTTGTGCACATGAAATTCTGACTGACCATTAACGACCTGCAAACAAGGGTTTCAGTGCACAGAGACAACTACTTCTGGGAAGGCACAACTGTGCCCTGAACTACTGGATGAATTCTTTTTCTGAAAGAGGCAGAGGTAGAGTGAACAACTCAGGGTTTGCAGCTAGGCTAACCTGTGACCCCATCACGCCTGAGAATCAACAAGTGTCACCATCTTGTCGACCATGTTTTTCTCATTGGTACAGCGGAGTTCAAGCTCTGTCCCTCCTGGGATTACAAAAACAGCAACAGTAGGGTTGCTGTGGGGCTGAAAAGGGCACAGTCCTTTGAAACACAGAGGCACACAACAGGTGCTTAGTAAATGTTATCTCTGCTTGTTAAACTCAAGAAAATATGTCCCATGGGATTCAAGGAGGCGCGAGAACGTAGGATTTAAAGAGCCCCCATCCCACACATTGCACACGGCTTCCTTCCTCCTCACCACCCTAATAAAATTATCCCCATTTAACAAATGCAGAAGCCAAGACCAAGCAGTGACAACCTCAAGATCACACCTGTTACTTAGAAGCAGGGCTGGTCAGGAACCTAGGGTACCCGATTAAAAAGCCCAGCTCAGCCTTCCCCGTGGCTGGGACTGAAAACCCCTAAAGAAAAGCGGCATCAGATTCCGAGGTCTGAGGCCAGGAACATATAAGAACAATCACCCCGAAGAGCTCCTCTTGCCAGACAAAGCCCGCCTTTCTTCCCGTAGGAGAGCCTATGTTACACTCATTATCTTTCATCCCCCAGAGCTCCCCTGATGACCCCGGGGATATAATCCCTGGGCCTCCCAGCCTTTGAGGGGAGGTGGGTGTGGAACAGGGGAGCCATTGTGCTCTAATTAAGGGTCTCTTCTGAGGCTCCAAAGGGGGCCTCTTAATATGAAGGCTTCCCCTGTTCCCAGCTGTGCTGTGGGGATGCCCTCCGCCCCTCTGTGGCAGCCCACCTGCCAGCACTCATGAAAGGCTGTGCAGGTGAGGAGGGGTGAGGGCTCACATGACTAAGGGTCTTTCCTTGGAATATAAAGGAACGCAGTCCCCCCTTGTTCAAGGCCAAGCACCATTCATCCAGCTGCACTGCACGGAGTACAGTAAGGTAGGCTTCCACTTCTGGTGGTGTGGGGAGCCAGAGAGGGAGGAAGGAGGCAGGGAGAAAGAGGGAGGAAAGAGGAGGAGGGAGGGAAGGAGAAATGGGTGAATGGGAGGGTTCCTGGGGGCTTCCGGAGACCTGGCTGTTGCTCCAGGATGTAGCGGGAAACCCAAAGGCACTCTGAGCCCTTGTAGGAGGAGATGCAAGACCAGAGGCCCAGCACCTGGTGAGTTGACCTGGGAGAGAAATTTACAGCACTGTGCAAGGGTCCTGCAAACCTGTGTGGGCCCAGGACCCTCTCCAGGGCACCTGGTGTGGAAATGCAATCATGCTTCATTGTGGGCGGTCTTGACTGGGCACTCAGTGGGTGCCATGTCTGTTGTAAGGCTTATCCCATTTACTTCCCGTGAAAGCCGTCGAATGTGCATTTTGCTGCCCAGGAAAATGTGTTCCAGGTGCTTTAGCATCGGACTCCCGGCACCTAATGAGCAAAAGGCAGAGCCTAAACCCCCCACCACAGGGCTATGTGCTGCCTCCTGCTGGCCAGCGGCAGGTCTGTCCAGCCAGCAGGCCTTTCTGTTGGACCTTACGAGGCTGCTGTGGAACTGCTCATCAGGAAATAGGAGAACCAGGATCCCAAACGTGACCTGCAGAGCAAGCAGAGGCCTGCAGAGCCCTCTCAGGCCCACAGGGACAGCACTGCCCCACTCAGGGCCACGGACTGCCCTGGAGGCTTCCACGAAACAATTCCCACCCCATCCATCCCAGGCCACCTGCTGGCCATAGAAGGCTGCTGGGTTTCAGCCACAGCCTGTGCCACCCTCCCAGGACCCTGAGATTCGGGCGACCTCACGGTTGCTCAGAGCTGTCTGTCTGCTGCCACCTTCTGGCTGGCAGCAGGACTTCTGTGTTCTTGGTTCTCAGCAGGGAAAGCCAACCCAGTGTCAACCCCGTGTCCAGCCACAACCTAGACAGCAGCTGGCCACACTGAAGGCCTTCCTAAGCAAGTAACAACAGTGTCATGGCAGCTATGCGATGAATAATTACCAGGCTGTCCCCCTGGGATCGAATGGCTGGCCATGGAGCAGAGGCTGAAACAGACTGGCTGGCCCCAGATTGGCAGCTCCCTCGCAGCAGTGCCTGTTGGGGACGCGGCTTCAGCCAGTGATCAGGGGCTCCGCCTCAGACCACACTTAAGAAACAACACGAAGGCCTTTATTGCAACTGCTACCTTCCAGTGGGCCCAGTCCTGCAACTAATTCCTAGTGTTTGAGCCACTTCCCCGGATCAGGGGCTTCCTGAGTGCCTCACTTGGATTAACATAGCCAGTCCGCACCACAGCCACATAGGTAGCTGCTGTTGTAACAGTGCTGGGCTGGAAGCCAGGAGGCGTGGGGAGGAGGAGTGTTTGCCACAAGTTGTCCACCTCTGGGCCACAGTTATCCCATCTGTGAAATGGGATTTGGCCTGGGTGATTCAGGTGCCCCTTTCTCCAGGGCGTGATGGAGAACAGCTGCCCCAGCCAGTGCCAGGCAGTCACCTCCTTGCCTGGGGTCAGGGCGGCCTCCGTAGGGCCACTGGACACCTCTAAGTGTCACCTGTGGCGTTTCCACTTCCCATCTCGAAACTCTCAGTTTTCAACCTGCTCTCACGGCCTGAGAGGGACTCATTCAGAAGTGAGTTTCTGTAGAACAAGAGAGTGCCTGTCCAGCCTGGAAAATGAACCTGCTCTAGGCGTTTGTGTGGCCCAAGCAGGTGGTAAGCAGAGCAGGATGGAGAGGAGGCCCGAGCCCAGTGGGACTCTCCAAGAACACACATCTGACCCTTTCTCACGCATTAGGCAGGTATTTACCCTGCAGCCACTAGAGGCGAGGCTAGGCCCTGGGACAGGTTCACAGAGTCCTGATCCCAGAGCCCACCACGTCCTCTGGAACACCTTCCCAACACCAAGCCCTGTCCACAGGCAGAGTGAGCCACCAGCCCGTGGGGCAGTGTCGGCCTCTGGGAAGACAATTTGCAGACTTTACTCTAGGCTGATGCAACCCTGCAAGGGCAAGCCTGGGAGCTGAGCACCAGCTGAGTGCTGGTCTCTAGTTGCCCTCCTTGGCAAGCACCTTTGTTCAGTGCACCACATAGGCAACCCTATCAGCAATACTTTGTGGACCCCTGGGATGGCCTGTGTCCTGCTATGTTATCATTCACTGTCCTAAAATCACATTCTAAAGCAGAGGCCAATCATTTTACAATCTTTAGGAGTTTACAGTGCCAAGAAGCAAACATTTTAAAAATCCCTGATCCATTTTTCCCCTAATATATGGTTGACCAGCTCACGTCCTGCAAGTGATTATTTCAATCTGTGCTGATCTGAGCAGAGAGAAGCTGCTACTGAGTGCAGCAGGGTTCCTGTGCTCTGCACACCCGGCCCTGTTGTCACAGCTAAATACTGAACCCTTAGGACAGTATTATGTATTATGGCAGCCCAGTATTCATCATTCACAGACTCCAAGAAGTCAGACATGCATGTGGCAAGACATACCAGCAGGCCATGGCTGCCAAATTCGCTACTTGATGTCAGTACAAAAGTTCAGAACCAGTTTGCCCCAGATATATTTGGAATACTGGTGCATTGTGATGTGTGGGTTATTTGATGTTCAAACTATAGGACTTGATCAATTGCTTCCTTTTTCTGTGGGCCTGTGAAGGGCTCACAGCCTGGGAATGTGTGTTTTCCTCACTTTGCATTCCTCGACCCTGAATTTTTGATGCCCGACCCCTGGCAGGCCGCAATCCATGAGCACAGGATAATCAATGAGACCATAGTTGTGTCTTCCAGGAGCTCACGGTGAAGCTTCCATTTGACAGACAGGTAAACTGAGTCTCAGACCGAGAACGGGGTCTCCCTAACGCCATCGTGTTGGAGGCAAAGCCACAATAGAGCACTTGTAGGACTTCTCTCCTTTTACCGCACCCCGTGTGAAGCAGAGGAGGGACAGAGCTCGCCAAGTTCCTTCGAGGGGTCCCTGAAGCCACACTCATCACATCTGCCCGCTTCTCTCCCAGGAGGCTGCTCAATCGAAACCCCAGTCCTGCCCTTGGCTCTCCTGCCATGATCGCGTTTCTCCTCCTGAGTGTGCTGCTGGTGCCCCCTGCCGGTGAGTCTTGTATTTGACACCACGTTTCCTGCTAACAGGAACACAGGGAGAGGTCAAATTCCAGCTCATGAACTTATTGGCACTTCCTCTCCCCTGCCCAGTGAGTGAGGAGGCTCAAACATCAGCGATGAGCTGTAGGTTTAGTTCACTGGATTTTGGGGAGCACCTTGCTGTGCAAACTGGGGGTGGGAGATGGCACAGAGAACAAGACGGAGCCCCAAAGGGGAGCACTGGCCCCTGAGAAATTCCCCTTCACCCGAGCCCCACCTTTGGTCACGGGCTGCTGTCCTCCGTCTGGAGAGTGTTGGCCTTTCTGACGCACAGCAGTGTCCCCTGCTCTTTCATCCCCACGTTCCCAAGTGAGCTCTGCACCTCCAAAACCTAAAGACATCTAAGCAGGTTCCTTGGCAGCCTGGGTGATCAGTTCAAGTCCTCCTGGAGGCTCTGGCCTGTTTCCTGCTTACGCTCTTGCTTTTGTATCTGTGCAGCTCTCAAACACCTGGGCTTGCTCCTTTCCTAGATGGCCGAGCACCAGGTAACTGAGAGCTCTTATTATTCAGGGCACATTTCTTTGCTCTTCTCATATGCAAATAGAACCAGAAAATGTAGGAGGCTGTAAGGCCAGGAGAGCAGGCACAGGGTGGAGGGTACCCCGAGCCCTGGGCACAGCCCAGGCATAGGCAGGATAGCAGCAAGGAGTTGGGCGTCTTATGCACATAGATTGCAGCATGGTGGGAGCATGAAGTTCAAGGTAGGGGACAAGTCACAGAGGCTGCAGGCCTAATGAGCTGGTCAGGAGGTGCTGGATTGTCCTCAGAGTACGGGTTTCATGAAATGGTAACAAGTGCCCGGCCCTGGGGGCACCATCAGACATGGCGATGACGCAAAACACAGCATGGGCTCTGCTCCCCAAGCAGGATGAGGCCAGTCACCTCCCCGGCTTGGAATCAATGTTATTCTGGTGCACATTATCCTGACATTGCTCTGACCTTCCATGCTACCCCTGCCTGCTGCGGGACGCTGACCGAATTCTCAGCCCTCCAGGAAAAACAACCAAGAATCCAGAGTGCCTCTTGTAGTTACGATTGCAAAGGTGTGGGTGTGACAGCCGCAGAGTAAGCAGGCGTGTGAGGGAGAGAGCCTACCGTATTAATACGCCCACCTGCCACCCTCCAGAGAGGAATTTCATTATCAGCGGCACAAAGGGGCAGCGGTGAAGTAATCACTCAGGAACAGGCAGTATCACAGAATTGCTGCTCAAGTGGGTTACAGGTTTTCTTAGCTGCCGGCGGTGATCTGGTGGCTTCAGAGGCAATTATGCCAAATGCAAACAGAGCTGGAGCAATCACACAGGCACTGTGACAAGGGCTCAAATGGAACTGACATTGGGAGTCTCCCTCTGGGTCTGTGGAACTCTGTCCCCCGGTATCCAGTAGCTCCCGGGCAAGAAGGAAAGTCCTCTCCATGCCGAGAGCCTGATAGAGAGGCGATGTGGCTGCACCAGAAACAGATGGAGGAATGCACCCCCCAACCACCCTGAACACCCCCAAGGCAAAGTACCTTCTTCTCACCTGCAAACCACAGTCAGCGCCAGCCTGGCTTCATTTATTCTGCACAACATTCGGACTTTAAAGTGGAGCCAAGGGGAAGGCATTGTGGTACATCAGGTTGAGCTGCTGCTTGGGACGCCTGCATCCCATATTTGGGTCTCAGTTTGTTCCCAAGTATCTCAGGTACCCCCTCAAAGGTTGGTTTGGTTATGTCTGTGATCCGGCCACCTTGGCCCATGTGCATGCCAGTGAGCACATCCAGCAGCGTGAAGCTGAACTTCACCCTCAGCCCACCCCACCTGATGATCGGGGGCTGAGCCACTGAACTGTGTGTCCCAGGAGGAAGGGATGGAGAGCTCCGGTGCTAAATGGATCACCCTGCCCTAAGCCAGTGAACCGCAGCTTCCTCTCTTGGTAGCTTCCTATTCTTCCATTGCCATCAGTAGGTGTCTGCAGGGGGGTGGGCAAAGTCTAGGGTCCTTGTCCTTTGATCTGGAACGGTCCTGGGTGACTCGTTTGTCTCTGCTCTCCTGTTTTACAGGTGAGGAATAAGGGGTCTGAGAGGCTGTCGCTCCCCCTCTTCGTGGAGGAGCAACACAGGACCCTGCGCTGTTCTTTCGTCTGCTCGGCCCTCCCTGGGTTTGCTGCTGGTTCTTCCCGGGTTGGCTACTGTCCCTTCCACCTCCGTGGAAGGGCAGTTCCCCCTGGCCACATTCCCCACTTCCGCAGGGGAGCGGCACACCGCCGGCCGGCTCTTTCGGGGGCTGCACAGGTGTTCCCCTTAGATGTTCCTGGTGCATGCCGTCTCTCTCCTCCTTTATAGTCCTCCTCTGCCAATCCCAACTTGGCTGCCCACACGCCGAGTACGCTGCTCTCCTCCAATCAGTAGCAAGTCCTACAGTTTATTGGTTGAACTGGAGGCAGCTGTGCGGAAGCTGTTTACTTCTCTCCCAGCGCCATATTGTGGGAGAGCAGATGCATAGAATAAGTCTTAATTCCAGTAACTCAGTCCAGTCCGGGCTGCTCCCCACAGATCCCCCTTTCTTTTTATTTTTTGGCGTTGATACGCGCCTGTCTTCGGTGTCCCGCGGCACACACTCTGCTCTACTTGCTAGAGTTGCCACAGGTTCTTACAAGTCCTATCAATCAGGCAAACCGAATCCGGGTCCTCTCTTCGCCATGTTGTGAGGAGGTTTTTAGGCGCTGATGCGTGCCTGTGTTCGGTGACCTGCGGCTCACACTCTGGTCGAGCCGCTTGCTGGTGCTTACCGCCTTAATCAGGCAGACCGAATCCAAGCCTCCTAATTGCTGTATTGTGGGGAGGCCTTACTGATGTTAATTCGTGCCTGTCTTCGGTGACCTGCGGTGCATAAGCTGCTAGCCGCCCGCAGGTGCTCATCGCCTCACTTAATCAGGCAGACCGAATCCAAGCTTTCTCATTGCCATGTTGAGGGGAGGCCTTTCTATTTCTCTATTTATCTCCGGGCATTCCTATTTCTCCCATTTTACTTCTATCTTCCAGCATTCCTATTTCTCTCATTTTACTTCTAAACTTGTTTCTCTTATCCCTGCGGCTTTCCGGTGCCCGCCCCGAGGCTGCTTCTCGGCGGCTTTCCGGCCCTGAGCCGCTTCAGCCCGCTTCTCTTTCGCGTCTGAACCACAGCCTCGCGCCAGCCCCGCGTTCCCTATCTATTCACACCCCGTGCTCTCTCTGCACGCGGCGGCTTCCGCGAGTCACACAGCGTAGCTTGCGTCTCCGCCACTAGCATTCAATCCAAGTTCCCCGGGCTAGCCTGGCGAATTCAACCCAGCTTACGTCTCCGCCCCACGGTTTGGCTTCCCGTCCTTTGCTCCCCGGGCTAATCAGACGGATCCCAACCAGGCTTACGTTTCAGCTTCTGGTTTTAACTTTTCGCCCCCTATTCCCGGGCTAACTTGAGAATCCCAAAGTGGCTTTCGTATCCGCCTCGGCCTGCCCCCCGCGGCTTCAATTTCCCTAACATTTTTCTCTACCCGGTATGTTTCCCCAAGCTTTCCTCCAACAATATTCCTCCCTCATTTCTCCTGGCCTCTCCCCACAGTCCGTATCCGAGTCTGTTTGTTCTAGCTTTCACTTTCACTTTCGACCTTAGAGATTTCTCCCAGCTTCCCCCCGTAGTCCGTATCCGAGTCTATGCCTAGGCTTTCAATAACTCCTTCCGGCACCTTTTTCGTCTGGCTTTTCCCTAGGCTGTTTGCTAGTCTCTCTCTCCGATATTTTCCCTAGGCTGTTTGCTAGTCTCTCTCTCTGATATTTTCCCAGTTCTTCCCGTTTCTTCCCTCTTAAGTTTGCTATCCGTCCTAGGTTTCCTATCCGAGTCACGGCACCACTTGCTGCTCCTCCGCACGCGGAGGAGCCGCACCGGACCGGGCGCTTGTTGTTCCCTTTTTTTACAAGTCCTTTCTATAGTAAAGTAAGAATAAGTAAACAGCAAACTCCCAAAGCAAGAATGAGTAGAGAGAAATGAGAAAGAACGAAGTAACGAACTTCCCCGCGAACTCTCCAACGCACTCTCCAACCAACCCACACCACTATGCCGTCTCTCTCCTCCTATATAGTCCTCCTCCGCCAATCCCAACTCGGCTGCCCACACGCCGAGCACGCCGCTCTCCTCCAATCAGGAGCAGCTCCTGCAGCTTGTCAAGTTGGTGAGAGGCAGCTGGGTAGAAGCTGTTTACTCCCCTCCCAGCGCCATATTGTGGGAGAGCAGATGCATAGAATAAGTCTTAATTCCAGTAACAGTCTAGTCTGAGTTGCTCCCCACAGAGGCTAGGTCTTCCCAAGCCCACACAGCTAGGGGGAAGGACCAGGGATGCCCGACCAGCAGAATTTTCTGCAAACTCCAACAGATTGAGTTCAGTCAGAAGAGGGTGGAAGTGGCAGCCTGTGACTATTACTCCAGAGGGTGGCAGGAGAGAGGATCTGGACAGATGGCTGCTCACCAGTCAGGAGCCCTCCTCACCCAGATTCTTTCCCTTTCAGCTGCTCAGTGTCGGCTGGTAGAGTCTGTGCACACACACGCACCCCACAGCTGGCTGGAGGGTGGTTCCACTGGCACAGAAAAACACATCCAACAGAAAGCTTCCCAGCCCAAATGTCAATGGTGTGAGGCTCCAAGCCAATCAGGGCAAAGCCAGGCATCATGGTGCGGCGGGGGTAGGGAGGTGGGGGTTGGGGTTCACTTCCCTGAGAAGATTGTGTCCAGCGTGCTTCTGGGAAGGCTGTGGTTCTAATTGATGGGATTTCCCAACAGCATGAGCCTGACGTCTGCTTCCAAAACTGTCCATTTGATACTAAAACACAAGCATCTCTCTAGACCAACTGCATGCTTTGTATCACTGCCACTTGGGTGGGAGACCCAGACGAAGCTCCTGGGCCAGGCCATTCGGAGATCGAATCAGCAGATAGAAGATGTCTGTCTCTTACCCTCTCTCTCTGCAACTCTGCCTTTCAAATAAGTAAATATTTAAATAAAAGCACACCAGGGCTATCCCAGCTTCCCCTTCGTTACCTTCAAGAGCAACCACAGAGGTCTAGCGCATGGCAGGGACCAGGAAAATGTGCAGGAAATCGAGTGGCATGCATTGCTGCCGTCTCCCTGGCCGTCACCTCCTAGCCTTCGACGGCAGGTGTGTGACAGCAGTGCTAACCCTCATCTTTCTTCCTTTTTTGCAGGGGGCCATGTTCTGGATACACCACATCTCCCTCGGGAGCTGCCTCCAGGACTCTCAAAAACTATCAGTAAAAACTGTTTGATTTTTTCTTATGATCTGGGTAGAAGGTTTTGTCTAGGATATTGGCAGAGAATACGATATGTTCTGAAAATACCCTAAGCCACTTACTGCTGTGGCATTACTAAAGTGACTCAAGTGGAAGAAATCTCCCCAGAAATCTCTCCCAATCTGACCTGCCAGTCTCTCCTCCAAGACAGAGGTCTGCTGTAAAGGGAAAGCAGGAAAATGAAGTAATGAAGGGATCACGAGGGTTATGAAGTCACTGTATGTCAGCTTCAAAGTGAGCTTCCTACGAGGCAGGCAAGAGAATGGCACATTGTCTGCTCAAGTTAAAAGAAAGGGGATCCATCTATGGATACAGGTATAAGGGGATCCATCTATGGATACAGGTATAAGGGGATCCATCTATGGATACAGGTATAAATATATTTGATCCAGGAGAAAGGGGAAGTTACTCTGGTGCTTGATTACAGAGAATCCTCAATGGTCCTTATGTGGGCATCACTGGAGAACGCAAGGTGTGGTAAGCGAGCTGGTGATGTCAGCCCTCAAGCAAGGGCTCATCTGCAACCATTTAGAGAGAGGAGTTGATCAACCTTTGTCCATGAACCTCTGCATGCAAGGTGACAGTCCCACACAAACCCATACGACAAATGGCAAAGACCCCAGGGAAAACAGTTCCCTCAGGGGTCTTCTGCAGGTACACATTTAGACTCACAGGTCATACCCGACACTGCGCAGGATCAGAGCAAAGCAGCATCCGTGCCTGTGGGCCACAGAAGTCCTCCCTCTTCAGCGACAACATCCTCATAAGGATCTATAAAGCAGTTCAGGATCCCCTAGGTAACCCCTGAGGTGTAAGAGAATGGGACCCACAGGAGCAACCACAGAGCTTCCCTGGCCCGGCACCTTCCTTCTGCACAGATACCCACATCGATAGTAACAACTCCCTGGAGAGAATACGTAGGATGCTCAGTGGGAAGGTTTCCAGTCACGAGAGTCATCACGCTGAAACACAGCAATGACTGCCCACCAGCTATCCCCAGCACACCCACCTTTCCTCCAGGCCTGCTACCCCTTCCCATGTGGGGCTCAGTTTTGTTTTTAAATCATTGATCAATGATGCCACTAGCACATCTCACTGTTCGTGTTCAGGTTTCCATGGCAACCTGTGTGTCTCGAAAGTTAGTCCAAGATCAAATCTGTCCTTAGACGAGGAAAGTTTTGACCCTTCTGGATCTGGAGGAGCAGAGAGGGAGAAACCAAGACTTTTTAACTTATTTTCTCTTTCTTCCACTTAGATACCACGTTCTTCAATGGGGTGTTCAAAAACGTGGAAGGTGTGGCTGAAGTTTTTGGTAAGTTGCTTGTATCTGTTAAGTAGCAGTGCATGAAGTATGTGTGGGAAATCTGAGGAAGTTACCAGGGCCTTGGTCTCTGTCCTCTGAGTGCGGCAGCTACCCTAGCAGGCTCCCAACCACGACACCCAGGTTCTGATGGGTGAAGGGACGGCTTTCATTGCAGGATGATGCACCCGGTCATTGTCCCGACTACAAACTGGCCAGGAAGGGACTGGTGTCCTCGTTTTACAGCCATGGGAACTGAGTCTAAGTCAGAGTTAAGTGACTTGCCTAAGGCCACACGGTGACAAGGGAGGTGTTCTCCTGAATCTAGAGCTTAGCTCCCCTTTACAAAGTGATTTTATCCCCACCCCCCATGAGTAAATACGTGTGTGTGTGTGTGTGTGTGTGTGTGTGTGTGTGAGAGAGAGAGAGAGAGAGAGAGAGAAAGAGAGAAAGAGAGAGAGAGAGAGATTGACTTAAGGATCCCAGAGTCTCTGAATATGTAACTTAAGGATTCCTAAGGGTACAAAGAACTCCATTTATCACTTGCATATCTGTTCTGATGACCAGGATGTCATGATGGTTCCTATATCAATCACTAACAGTGTTCCAAAATGAGGGGACAATATGATTGGCCCCAAGCAGAGACTCAGGGCTGCTGTCAGGTTGAGTGATGCTGTGAGTATACATGACTCTAGGCAGGCGCTCTAGAATACGTCACACATAAACCCTAAGTGGCTTTTCCCATCATTATAGAATCGTTTCTTAATTTTTCTGGTGAGGCTTTGTGGAAACAATACGTGAGACAGGGAGTGTGAATGAGGTGGAGAGAAACCAGAGTAGTCCGGTGGAACTGGCCCACACAGATGACTCCTTGATCCTGCAAGCTGCCTCGTGTGGCCCTATGCATTTTAGTCATATCAGATCACCCCATTTAGCACTTAATAGTTCTCTAGCCCGAAGAGCACAGAATGGAAAAGGTGAACATGAGAGTTACAGTCAGACAATTTTAACAGTGGTCTCACCAATTTTTTTGCAGTATGCTTAGGGCAAACTATTCTCCCTACCTGATCCTTTGGGAAAGTCTCTGACCTTTCCTTTATCTGTGAAATGGAGGTGACAGACGGGATTAATGCAAGGCTTACGGCATAACAGAATGAAAGCTTTCTGTGCAGTGTACTAAGCTCACCTTCTAGACAAATTAAAGCACCTGGTGCAATTTCTGCCACCTAAGCTTGTGTCTGTACCCCTTTCCTTCCTACACTGGCTTGGAAGTCTACAGTGCCAGCCAGCACCGTATCACTTGAGATCCACTCAGCAAACTAACAGCACCTTAAACAATACGGACATGCCATCATCTAAAACAGCAAGTAGGATGAAGGCCCAAGAAGCCCAACACACATAGCCTTAGTGAAGATGCACCTTCTCGTTCTATCTTGTTCTACTGCTGCCCTGAGCACACCGATTTTTAACTTTAGGCTGAGGCTTCATGGTGGAAACAGCCACAGTTCTAACCAGAATAACCTCATCCACACTCAACGGGGGAGAAAGGTGTAGATCAACAGACTCTCCCCACATGCCTTTATTGTCTAGGAAGTACTTTCCAGGAGCTGTTAGGACTTCAAGTTTTTAATGACCAGATCTGAATTCCATGCTCAGCTCCAGCACAATCTTTGGCATGGAGGCATAGGATGACCATGAGTCTCTGAGAACTCCCAGGGCCTTAGGGAGGAGGCTTGCCTTCCTTCAGCTTCGTTAGCAAGGAAGAAGGCATCAGGACTGTTAGCTGGACAGCCAACAGGGGCTGTGGCTTTGAAACCTGCATCCCTCCAACTTTCTAGATCAGTCTGGGAACACAATAGGTGCTTGCTAGGCTGATGTAGCACCATCAGCCCAAGTTGTAGGAAATCCAAGGTATAAAGAGTCCAGGTATATGAACAGGGGGTCTTTCCTAGACCCTGGTTCCCAGAACCCATCAGGACCTTTGCCCCTCCCCCTAGATTGCCTGGGATCCCACTTCACCTGGCTTCAGGCTGTCTTCACCAACTTCCCTGCACTGCTGCAATTCGTGAACGGCATGAAGTGTGTGGCTGGTCTCTGCCCCCGGGATTTTGAAGACTATGGCTGCGCCTGTAGATTTGAAATGGAAGGGCTACCCCTTGATGAGCCTGACAGGTGAGCAAGATCCACAGGTAAGCAAGCCCAAAATGTGAGCGCATGGGATTCCCATGGTCCTCCGAGAATGCTCATGAAACATCGCCAGGGACTTAAGGAGAAGGCTCAGCTTCCTTCAGTTTTGTTGGTAAGGAAGAAGGGATCAAGGCTGTTGGGTGAGCAAGCAACAGCGTGGTTGATATCTGAGGGCAGAGCAGAAAAATGGAAACGGTCCTGCCCTGGAGATTCAGACAATGCCTTAATCCCAGGCGACTGTTGTCCTCATCTTCACATTACAGTGCGATCTGTCTCCTCTCATTCCAGTGGGATATTAACCTGTTAATTTATGTGAGGCTTCATTTTAGCATTCTAAGTTTGGATTCATCTGTATCTGAACCACCTATGTGTTTGTTAAAATGCAAGCTCCTGGGACCCATTCAACCACTGTTGACTGAGGATACCTTTGAGTGAAACCTGGGAGTGTGAATTTTAAACATTCCCCCCAGTGACTCTTCTGCATAATAACGTTTGAGAAATATTTCTAATTCAGAGCAGTTCTGGCCAAGAGAGGTAAAGCATCTAAGAAGATTTCTGTACCATTTAACACATTTGAACCAAAAGCAATAATCTGCCACTGAGCATATGATAAACAGAACACCATCCATTCTTTGCACAGGTAAATGTCTGATGGAGAATACAAAGAAAAGAGGCCAATAAAGATATGCTCCCTCCCTCCCTACAAGGGAATTGCAAATTAAAACAGCATGCCAAGTTTCACCATCATATTAGCAACAAAATGTAAACTCTAGAAGCATTAAGCATTGGCAAGGAGGTGGCAAGGAGGGACTGGAACAGGAGGGCTAATTGGGACATGCACCGATTTGGGAAATTTGGTGCTACTTGTTAACGTTTAAGGATATTACCAATGCCTCAGTACTTCCTAGTCTATGCTCCTTATTGATTCTGCTATCTAAGATCAACTTATTTAACTTCTTTGTGTCCCAGTTTCTTCATCTGTGAAGTGGAGGTAATGATAATATCTATTGCACAATTATTACTTGGGATTAAGTTACCAAGTTCAAGAGATTGGAATGCTGCCTGTCTTACGAAGTCTGAGAATTATTAGTGTTCGGTAGCAGTAGCAGTAGCAACCATAGAAGCAGGGCTCTAGTAGTGGTAGTAACAGTAATAATTGTATTAACAGTAGCAGTAGTAGTAATAGCGACAACAGCAGTAATGGGAGTGGTAGTAGCAGTAATAGTAAAGTAGTAGTAATAGTAGTTGTAGCTATGATAGCATCAGAAACAAAAGCAGGCAGAAGTAGGAAACTGAACCCAGTCTCAACTCTACTCCTTGAACCATGCCTCACTCCATGGCACTCCCTCTGTTCCCAAACCCAGTGTGATGGAGTGTCTTTCATCTGCATGGACGCATACAAGTCCCTTTGTAACATCTCAGAGCTCAACTCTGCCCTGGAATTTCCTGCAGGACCCCCTCTTTGAATGTCCCGACTCTTAGGTACCAGGACAATCTCTGTCCTCCCCAAACTCCTGTGCTTCCCTGCCCTGCACCTATCACGTGGTCCAGCACGTGCGTGCAGGTTCTGTCTCTGCACTCCACTCAGCAGCCTCCGAGGAAGATCTGTTCTGTATGAGGTCTTTGTACTTCTCGTGAAGACAGTACCTGACACAAATTAAATTAACCGATTGCCTGGGTGGTCAGCTTGCAACGGCTCTTCAAAGATTAAAAATAAATGAGGGAACAAAAGAGTGATTACCCTTGGTTGACAAAAAATAATGGCTTTGCCATTAAGCACCTCCACACCTGCAAGTGTGAGTATAAATTGCCTCTGGAATGAAAGGGCAGTTTCCCATTATAGGGACCATGAGCAAACCGACTCCTGGTGTGAGCTGGTTGACATTTAGAGGGGAGAGGCTGATTCTGTATGGGGCACTGGGCCAGGCCCTGTCTGGGGATGTTTTCCTTCTAGGTCCTCCCTTACCACCTCCTTTAAGTATGAAAATAAAACAACTTGTGTACCTAGACATCAAAGAATGAAACACTAATTCATCACTGTCTCCAGTCCCAAACGAATGCCCTGGCTGGCAGAACGACGGGTGGCACCCAATTTCTCTGATTTTACACAATTCATTGGACGGCAGTGGGGATTTCCACACTCCTGGAAGGCAGGCTGTTTCCACCTTAAAATCACACACCAAATTCCAAAAATAATTGCTGCCATTTACCAAGTGCCTACCACATGGTAGGGTCTATATCAATGTTTTCTTGTGCCCCCAAATTCTTACAGTGTGAGAAATCAAGTAGCTTGCCCAAGGTCACTGGCTGCCTGAATATTTTTCTTCTTTCTACTGGTCTCACTGACTTCCTGCCTGCACTGCAGGAGACCCTGACCTGCCACATTCAGTGTCAGCTATGCTCTGTGCCAAACCTGGACTTTGGCAAGTTACAGAGCCTTCGTGCCTCAGCATACACACCTGGATATGCATATAACAATGATCGCACCTGCTGCAAAGCTTCACGTGGGGCAGAATGAGCTAACACAAAGAGTGGCACCTGGTAGGCACTCAACAAATGGAGGCTGCTACCATGGAATTAAGGATGGGGTGTCGATTTCAGGAGCCCCCTTTCCCAGCCTGTTTCAGGGCCTCTCCTGCCAACCAGTTCCCATGAGAGTTACCAAGGCCCTTAAGGCCAAGGCCCCACCTTAACTTCTCTCCCAGGCACAGAACTGGGGTCCTGTATAGACACAGTACCTGAGGATTTGTCCACAGTAGGCTCAGCACCTCTGTCTTCCCCAGCGTTCCATAGGTGATTCCTGCACCAACCTCCAGGCAGGAGTGCAGTCTCCCTGGGGTGTGTGTGTGTCGGGGGGTGATCATTTGCCCAACAAAAAGTTGCAAAGCCACTTTGAGGTGCAGGAGTAGCACAGGCCACGGAGCCAGGATCCCCGGCTTCCAGCCCAGCTTTTCTGCTCTCTCAGGGAAGGCAGCGTTTAAAAGCAAGGCGCTGGAGCCTGATTCCCGGACCTCAAGCCCCAGCTTGGTCCCTGCGTGGCTGTGCCAGCCTTAGGCAAGTCCTCTTCGGGCTTCAATGTCCTATAAGATAAGGACAGCACCGCCTCACTTGCAGGCTTGTCACAAGCATTATATGTGAAGTGTCTGGAGGAGTCCCTGGAGTTAAACCCAAACGTCTTAACCATTATTAGCAGACGGCTTCAAGACCCAGTTTCCCCAGTGGTAACGTTATCCTCGAAAGATGTCAGTAACTTGCCTGTGATGAGTTGCCAGGAAGCTGGACAGCCAGGATCCAGAGTCTCTGTGTGGCTGCAGAGCCCCACTCAGCACTTTCTCCTGTCCCCAGAGCATGAGGAGGGTTGGTGGCCGTGCCTCGAGTAGCCGCCCTCTCCATGTAGCACTCCAGGGCTGGAGCAGGCAGTGGAGTGGCTCCCAGCTTGAGGAGACATCCGAAGGCAGCTCACTTGCCTCCTCCCGGGCCCAGGTTTATATTAACCTGCTCCCTCCTCCCTTGCTGGTCATCAGACATCATTAAGTTTCCAACGAACCCAGCTGGAACCTAGGGCCTCCCACTCAAGCCAGTGGAGTTCTCCACTTACAATCCACTTTCGGCCAAGAAGGCGGACTTCCCTGGTCCTTGACTGTCTTGCTCTGACTTTGTTCCGTGTTTACGCAGTGGAGCACCTACGTTGCCCACCGTGTGCTGTGTCTATGCCATGCTTGGGGCTGAATCATAGCGCCCTGCCATGGCCGTCCACTCCCTCTGCGGCAAACTTGCTGTGTGACCTCGCAGAAGTCACAGCCCCTCCCTGGGCCCCCAATTCCTTATCTCCACAGCAGGGCAGAAGCAAGCTTCACATTCACCCCCTAAGTGTTCTCCTGTGTGTTCTTTTTATTAATGTGACCCAATCGTATCTGATCTCTGCAAAGTTCCCGGTGTTAACGCTTGATCATTCCCTGCCTTCAGAATATGAGCTTTGCTCTTTCTCCTCCCTCCACTTGCTGGGAGTGTCAGCTTCACACACCTGTCGTGCATGTAGAGAGACAGATGATTTCTCAGTACAGAAGCCACCTGCTCGCGAGGCTGTCTCGTGCAATCCCACGCAGGGGCACACAGGCAGAAGGTGCCAGGTCCCTGTTGTGGCTGATCTGCTCTTCTTTCCATTTGCTGCATGGTTTTCGGGTTTAGTAACTTGACCTTGATGGGTCAAGGGTCAGTTTCTTTATGTCAAGGCGTTACAGGAGACCCCCACATTGGCCTCGGCCTTGTCTTCACAGGGAAGCCAAGCACGTGGTGGAACTGTTTCTCCCACCAGCAGCAGACAGGGAAGGGCTGGGGAACCCAGCTATTGTGTGAGGCCAGGCAGAAGGAAGAGAGAAAGACAGACAGCTGCTGTTTATGATGGTGGCTGGCCACATAAACAGTTGTGGACAGCAACAGGGAGTGGGATTGAAGGAGCATCCAATGACCGCATCGGGGTTAGGACCAGGCAGGCCTGACCTTGGCCTTCACTGAGCCATCTCAGTAAATCCTGAGATCCAGGGCATCTGGCTGGATGCAAAGACCCACTGCCATCTGAAGCTTGTAAGAGCAGATGGCGTGTGTGTGTGTGTGTGTGTGTGTGCATGCATGTGCTCACCGAGTATTTGAAATAGATCACTGCCAAGAGCCATCCAGAGACACAGAATGACCAGGACCTGTCTGTCCCTCCCCTCCCCTAACCCTGACCCTCACCTCACCCTGCTGCCCCTGCCACAGCTGCTGCTTCCAGCACCGCAAGTGCTACGAGGAGGCGGCTGAGATGGACTGTCTGCAAGACCCTGGCAAGCTCGGTGCAGATGTGGACTGCATCGGCAAGAAGATCATGTGTGGTGAGCATCTCCTGGTACTCAGGGGGGCTGGGCTGAGAACGGACAGTTCAGGGGCGCAGGCCTGGCCAAGCCCAGGGCTCCCAGGATCCACTTGCATCCCTCATGGCCAGTGGCATCATCACAGTCCTTACTGAGAGCCCATGAGGGCTGGAGCTATGGCATCTGCCGCTTGCATGGAGCAGATGCACAATAAATGTTTTATGCGTGGGAACAAGTCAGCAGATTATTGATTAGCAGACTGTTTTATTTGTATTTAGGGAAAAAACATTTGTAACACACATAAAAATTGGACACATTTATGGAGTATCATGTGTTGTTTTGATACATGTATACATTGCATAATGTGCAATCAGGGTAAATCTATCTATGTCCTCAAACACTGAGCATTTCCTTATGGCAAAAACATCCAAAACCCTATCTTCTAAGTTTTTTCCTTCTTATAATGAAATATACAGTACATTAATGTTATCTGTAGTACCCTAGTGTGCAAAGGAGACCCAGCAATTCTTACTCTGATCTAGCTCCAGCCCAGTACCCACCAATTAACCCTCTCCCTCCCCTTCCTCCTTCTTCCCTTCCCAGCCTCTGGCAACCCCCACCATACTTTTCTCTCCTGTGAGATGACTATTTTAGACTCCACACAGGACTGAGATCCTATGACACTTGCCTTTCCATGCTGGGCTTACTTCACTTAACATAATGACGTCCAGTTCCACCCATGTTATTGCAATTTCATCCTTTGTTGTGGCTGAAGAATATTCCATTGCGACCAGATGCCACATTTTCTTTGTCCATTCTTCAGTAGATAGACATGTAGGTGATCTCTGTGTCCTGGCTATTGTGAATAGTGCTGCAACAGACATGGGAGTGCAGGTGTAACTGACAATTTTCATGTGCAGTGACCCTGAGAGTTTGGGAAGGATTAGTAATTTTCTTCTTGTGCATTGTGAACATTGGAACAGTTACTTAACTCCTCTGAACCTCAAAATGGAGAGGAGAATACCTACTTTGGAGATTTACTATGAAAACAAAATTGAGCAGCGCTTGTGAAATGGTTAGCAAGGGGGCTGGTATGTGTTAAGAACTCAGAGAAGGAGGTGGAGGTGGGGATAGTGAAGGTGGATGTGGTGGTGGTGGTAGTGGTGCTGGTGTGTAAGAACCAGACATTTATGGGTTCAGATTTCAGCTGTCCACATTATTTGCTGTGTGACTACAGGAATTATTTATTTTTCATGTATCCGGGCAACTCTGACAGAAGAAATATAACAGGCAAAAGCTTGGAAGGAGTGTGTTGGGGCACTGTAATAGAGCCATCCTTTGTGCATGCCTACTATGTGAGATTGGCTTTACACAAAGTAGTGTCACTCCTTCTCACCCCCTATTCGATGGGGGCCATTGCTCACCGTTTTCAGACAAGGGAAGGAAAGTGCAGAACAATAAAATAACTTTTCGCAGGGCACTAAGTGTCAGAGCCAGTGTTTGAACCCAGATCCACCTGATTCCCAAGTCCAGCTAATATGGACCGGCTAGGGCACAGAGCATCAGGGAAGGACCAAGATGGGGCACAGGGTGTGACCCACCGGGTGAGAGCCCAGTAAGCATGAAAGCAGGATTCATTCATTCACTCACCAGGTCTGTGTTGAGTGAGGCACCAGTGTACGGCAGCTGTTCCAGGGTTTGAGAGGTCCTGACCTTCTGCACCATCCAGGGCTGTCAGACATTGAAAGTATCAGATGAAATAGTGCACTTGATGGTAACAAAGGCTCTGGAGAAAAATCAGGGGAAAGGGATAAGCAGGGCTGGGGTGGAGGCTCCTGTTCACACAGGAAGGACAAGAAAAGCCCCCACTGAGATGACATTTGAACAAAATCTTGCCCGAAGAGGTGGGAAGGGATCCCTGTGGGTGCCTGGGAGAGGTGCAGTGCAGAGAGAGGATACAGGGGTCAGGGATGGAAACAAGTGCTGGTGAGGGGACAGGAAGGAGAGGTCTGGTGGGAAACCGTCAGGTGATGGGAAGGCATCAGAGGGTTCTGAACAGAACAAAGACGTGGCTTGACCGGAGTTGTTCAAAGGTTGTTCTTGCTCCTGCTGGAGAGGAGACTGGACAGTAAGGAAGAAAGCAGGGACTCATCCCAGGCCAGCATTCAGTGATGGCGGCTCGGCCAGCGTGGCAGAGTGGAGATGGGGGACAAGACCAGGCTCTCAGTATGTTGAAAGTGGGGTAAGAAAGATTGCTGATGGGTTGGGTTGAGTGTGAGAGAAAGTGAGTGGGCATGACCTCGAGTGTGGGTCCATACAACTGTCTTAGAGATGGTGCTGATGTGCAAGTGTAGCGGATCCTCAAAGGGCAGACCGGGAGCTCAGTTTTGGAACTCACAGTGTCCCTTGGGATTCCGTAAGATCTTTCCAACCTGTTCCTCCATTTCTCTATGCACAGAGTCCACGGACCCTTGTGAGCACCTGCTGTGTACTTGTGACAAGACTGCCATAGAGTGCTTGGCTCAGTCTGGCATCAACTCTTCCATGAACCTTCTGGATGCCTCCTTTTGCCTGGCTCAGACTGTGGGTAGGAAGGACGGGGGCTTGCATACACAGGGGTTGACAATCAGGGCAGGAGCTGGGATGGGGCCGATCGATGCCGTCTTCACATTCCACGTGGGGCCCCTCACCAAGGTCACTGCTCTAAGAAAACTGCCCATGTGCTTTGCTTCCAGAGACAACCAGCAGGAAGGAGCTGCTGACACTTCTGCCCAGAGGTGAGGCCTTGCAGGGAAGCTGGCTCTCCCTGGGATCTCAAAGGTGATGGAAGGGAAATGGATGCTGGTGGCAGGAGTCAGTGGATGCATCTCCATCACTGGGCCTGACTCGTGGAGGCTGGAGTGACCCCTGGCCTAGACATGCCTACCTCTCCCTGGTCAAAAGATGGGATTGCTTCTGCTAAACCCAAACATGCAACATCCAGTGGTCTCAGTGTGGACCCTGTCTCTTGCTACATGACAGGTATCAGGGCCCTGCCATGCAGTGTGGCCAGTGCTCAGATAGCAGGGCCCTCCTGGCTGAGTGAGCTCCCATCACTGTGGGCCTCAGGGACAGACCCGCTGCCTCCTCTCTCCACACCTCCCTCTCCATCTGTTCTCTGGAGCCACAGCAGGAGGGTGTGTGTGTGTGTGTGTGTGTGGATGAGTGTGGAAGGGGTTGTGTTGGAAGTGTGTGAGTGTGTGTGCATGTATGTGGGGTTGTATAGTGTCTGTGTGTGTGAGGGTGGAGAGGGGTGTGTGTATGCCCTGGATTTAGAGGGAGTCTCTTTGAAAAGAGAGGCTGCTTGTCTTGCAACTCTTCAGAGCAGAGCGGGTTCTTAGTAACTGTCCAGGGATTGTGTTCTTACTCTAAAATATGGGATTCACTTTTATGACTGTCATTCCTTGTACACTGAAGTTTCCACAATCTCCCAGTCCCAGGACCTTTGGGTACCCAGGGGTGAGAAGTCCAGGGTACAAGTTCAAGTTGTACCTCAGCAGAGCACCCCTCCACTCCTGCGGCTGAGGTCTCTCTCCTGCAGCTACTCTTGTTTACAAGGAAACCTGTGTGTGTGCGTGCGTGTGAGTGTGTGAATGATGTGTAGGTGGGGATGTACAAGCATGTCTGTGTGCATGTGTGAATGTGGTAGGGATATGTGTGTACACATGTACACATGTGTGTATGAGTATGTGGAGAAGTATAGGTGTGTGTGTGCAGGGGTGTGTATGAGAGTGAGGAAGGATGTGCTCACATGTGCATATGGACATGTGTGTGTGAGTGTGCATGTGGGGGTGTATTGGTGTCTGTGTATGTTTGCATGTGTGTGTGCATGTGAGTATGTGTGTATGATGTGTATGTGGGGATGTATAAGCATGTCTGTGTGCATGTGTGAATGTGGTAGGGATATGTGTGTACACATGTATGCATATGTGCATGAGTATGTGGGGGAAGTATAGGTGTGTGTGTGCAGGGGTGTGTATGAGAGTGAGGAAGGGTATGCTCACGTGTGTGTATGGACATGTGTGTGTGAGTGTTCATGCAGGGATGTATTGGTGTCTGTGTATGTATGCATGTGTGTGTGTGCAAGTGTGCGTGAGTGTGAATGATGTGTAGGTGGGGATGTACAAGCATGTCTGTGTGCATGTGTGAATGTGGTAGGGATATGTGTGTACACATGTACACATGTGTGTATGAGTATGTGGGGGAAGTATAAGTGTGTGTGTGTGCAGGGGTGTGTATGAGAGTGAGGAAGGATGTGCTCACATGTGCGTATGGACATGTGTGTGTGAGTGTGCATGTGGGGGTGTATTGGGGTGTCTGTGTGTGTGTGTGTATCATGTATCTCTAAGTTCCCCGAGTTCTCTCTTTTCCCCCCTACCATCTTGGCTCCCTTTGAATAGGGGTGTTCTGAAGGTGGGAAATGTGGGGTTAGCAACCCCCTCCCTGCCTTCAGCCCAGGTACAACAGTGTCCAGGCTGTGGTCCCTCCTGAGCTGAGACGTTCTGGGTGCCCCCATGTCTGGGAAGTGTAAGAGAGGTGGATGGCTCTTCCACAGCAGGGTCTTTCGTGGCCACCTTCCTCCCTTGGTCCAGTGGCTGCAGCCTGCGCTTTGAGATGCTGCATTTGGTGCTGACTTCGTGTTGCGCTGGTCATTGCTTTGGGTTTCTGTTTTTCCAGTGTTTCCTGTGGAGCCTACAGACACCAGCCTGACAGCCCTCTCGGGGGAAGGTGAGCTGGCATGGAACTATTCCCTGTACCCATGGCTGACTGGGCCACCACCAAGGGGGCTGGCACACGACCCACATACCCATGTCCTGATTGTTCTGTCACCAAGCATCAGCTCCCCTAAAATGTCCCCTGTCTGGCTTTCTTACAGAATTGACCCATTATATATATTGCCATATATATGCCAATCGGGCATCCTAAACTTTCACTTACTAAACCTGCCAAGCTGTCCCTCAGGGAGATCACTCTGCAGCCCACCAGGGTCCCTGAAACTGTGTTATTTCCCCCGGCCACTACTGCTGCTGGGCCAGGAAGGTAGAGGCAGAGGACTTGGGGCTGCCCGCTCCTGGCTGTCCCCCATGTTGCCAAGGAGCCCCAAGAGCTCCCAGCCAGCCTCTGCCTTAGGGTGCAGGTCTAGCAAGAAGAGGAAAGGTCCCCCTTCTCCAGCCAAAGCCCTGCTGCATTTCCTGTCCCGACAGCGGCAGCTTCCATTCCTTTCTGGGAGAATCCCAGTCTCAAACGTGAGGATCTGCAGCAGGCTTCATGGCCCCACCAGGCAGTCACAGAATAAGCCCCAAGTGCTGCATTCTGCAAAGTTTCAGTTCTTAAGCCTTAACTGTCCTCACCTTGTGGCATGAGGACATGCTGGTGTGGCATGAGGACATGCATCCCTGGGATAAAGATGCAGTGAATCAGGTTAGTCCAGAGTCTAACTGGAGAAAGGGAAGTCATAGACCGACTCATTCTCGACTCATATCCGTGACTTCCGCAGGGAACACACACTTCCAGAGAAGAAGGCTCCTGGGTATGAAGATGTGGGGAAAATCACACAAATGGTTAGTGAGAAAAAGATAGCAAGCTTTGCGTAGCTCTCATCTCACAATGAAACACTTAGGGTGTTGAGTCAGGAAGATTGGGATTGAGCCTTTTCCCTCCTATTTTTCAGTTACATGACTCTGGGAGAGTCTTTAAACCTCTCAAAGCTTCAGTTTCACCGTCTGACAAAGCAGTGTTTGGCCAACATTTTCTGTAAGGGATCAGGTAGTAAATCTTGTAGGCTTTGCAGGCCTCCGATCTCTGCCGGAATTACTCAGCTTTGCTCTTGTAGCATGAAAGCAATCACAGACAATCTGTAAATGAGCACGTGTGTCCACATTCCAATAAAACTTTATTTACAAATAGGCTGAGGGCCAGGCCATAGTTTATAAATTCCTGAAAAAGGGATGGTTACCCCCAACCTTTTGAGTGGCAAAGGACTGATGAGAGAGAACACGGGGAGGTTCTAGAAAGCATCTCCTTCCAGGAAAGTGGTATGCCTGTAAAATCAGCACACACTGTCACATCATACTCTGGATAGACCTGATCATTTAGAGAATCTCCACCAGTGTTCACGCAACCATAGGAATAACTGCTGAAATCCACACCTAAAGACGGTAAACTGAGCAGCAGAGATAACATGTGCAAGACACACAGCTGAGTGGAAACTGGAGGCCCCCAAGCTTCCACTGCCCCACTTCCAACCTGAACACCCTCTGTAGCTGCCTTAGCATAAGGTCTTGTTCCGGCCCTGAGACACCGTGGCCCTTCACTCCCAGAGATGTTGCTTGCTGGGCTTCTGCCCTGAGACATGCCTGGCCCTCGTCTTTGGATGGGGACCTACTTAAGCACCAACATAAAGCCTTATCCCCTGCTCACGTTGCCCTGGGCCTTGTCTTTTAGATTCTTAGACACCCTCCCCCAAAGCCTGTGTCCTTCACAGTTGACCTCTGCTTGATTTAGACTCCCAGCTGAGCAGAGACCTGAAGTTGGCTGTTTTCTTTCCACAGTGACTGCCGAGACCGGAGCAGACAGGCTGACTGCTGTCTTTGGCCCAAGTAAGCAGAGGGGCTTTGGAAGAGGGTAGAGTGGGATGCCGTGGAGAAAATCCATCTGCAAGTTCACACCCAGTTCTGGAGACCACTCTGGACAGGGCCTGCAGGAAAGATTATGATACCTGTTTTGCAGAACTTGTAGGAAGCGGAGGCTGAGGGAGGTGACCCAGCCAGTAACTTGCGTCTGAGGCCAGACTGCAGGTTCCACAGTGACTCCTGGTGCACCATGTCCTTCCCAAAAATAACTAGGCCAAAATTGTATCAGCAGGATCAACCTAACTGCTTGCTGATTAACCTAACTTTGCTGATGGTGACTAGTAACCCTAAATCTTTGACTAATCAATACACATACATAATGACGATTATTTGCTACTGGATAGTTAACGGGCAGTGACATTGATGAGGGCCTTTGATGTGCCAGCATATTCCAAACCCCTTACTTGTGCAGAATTATTTCTCCCTGGTCCTAAGACGTCCGCTCTTATCTCTATTTTACAGTCAGAGGAGAAGCTTTGAGAGGTAGAGTCATTTGCCCAGGCCAGCCAGCCTAGTAGCCCTCTGTTCCAAGTCTGTAGGTTTTGCTTTGGAAGAGAACAATTTGCCCCAGCTTAGCAATGATCCAGATTTCTGTATTTGTTGGAGCATTTTTCACATCGGTGAACTTCACAGCCTCATTTTCATGGAACACCTCCATGGACTTGAACTTGGAGTACATTCCATTTAAGGCAGTTTCCTCCTTTCCCAAGAGTTTTTAAGTTACCGTATCTAGCTTTTGGCCATCCAACCAGCCATGAAGTAATAATCTGGCATTGTGTTTAAGACTGTCAACTTCAGCCAAGCTGAGTTAGCATCTGTCTCTTTCTAACTGTGTGACCTTGAGTAAGTGACCTAACTTTCCTGTGTATCTTCTTCCTCATCTCGGAATGAGGACGGGCACAGTACTAACTCATGGAGATCCAGTGGGAAAGCCCTTGTTGCCATATCTGACATGCAGTAGGGATTGAACAACTAACTGTTCAGCAAGAACAACAATATAACTCATTGTACAGGGAAACACACTTGCAGCTTTTTGGAGCTCCAGAGCCAACAGCTTCAGCCACACTCTTCCATTGCCTCCATACTGCATGAACCTCTGTTCACAAATGGGATTTTCTGCCCGTATTCATTTTTCCTAAATTCAGGAGGAACAGGCATTTCAACAAACTCACTCACTTCCAGCCCAACAAGCTGCAGTGACATTTGCCTGCAAGGCTGTATCTGGCTCCAGTGATCTTGACATGCTATCCCAGGAAATCGCACAGTGCTAAGCAGACCAGGGTGACACCAAGGGCACCAGGCTTCCTGTGTCCAATGAGAGGGGAGGCACTGCTGGAGAGCAAGGGAGACAGACCAGGGCTGACACTACTTTCCCTCTCTCTCTTCCTTTGTGGCTGATCCAGACCAAGATGGAGAAGACACAGGGGCGGCGAGGGCTACCCCTCCTCCAGGTAAGCACACTCAGCTCCTCTTGCCTTGTCATTTTCTCCAGTGGATGAAATCAAGTGGGCTCCAAGGCAGCCTTGGGGCCAAACCCCAAATGGAAGAAACCATTGAAGCCAATTTATTTTACATCATTCTGCAATGAAAAGGTACACAAAATAAATTTAAAAATAGACCCATTAGCAGGAAAAAATGAAAACTTATCTGGTAAAGAAACGCATTTGGAAGAATATGGAAAACTGCAGTTGCCCATTGGTATCCATAGAGAACTGGTTCCAGGACCCCTGAGGATACCGAAATCCACAATGCTAAAATCCCTTATACAATGGCACAGTATTTGTATGGAACCCAAGTACATCCTCTGGTATACTTTAAACCATCTCTAGATTACTTACCATACCTAATGCAATGTAAAGAAGTGTGATATTGTATTATATGGGGATGATGGTAAGAAAAAAATCTATTCATGCTCAGTATAGACACAATTTTTTCCCAAATATATTTTAAAAACATTTATTTACTTGAAAGGCAGAGTTATAGAGTGAGAGGGAGAGTCAGAGAGAAGGAAAGGTATCTTCCATCTGCAGATTCACTGCCCAAAAGGTCACAATGGCCAAGGCTGGGCTGGACTGAAGCCAGGAGCCAGCCAGGTGCTTCATCTGACTCTCCCACATGGGTACAGTGGGTCAAGCACTTGGAACATCATCTGCTGCTTTCTCAGGTGCATTAGCAGGGAACTGCATCAGAAGTGGAGCATCTGGAACTTGAACTGGTACCCATATGGGATGCCAGCATTTCAGGGTACATCTTACCTCATTACACCACAATGCCAGCACCTCACATATATTTTTGATCCTTGGTTGCTTGAATCCATAGATGCAGAATCCATGAATAAAAGAGGGCTAACTGTGTTTTCTATTTTTTTAAAGATTTAGTTATTTATTTGAAAGGCAAAGTGACAGAAAAAGGGATGAGGCGAGAGAGGAAAAGAGAGAGAGAGAGAGGGAGGGAGAAGGAGAGGGAGAGAGAGAATGCTTCTACCTGCTAGTTCACTCCCCAAATGCCCACAACAGGCCAAAGCTAGGAGCCAGGAACTCTATCTGGGTCTCCTATATGGGTAGCAAGAAACTAAGCTCATGGACAGATAGGCACTGCCTCCCAGGCACATCTGTGGGATTGGAAGCATGGAGTTGCTGAGACTTGAACCAGGCATTCTGATATGAGATGCTGAGCTGTGCTTGGAGTTTTGGAATATCCCAATACTCTGCTATTGGCTGGATAAGAATTCCTCATATGGAAACATAATTTATTTAACTGATTATTTCAAATGTTTTGTTACTTTATTTTTTTTTTTTTTTTTTTTTTTTTTTTGACAGGCAGAGTGGACAGTGAGAGAGAGAGAGACAGAGAGAGAAAGGTCTTCCTTTTGCCGTTGGTTCACCCTCCAATGGCCGCCGCTGCAGCCGGCGCACCGCGCTGATCCTGGCAGGAGCCAGGAGCCAGGTGCTTTTCCTGGTCTCCCATGGGGTGCAGGGCCCAAGCACCTGGGCCATCCTCCACTGCACTCCCTGGCCATAGCAGAGAGCTGGCCTGGAAGAGGGGCAACCGGGACAGAATCCGGCGCCCCAACCGGGACTAGAACCCGGTGTGCCGGCGCCGCAAGGTGGAGGATTAGCCTATTGAGCCACGGCGCCGGCTTATTACTTTAAATAATTGTTATGCCCTTTCTCTATGTCCATCTACTTCTGATTAATTTGTTGGGATAGATACCTGGAGGTTGAATTACTGGATTAGGAATGCAATCTCTTTAGGGCTCTTGAAATGTTGCAAAATTGCCCTAGAGAAAAACTGAGCTGATGTGTACTCATACATGTATTCTGGTAGCCAATACTAGACACCATTATTTAAAAACAGAGGACAGGCATTGTGATGCAGTGGGCCAAGCCCTCACTTGGGAAGACTCTGTCCCATATCAGAGTACCAGTGCGAATCTCACCTATTTCACTTCCAATACAACTTCCTACTAATATACCTTGGTTGCAACCAATGATGGCTTAAGCACTTGGATCCCTGACACCCATGTGGGAGACCAGGATGGAGTTTCAGCCCCCAGGCTTTGGCTTGACCCAGCCCCAGCTGTTGTGGCTATTTGAGGAATGAACTAGTAGATGGATGCTTGCTCTTTCTCTCATTCTATTTTTCAAATAAAAAAAAAACTAAAAAAATAAAAATAAGCAAAGACTTCTATGCATTTTTTTTTGACAGGCAGAGTGGACAGTGAGAGAGAGAGACAGAGAGAAAGGTCTTCCTTTGCCGTTGGTTCACCCTCCAATGGCCGCCGCGGCTGGCGCGCTGCGGCCGGCGCACTGCGCTGATCAGGAGCCAGGAGCCAGGTGCTTTTCCTGGTCTCCCATGGGGTGCAGGGCCCAAGCACCTGGGCCATCCTCCACTGCACTCCCGGGCCACAGCAGAGAGCTGGCCTGGAAGAGGGGCAACCGGGACAGAATCCGGCGCCCCAACCAGGACTAGAACCCGGTGTGCCGGCGCTGCTAGGCGGAGGATTAGCCTAGTGAGCCGCGGCGCCGGCCTTCTATGCATTTTTAAATGTAAAAAGTAGCTCTATTTTTTCTTCAGTCCTCTGCTGAAAATCAAAAGTGGTGTTTTGGTCCCTGAGCTGGGCTGGCCGCACACTCTAGAAACTTGGAGTCAAACCCAAGTTCCCAAATCTTAACTGAATTTCCAGAAGTGCACAGTCAGCACCAGAAGTGAGAGGGCTGAGGATTGGCCTGACTGTTGTCAGGGATGCACTGTGACCTCATCATGAGCGGTCAAAGGGGCAAGAAGCAGGAACTTATTCCCCAATGGGGCAGGTGGTCCAGACGGGGGAATTAACACCAATTACCCTCAGATAAAGGGGGTGAGGGTACCTGACATTGGTTAGCACCAGTGATCCAGAAAGGTTTTCCTCTACAAGTGAGGGCTTCTGGAAAGTTCCATGTACTTCTAGAACTTTCCATCTGGAAAGTCTGTATCTTTGGATTCAATGTACAGTTGTTTCACACTCACTGGAGAGCCAATGATTACTATGGCTGTTTCCTAATTGCTAGGTGTTTAGCTAGAAGGACTCACAGACAAAAAAGTACTATGGATCTGTTTGTGCAAGTGGACAAAGCACAACGTAGAGTGCCTGTGTTTGCCCAAGGTTATACATCTAGTATAATGCTGAGCTAAAATTCAAACTCACTACTGCCTTTGTGAGTTTCCAGAAGCCAAGAGCATGGTATAAGGAACCTAGTAAACTGGTTTCTATCTGTGGGATGGGAGAACTGGGTCAGGTACCAACCGAGGAGGGTGAGATTGCAGCAGGACTTTGGTGCCATTGGAACCAGACTGGGGAGCAGGAGAAGGAAGACCAGTTGCAAAGAAGGAGAAGGAAGACCAGAGGCAAATCAAGAAGGTGGTCTTGGGGCAAGACTGCAGTTCTATGGCACAAAATGGCCTGGAATTACCCAGTGCTCTGAGCGCTGGGCCAGGTCAGCAGATTGGTGGGGCTGAACCTATACAAGTTCCTTTTCCTGGACCTGACTGAGCTAGGGATTTGGCCTGTGAGCTGCATAGTGCTCTGTCTCCAGCTAAGAGGGTAGGTAGAACTGGCATACCAGGCCAGAGGAGATCCAGAGAGACACTGGAAGACTGTGAGGGATGAGATGATGCAGGAGGAGGGCCAGACCTTGCACTTAATTCTGAGTACGATGAGCAGATGAGGCAATGTTTGAGCAATGAGATACAGGGCTCTGAGGGGGAGCTGTGCTTGCTTCCATCACTGTGCACCAGGAATTGCTTTAATGTCCTCACCACACCTTAAATGATCTATTTGTTCATTTTTGAGAGACAGAAAATGAGAATATGCTCCCGTTCACTGGATCACTCCTCAAATGCCTGCGATGACCTGATCAAGGGCAGGGCTGGAGTCAGGACCCAGAAACACAAACCAGGTCTCATGTGGGTAGCAAGGACCCAACTATTAGGCTCATCACCACTACCTCCAGGGTGTGCATTAGCAGGAAACAGAAGTCAGCAGTTGTAGCTGGGAATTGAATCCAGGCACTCTGATGTGAGACTCAACTTAGCTGGAGTGTTAACTACTGGGTTAAACACCTATCCCAGCCACCATTCTTTTTACCTCTTCACTTGCCATGAGCACTAGGATAGCTTCAGGCAGTGGCACATTATAGTAAACATGACCCAAAAACACACCTGGGAGTTTGTGAATGTTTTCATATGTGGGATGCTTCCAGCTGATCTAGCATAGGCTCCTGTCAGTGTTAATGTTTTCATAGAAACTTTGGACATTATCCATGGATCTAACTCTTGGATCCCTGAAAATATCCTTTGATGTCTATGTTTTGGTGTCTGAGCTATCTGTCTGCATTTGGCCTCAGCCCTGTGTCCATCTGCAGATCTCTCCTCAAGCCATCTGCTTATCTGAACAATAACCTTGTGCATTTTCAGAATCTGCAGAGATTGTTTCCACAGTGAAAGGCATACCTCTTGTTTCTGCCGGTGTTAAATCTTTGGGGTTGGCGATGTCATCAGTAGAAAGTAGTCCAGAGGAGACAACTGGAAAAGGTAAGCAAAACAAGCAGTCAGAGGAGCATCTGTCCTCTGTCCTTGGGAACTTTTGGATAGGTCATTGGCAAAGCACCTGGGGACACCTTATCCTACTGTGGCCTTCTCATGTTGCTGTGAGTAGAAGGTATCACCCCTTTCCAGGATGAGCACACTGAGGCTCAGAGGGGCTAAAACATGCCTGTGACCTTGTACTCTCCCCACTCTTACTAACCTACAAGGAAAGGTTGGTGCCATTGACTCCAGGGCTTATTGGAAGGAATGAAGCACTTGGGTCTGCATAATCCTATTCCTTGTCTCTCCTGACCGTGAAACCTTAGCAGATAACGTGGGGCGGTTTAAGATGGCGGAGCAGGGAGGGACCTTGCTGCTCTATTCTAGGAGAAGATAGTATAAAAGAAGTGGAAAGAGTGCAGTCTCAGAGAAGAGTTAGGGAGAAAACAGCAGAGGAAACTCTACACAAATTAAAGGAACACAGTGGACCTCCATGGAAGGCATGGATGCCCACAACTCAGGACCCCAGCAGCCGAGACCTCCACATCAGCACTGGATAGTGTGGTGAGACCAGACTGCAGCAGCCCAGACCACTGGCGATGAAGATTCGGGAAGAGCCCAGAGGGAATCTGGTTTGGAGCCCCGTGGGGGATACTGTACCTGCCAAACTAGAGAAGGAAAAAAAAAGGAGCACATTTCTTTCTCCCCGACCACCTTGCAACAGTGTCCTGTAACAAGCCAATAAAGAGCGGGAGTCATTTGGGACATAGGTAACAACTGTACCAGCTTGTTTTCATGTTCCCAGCAACCAGCTGAGTGGAGACTCCTGAGTCTGGTGGGGAGAACTGACAGGGGGCTGGCTGCTAGTGACTGTGGGAGACTTGTGTGTCGGGACTGTGAAAACACTGAGGCTGTGTGGGAGGACTCACCGTGTGGCTGGGACTTTGGGCAGTCACTGTGGAAGCTCCACATGCTCAGGGCTTCCTGGTTACCTGGTGAGGAACATTGCTGGGGAATCTGAGCTTACACTGAGAACTGCACAGATCCTTTGTGTGGTCCTTGGGGCAAGGCAGGTGAATTCATACCCACTGGGGCTAGCACTCAGGCACTGGTCTCCTTCAAGGAGAGGAGCTCAGTTGAGCAGAATAAACTTCTCTGATTTAGAGAGAGAGAGAGAGAGAGAGAGAGAGTTACCACCCAAACCTGGATGTATCCCTTTAATCCCTTTAGTTAAGCCCTTCACACTGGAGAACTGAACAGAGCTCCCTGGGCACACCCACCACAAGCCTCTGAGTATTCACTGAAAGCACACGCTCCACGAATCTACAGAGGCATAGTACGAAGATAAAAGCTGCCACAGCAGCAGCAGCAGCAGCAGAAGAAGAAGAAGAAGAAGAGGAGGAGGAGGAGAAGGAGGAAGAGGAGGAAGAGGAAGAGGAAGATGAGGAGGAGGAAGAAAAAACCAACAAATATTACCACAAATGCTGAATAACACACCAATTCAAGAAACAAGAATAAGTCAGATAAACAAGTCCCCCCCCCAAAAAAAAGAACACAACACTTCAATATTAGATTGTGAAGATGATGAAATTGAAGAAATACCAGAAATGGAATTTAAAAAATTGATCATAAGATTATACAGAAGACAAAGCACAGGAAATTGTATAGACAAAAAAAACAAGAAGAAATTAGAAAACTAAAAATCACTGATGGTAATCTAGAGGATACTATCAAATGACCCAACATACAGGTTCTAAGAGTTCCTGAAGGAGTCGAAAGAGACAAAGATTTAGAAGGCATTTTTAGTGAAATAATAACAGAAAATTTCCCTAATTTGGAGAAGGAAATGGACATCCAAATATACGAAGCACATAGAACCCCTAATAGACATGACCAGAAAAGATCCTCACCACAACACGTTGTAATCAAACTCTCCACAGTAAACATAAAGAAAAGATTCTAAAATGTACATGAGAGAAATGCCAGATTACTTTCAGAGGATCTCCAATTAGACTCACAGTGGACTTCCCATCAGAAACCCTACAGGCAAGAAGAATGGTGAGATGTATTCAAATTCTTAAGAGAAAATACTGTCAGCCCAGAATACTATACTCTGCCAAGCTCTCATTTATGAATGAAGGTGAAATAAAGATCTTCCATAACAAAGAGAAGTTGAATGAATTTGTCACCACCCATCCAGCCCTATAAAAGATGCTTAAAAGATGTTTCTGCTGCACACAGAAACAAAGAAGCATGGTCATCACTATGAAAGAATGTGAAGGAAGAAAATCTCCCAGTAAAAGTACAAAGAAAATCAAAAATAAACAATAGGAATATTAATGGAAAATAGCAGGGCAAAGTTGTTAACTATCAATAGTCACCTTGAATGTAAATAGCCTCAACTTTCTAGCTAAAAGATACAGGCTGGCTGAATGTTAAGAAACAAAATCCATCTAATTTGCAGCTTACAAAGAAAAACATCTCACCAACAAAGATATGCACAGATTGAAAGTGAAGGATGGAAAAAGATATTCCATGTAAACAGAAACTAAAAAAGAGCTGGTGTAGTCATCCTAATATCAGACAAAATATACTTTAACACTAAAACTGTTAAAGGAGAAGAAGTAGGGCACTATGTAATAATTAATGGATCAATTCAACAGAAAGATGTAACTATTATAAATGTATATGCACCTAATTACGGACTGTGTGGCTATTTAAAGGAAATGTTAATGGATCTAAAATAGACATAGGCTTCAATACCCAACTTTCAGCAATGGACAGATCAACCAGACAGAAAATCAGCAAGGAAACAACAGAATTAATCGACACATCCTACAGTTCCATCCTACACTTCCAGAATACACATTCTTCTCACCAGTACATGAAACGTTCTCTAGGATAGATGACATGCTAGACCATAAACCAAATCTCAGTAATTTCAAAACTATCAATATCATCCCATACATCTTCTCAGACCAAAATGGAATGAATCTGGAAATCAACAAATGAAGAATCTCTAGAACACATGCAAACACATGGAGATTGAGCAACAAGCACCTGAATGAACAGTGGGTCACTGAGGAAATCAAAAGAGAAATTAAAAAATTTCTCTAAACAAATGAAGATGAAAATACAACATATCAAAACTTATAGGATGCAGCAAAAACAGTATTAAGAGGAAAGTTTATAGCAATTGGTGCCTACATCAAGAAATTGGAAATACACCAAATAAATGAGCTATCAATGCATCTCCAGGATCTAGAAAAACAGGAGCAAACCAAACCAAAACTAGTAGGAGAAAAGAAATAATGAAAATTAAAGAAATCAACAAAATTAAATCCAAAAAAACCCACAAAAGACCAGTAAAATGAAGAACTGGTTTTTTGAAAAAATAAACAAAATTGACACACCATTGGCCCAACTAACCAAAAAAAAAGGAGAGAGAAGACCCAAACCAATAAAATTTGAAGTGAAAATGGAAATGTAACAACAGACACAACAGAAACAGAATCATCAGAAACCACTATAAAGAGCTATGTGCCAACAAACTGGAAAACCTAGAAGAAATGGAAAGATTCCTGGACACATACAACCTACCTAAATTGAACTGTGAATACATAGAAAACCTAAACATACCAATAACCAAGACAGAAATTGAATCGGTAATAAAGACCCTCACAACAAAGAAAAGCCCAGGACCCAATGGCTTCACAGCTGAATTCTACCTGACATTTAAAGAAGAAATAACTACAATTCTTCTCAAGTTATTCAAAACAATTGAAAGAGAGGGAATCCTCTCAAACTCCTTCTATGAAACCAGCATCACCTTCATTCCTAAACCTGAAAAAGATGCAACAGAGAAAGATAATTACAGACCAATTTCCCTGATGAACATAGATGCAAAAATCCTCAACAAAATTCTGGCCAATCGAATCCAACAACACATCAGAAAGATCATCCATCCAGACCATGTAGGATTTATCCTTGGTGTGCAGGGATGGTTCAACATTCACAAATCAATCAAACCCTGTGATTGTTTCAATGGATGCAGAGAAAGCATTGATAAAATGCAGCACCCTTTCATGATGCAAACTCTAAGCAAATTGAGTAGAAAAGGAACATTCCTCAACCAAATAAAGGCAACTTAAGACAAACCCACAGCCAGTGTCCTAATGAATTGGGAAAAGCAGGAGGCCTTCCCATTCACAATAGCTACAAAAACAATCAATTATCTTGGAATAAACTTCATCAAGGATGTCAAAGATCTCTATGATGAGAATTACAAAATATTAAAGAAAGAATTAGAAGCTACAAAAAATGGAAAAATCTTCCATGTTCATGGATTGGAAGAATCAATATCATCAAAATGTTCATTCTTCCAAAAGCAATTTACAGATTCAATGGGATATCAATCAAAGTACCAAAGACATTCTCAGATACAGAAAAAAAATGATACTGAAATTCATATGGAAACACAGGAGACCTTGAATAGCTAAAGCAATCTTACATAATAAAAATCAAAGCCAGAGGCATCACAATATCAGATTTCAAGACATACTACAAGACAATTGTAAACAAAACAGCCTGGTACTGGTACAAAAACAGATGGATAGATCTATGGAACAGAGTAGAAATTCCAGAAATTAATCCAAGCATCAACAACCAACTTATAATTGACCAAGGAGCTAAAACAAATCCCTGAAAAACATTCTCTTCCACAAACGGTACTGAGAAAACTGGATTTCCACATGCAGAAGTATGAAGGAAGTCCCCTACCTTACACCTAACACAGAAATCCACTCAATGGATTAAATATCTAAATCTACAAACTGACACCATCAAATTATTAGAGAACATTGGGAAACCCTGCAAGACATTGGCACAGGTAAAGAGTTCTTGGGAAAGAAACCAGAGGCACAGGCAGTCAAAGTCAAAATTAACAAATGGATTTCATCAAATTGAGAAGCTTCTCTACTGCAAAAGAAACACTCAGGAAAGTGAAGAGGCAACCAACAGAATGAGAGAAATTATTTGCAATCTATGCAACTAATAAAGGATTAATAACCAGAATTTATAAAAACATCAAGAAAGTTCACAACAACAAAACAACCAACCCAGTTAAGAAATGGGCAAAGGACTTAAACAGACATTTTTCAAAAGAGGAAATCCAAATGGCCAACAGACACATGAAAAAATGTTCAGGATCACTAGCCGTCAGGGAAATGCAAATCAAAACCACAGTGAGGTTTCACCTCAGCCCAGTTAGAATGGCTTTCATACAGAAATCAACAAGCAACAAATGCTGGTGAGGATATGGGGGAAAAGTACCCTAATCCACAGTTGGTGGGAATGTAAACTGGTATAGCCACTATGGAAGACAGTTTGGAGATACCTTAGAAATCTGAATATAAACCTACCATACGACCCAGCCATCTCACTCCTGGGAATTTACCCAAGGGAAATGCAATTGGTAAATAAAATTGTTTATCTGCACCCCCATGTTTATTGCAGCTCAATTCACAATAGCTAAACATGGAATCAACCTAAATGCCTGTCAACCTAAGACTGGATAAAGAATTTATGGGATATGTACTCTCTGGAATACTACACAGTGGTAAAAAAAAATGATATCAAGTCATTTGTAACAAAATGGAGGAATCTGGAAAACATCATACTTAGTGAAATAAGCCAGTTCCACAGGGACAAATACCATAAATTCTCCCTGATTTGTGAGAATAAAGCACCTAAAAGAAAATCTGTAGAAGTGAAATTGACACTTTGAGAAGCAATGACTTGAACAACCCTTGTCTTGATTGTTGAGGAACAGGTTTTTATTCTTCATACTATTTGTTGAACCCTTTACTTAACACAGAGTTAACCATATGTGTATATAGTCAATTGAAAATTGATCTCAATAAAAAAATAAGAGTGAGAGTAAGAGAGGGAGGAGGAAGTTTGTAACTGTAAAGCTATATAGTTCTGCATACATTCCTATGGACTTAATTCTAAGGGCACAGTTTAAACACTTGTCATGGGATCCCAAATCCCATTAAACTGGGTGGTAAAAATGTCATCTGAAGTGTTAAAGTGATCATATTAAGTGTTAAAGTGAAATTATAGATAGGATTAAGTGTTAAAATGATCATATAAATAGGCTCAAATGTCTGGTAATAATAATAGATAGAATTATAAAAGAGAGAATGTTCCAATATGGGAAGTAGTCCACACAGCAGACTCATAGGCTGACACTCACTTTAAGTAACACTCTGACCTCAGAATTGGCCCTTAATGCTTCCTGGTCTGGCTGAAAAACCCATGAGAGCATTTCAGGCATGGAAAGTCAAGACTGTGGCAAAAATGTTCTACATGAAGGATCTCTGTGAGACCCCAGCAGAAAGTGGCCATCAAAGAAGGATGTACTTTTCTCTGAAGGGAGGAGAGAACTTCCACTTTGCTTATGGCCATGTCTAAATACTGACAGAGTTTGTGGATTCAAAAGGCTTCCATAGCCTAGGCAGCTCATGTCAAAAGCCTCAGGTGATCACTGACATCATACATAAGAGTGTTAATTGCTAAATTGACAAAAGAAGTCACTGTGCACTAAGTTCCCATGCAGGACCTCCATCCGCAATGAGTTGTATTATGAGAGTTAGCTGTAAATCTTGTTCTCAATTTGTGTATGTGTGTGTGTGTGCATGTGTGCAAATTGTTGAAATCTTTACTTAGTATAGAGTTGGTCTTCAGTGTATAAAGTTAGTTGAAAATTAATCTTAATGGAGAATGGGACCGGGAATGGGAGAAGGAGGCAGGGTGAGAGTGGGAGTGGGAGGGTGGGTATGGTGGGAAGAATCACTGTATTCCTAAAGTTGTACGTATGAAACTCGTACTCCTTCAATAAAAGGTTTCTTTTGGGAAATAAAATCCTTACCAAAGGCCCTGTACCCTCAAGAACACATAGGGAGGGAGAAACAGAGGAAACCTGTGAAGATCTGACCTGGTCCTCCACAGTCTCCAATGCAGAGTGTGCAACATCTGAACACTGCAGGCAGAGGAGCAAGCATTGGAGGAGGAAGGAGACCTAGAGAGAGACAGAGAAAAGAAACCAAGGGCTCTGAGAGTCAAACTCAGCCACATGTGCGAAGCTGATGTGGTCTGAAAGCCCAAGAGGACAGGGCCTCTCCTCCCCACCCCCAACATGCTGGGCTCTGCTCAGTAACAATGGGGCCCAAAGAGTACCTTCAGTCATGACAACTCCTTATCCTATTAAAGGAGATCCAATAAGGAGTCTGTGAAGGAAGGGAAAGACTTGCTCTCTGAGCATCAGTGCATCCCAGACAATGGAATGAGCCCACCTGCAGTTTTCTCATAAGAATGTTGTTTCAAGGCACAGGAGAGAGGGTTTCCTGGTAGGACCCAGAGTTGTCCTCTTACAACCTGGAGCACTGCCCTCCTGAGAGTTCATATTTCCCTTCAGCCTGTAACAGACTCACCTTCCTGCACCTGGAAAGTGGGCACAACACACAGGTGATGCCACAGCTGGGAGAGATGCTCTTTTGCCTGACATCCCGGTGCCCGGAGGAATTCGAATTTTATGGCTGTTACTGTGGACAAGAAGGAAGAGGAGAGCCCAAGGATGCCCTGGACAGGTAGGCTGGGTGAGGGTGGCTGGTGCTGACACTGCCTGTGTCTGTGAGTGTCAGAATCCTCCTCTACATTGGATATCACTTTGACCTCACAAAGACCTAGAAGGAGCAGAGCCAGACAGGTACCGATCTTTCACTTTGGGAGCCTGGAGCCTCTTCAGCATGACCACAAATAGTGCCCTGCTGTTCTAGGAGGGTAGACTGCAAAGACTTTGAATATGACCAAGTCTGCCTATTTTGTAAGAATCCACATGAAAAACTGGGGTCTCCACTTGGTTTGCTCTATAAGAGACCACATTAAAATTAGTCTCTCTACAACTTTTAACGCCATTTTTCTTAAAGTTTCCACTTAGAAGAATTTTCTCTAACCTCATGCATTCATTAATGTATTTACTCATTTGTATATGCACCCAACCCATGTTTCTTTTTTATTATTTATTTATTTGACAGGTAGAGTTATAGACAGTGAGAGAGAGAGAGAGAGAGACAGAGAGAAAGATCTTCCTTCCATTGGTTCACTCCCCAGTGGCCACCACAGTCGGTGCTGCGCCGATCCAAAGCCAGGAGCCAGGTGCTTCTTTCTGGTCTCCCATGCAGGTGCAGGGGCCCAAGCACTTGGGCCAATCCCTACTGCCCTCCTGGACCACAGCAGAGAGCTGGACTGGAAGAGGAGCAGCTGGGACTAAAACCCGGCGCCCATATGGGATGCTGGCATTGCAGGTGGAGGATTAACCAAGTGAGCCACAGCGCCGGCCCCAACCCATGTTTCTTGATTGTTTGCTCCATGCCAGGCACTACGCTAGGCAGTGGAGACACAAATGTGATTAAACCCAAACAAACCAGGCCAGCTGCCTGTGTTCAATAGGGCCTCCCATAATGGAAAGGATGAAGAAATAAACAAAACCATCACCCCAGGTAACGATGATGTTGGGGAAACACAGGAAGCTGTAAAGGACTCAATCTAAGTTGGAAAATATTCTGAAAGCAGAGTTGAAAAAGTTTAAATGATTTATGTGGGGAATGCCTCACTCCTTGGCCCATTGAGAGGTCTACATTCGAAGGCATACATTCCCTCAAGCGGTGAAGCTGTTAGAGCAAAATCCACAACAGCAGAGAAAGTTGAAGCTAATACAAGGACACCATAGTGGCAGGAACGCAGAACGTGTCAGCTGCAGGTCAAATGCTGTCTCGATGGCTGCATGACTCCCCCACTTCTCCTCCACCTCTGCCACAGCACTTTTGCCCCTAATTCCACCCCTCCAGACTTTCAGTGAAGGACATCAGCGGCTGTGCTGCACAAGAAACCTTCAAAACTGACCTCTTACCGGAGGACTAAGGAAGATTTTACCTATCAGTGATGTCACACTATGGAATCATAAGCGTGTTTATAATCAGCAGCTCAACAACACAGCGTCTGCTCTTTGAGATAAAGAAAACAATTCATGTCACGATTCCTGTGTCCAAAGCACTCAGAGAGATAAGGCCAAACACAGGAATCCAGCCAGGGGCAGTGGCTGTACACTACTGAGCCCCAGGTGAAGGGAGTGGAGATGATTGTGAGGTGCTTCCTGGTGACAGAACCCATCGCAGAAAAATGTGAAATTTGACCAGTCAGGCAAGCAAGCTAGGAAGTGGCTGCTTTCATGTCCTTAGGAAGAAACTGAAAAACTAAAGGTCACAAGAGGAAACCCTTGGCTAGGAAGAGTTTGCTACAAGGACTATTTTCAGCACAATGCCAAGTCTACTGTACCTCATGCTCGATTTCTGTGATTTTCATGAGTATTGCGAACATGTACATTGTCTGACTCACTCACAGACTTCAGGTAATATATTAATTATCCACCCTCACCCAACCCAGCCAATGCGCACACAAGATCACCTGCTCTTTCGTACTAACAGCCAAACGGGGCAGGCAATGAGCTCCAGCCATTGTGAGCAAGGTGGCTCCTCCAAGGGCAGGCAGCGAGGACTGGAGGGTAAAGCTGACATGGGGCTGAGGACAAAGACTGTGGAGAAGCTGCGAGAGTGTGTGACAGTCCTGCCTGCGCTGTGCTAAGACGGAGTGAGCATTATGAAAGGGCAGGGAAGAATGGATTCAGGGAGCACTTGCAGCTCCCTGTTGGTTGCAGTCTAAGGATGTCCATCTGGCCAGAGCTGACACTGAGCTTGTGAGGCTAACTTAGGCCCCAATGGGTGAACTGCAAAAGCCAGACATTGATTCATTCCTTTGTCTCCTCTGAGGTTCTACTTGGCTAGACACAGCTCTTCATTAACACTCAGGTTAGTGACTTCCCTCTTAAAAGGCTGAGGGCAAAGAGGGTGTCCTTTGATGGGGATTAACTGTTTTATTCTGTAAAAGGAGGGAGTGGGGTTAGTGCCAACTCATATGGAACCTCTGGGTAAACTTAAAAAAGCTACCTCTTTTTCAAGACTCTTTATCTCCCTCTATTGGTGTAATAAATATGCAAATTGCTCTTTATCATCAATAGTCATCACAAAAATACAAGAAAATTTGTAAATAATCAGACGCATACGGAATGAAAGATGCTGCCCTACATGCAGTGTTTTGTGCAGTACACGACCCGACCAGCACCCAAGCCGGCTCTGGGTGTGCATGAGCCAGTCGTATGTGCACCGATGAGGAGGCACTGTCTCCTCCTGGGGCTACAGGGAGTTTGGGAGCAGCTGGCCTCAAGCGGGGACCCTGGGGCAGCTGGAACTCGGGTCAGTAAGGTTTCTCCTTGGTCTTAGGTGCTGTTTGTCCCACCACTGCTGCCTGGAGCAGATGAGAAGGCTGGGCTGCCTGCCCGAGAGGCTTCCCCGGTCAGCGGTCGTGTGCGAGGATCACACCCCCACGTGTAAGTGCTGTTCACCTGCTCCAGGGGTCACTGCTTCCTCCAGCTGAGCACCTGTCGGCTCACGTGTCAGACAGCTTCCCAGGCACTTCCTCCTCTAGAACGTGACTCAGCACTCTCAGAGCTCTGCGGCACACGTTATCACGCCTATTCCACTGCTGTGGAGACTGAGTTTCGGGATACCGGGTTGTGTAAGGTCACACGCTAGTTCAGAACAGGCACCGGCTCACACTTATCGAGCACACATTATGTGCAATTTTAAGTTATTTGGACCTAGGGACAGAGTTAGTCCTTGTGATAATCCTTGAGGTACCACTGTCACTCTTCCCATTTCACAGGGGAGCTAGGCCCAAGATCATACAGCTAGAAATAAGTGGTAGAATTGGGATCTGTACTGTAAAACCTTATTTTCTCAGACTAGAACTGACCCTTCACTATCTCAATGGGCTTCAAAGTACGTTTTCTTTTCCTGAGAACCCTTTTCCTCATACAAAGTGGGAAGGCTCTGACTGGTGCTCAGCCCCACTTCTGCCTGTGGTGGAACCTGGGGTCACATTCAGAACCTTAGGCAGAGACCAATATGAAAGCTGTCGTCCCAACCCTGACCCCAGATAAGCATCCTGCCTGACTGCAAATCAGGCTTGCTTGAGGACTGGCCTTGTCTACCTCCCCTGGCTCCACGCCCTCATCCACATCAGCAGATGTCTTTGCAGTTGAAAGGAAACGCCTCCCCTGCAAGTTCACAGGAGCCTGGAAGCTTCCTCCCCCTCCTCCTTCGTCGCCGAGGGAAGCCGCTGGCATGGCCTCCGGTGGATTCTCCTCCCTGCGTTGCACCCCTTTGGCACAGTGTGCCACCTTCTTGCCTTGCTCCACCATGCATGGCTCTTGTTCCAGGAGTGGTGTGCTTCCATGTCACTCACTCGCTCACTCACCCACTCGTTCCTTCAGCTGTTGACCCAGCAAACTTTCATCAGAAGTCAAGAACATAATGGGCCTACCTGATCCTTGCCTTGAATCACTCATAGCTGGGCAGGAAGACAGACAGGAGACCATTCTAATCTCACGTGACAAGGGCTAGCAGTTAGTACAGGTCCCTGGCTAGTGCAAGCAAAGGGGGTTTCAGTGTGCAGTATGGCAGAGAAGACCAGAGAATTTGGGAGCAGTCAGAAGAGGTAGCAAGGTGAGATTAGACAAGAGGTTAACAGGTTCCAGGATGGTCACTTTGGGCATGGATGTCTCAAGCAAAGGGAAAAGAGAAAGACCATGGTGTTTGGGGAATGCCTGGTATCTCAGAACTACTGTGATTCTGCATTGCTGGCTGAGGGGCTGGTGGTGGTGCAAAGTGAAAGCTGGAGAGACAGGAGCCACAGCATTAACCCAAAGCACCTGTGTGCAAGACTGAACTGTTTACAGCTTTGTCCCACAGGGGAGGAGGAGCCCTGGTGGGTCTAGAGCATGTGAGTGACAGGGCTGGATTGGTATTGTCACATGATGCAGAAGGTCTCGCCTGCTCGGCTGGAGCACCTTGTCTCCCCTCCACTACCCACCCAGGAGCTACTAGGGAGGGTGGTCACTGCACGAGAGCCCGCCCTCCACGAGCTGCGAGCGGTATCCTGCACGGGGGCTGCCAGGTGGTTAATGAGGAATGAGGGCTTCTCAGAGCCTGCTGTGTGTTGTCTTGACTCTAAGAGCAGAGCAGGATGGAGTGGAACTGGAGAACAGGGCCCGTGCGTGTCTCCCCTCGTCCTGCTGCTTCCCGAAGCTAAATGCCACCAGCATGTCTGTCACTGGTGTGGAAACCAGGTTAGGAGGTTGGGAGTGTTTGTGTGGTCAACAGAGAAAAAATCTCACTGAGGGACACTTCACAGTGGGATTAGATTTACAAATAAGTAAATATTTGTTTCATTGACAACTACAGATAACAATAATGATGACTGCAAAAAGCTTATCTGTGTCTAGCACCTTCCAACCACGTTATTTTCACTTGCTCACACCACCCCTACTGAATATAACTTAGACATTAAAGAAATTGGGCAGGTTTGCCAGATATGGCAAATAAAAATATATAAAGCCCAATTAAATTTGAATTTCAGATAAACAATAAATAATTTTTTAGTCTAACTCTTTCCTAGGCAAACATATTTTTAGATGTATCAGGGTACTTTGAAATGTTTTTGGAAAAAAATGAAATTAAAAGATTTTTAGGTGCAAAAATTTTTGAAAGCCAAATATATATTTTCCACGACCTTTCTGAAGACCTCAAATATGTATGGATTTCAAAATGTTTTTGCAACAAAATAAACTTTCCAATCCAGTGCCATGACCTTGCTGAAGTACCCTCAGATTATCCAAAACTCAAATTTAACTGCTCCTCTTGTATTGTTAAAACAAGGTGGTCGGAGTTTACATTTGACAGCTGGGGAGATGCTGGTTCAGAGAAGCAAGGAGCAGCAGTTTAGGCCCCACATATCTCCTGGGCACTAACACCAGAAACACTCTTCTTTTTATTTATTTTTTTTTAATTTTTATTTATTTATTTTTTTGACAGGCAGAATGGACAGTGAGAGAGAGAGACAGAGAGAAAGGTCTTCCTTTGCCATTGGTTCACCCTCCAATGGCCACCGTGGCCCGCGTGCTACGGCCGGCGCACTGCGCTGATCCGATGGCAGGAGCCAGGTGCTTCTCCTGGTCTCCCATGCGGGTGCAGGGCCCAAGCACTTGGGCCATCCTCCACTGCACTCCCTGGCCACAGCAGAGAGCTGGCCTGGAAGAGGGGCGACCGGGACAGAATCCGGCGCCCCGACCAGGACTAGAACCTGGTGTGCCGGCGCCGCAAGGCAGAGGATTAGCCTAGTGAGCCACGGTGCCGGCCGAAGAAACACTTTTCTAAGACAAAGTGAGGTGCTGGGATACATGGCTTCTGCCTTTAAGGGTCCCTGTGCAGCCCAAGGGCCAAAGCGAAAGCTAAGCAGATAGCGTCCATTGAGGGTAACTCAACCTGTGCTGACTGAAGCCTAGAGGGGATCTGAGGGAGCCCACAGGAAAGACCCTTCATTAAACAAGAGGCTTCGTAAAGCTTCCTGGAGGAGGGGTGCCAAGCTCGTCTTGCCGGACAAGCATGGATTAATCCAAGGAGAAAGCTGAGCATAGGACTTGCAGAGGGAGCCTTCCCAGTAGGAGAAAGGTGGACTCCTCCCCACAGCCAACGTGCCAGATGCCAAGAGCCAGCAAGGCAGAGAAGGTGGGGGTGAAGGGGAAGGGGCTCAAGGGGCAGTGTGGTGGCTGCAGCCGCCTTCCTGTGCCTCCCCACATTGCCTCATGTCTGCTGCTCTTGCTCTCTAAGGTGCTGGACGTAGCCTGTGCCAGAAGCTGCTGTGTGCCTGTGACCAGGTGGCTGCGGAGTGCATGGCCTCTGCGTCTTTTAACCAAAGCCTCAAGTCGCCAGGCAGGCAAGAATGCCAGGGCATGCGGGTGTCCTGTGAGGATGGCATGCAAGGAGGGCCCGCGGCCTCTTCCCTAGGCTCCAGCTCCGAGGAGAACAGCGAGGAGGCCACGTCCCACACGGAGGGCCAGAGAAGAACCAGAAGGTTTCTGGGCAAGTCGCTTGGTTCCCTGGGGACCAGGCCACTCCGTGGAAGATAGATTCCAGAGCATGATGAGCACACCCTGTAGGTCCACTCTTTCACTTCCTTACACCCTTTTGGCTCTCAGCCTCTCTGGCCTGTTGCAGATTTAGCAGAGGCTCAGAGGGAACTGAGGCATTGAGAACCTTGCCCACATGCATTGTGATGTTTGTCAACTCACATGCGCATGTGCAATGGGCGAAGGCAGACACGGGCACTTTATACTCACTGTAGTGCACAATAAATCCTCCAATCAACACGTCTGTTTTGCTTTTAAGAAATGTTTACTTATAGATGCTGGCACATGAGATGTCTGTAAAGGTGAGACAGAGCCAATGTAGGGCAAAGCACTCTGAGCTCCATGTCTGAAAGCTACTTGTTGTTAAAAAAATAAGAGTGTATTTCATCAGCTTATGGCACCACTGACAAGTTGCTAATAATTCCCCAATGATGTATGCTAAGGACTGAGATGACAGCTCTTCTAGTATCTGCCCTCAAAAATATTCTTGCCACCCTTGTCATTGAGTGGCCAAGTGCCAGGCAAGTACCATGAGGAGTCACTGTGTCCTAGACATGATTTTTTTAAGATTTATTTATTTTTATTTGAAAGTCAGAGCTACACAGAAAGAGGAGAGGCAGAGAGAAAGGTATTCCATCCGATGGTTCACTCCCCAACTGGCTGCATCAGTTGGCGCTGTGCCGATCCGAAGCCAGGAGCTTTTTCTGGGTCTCCTATGCAGGTGCAGGGGCCCACGGACTTGGGCCATCTTCTACTGCTTTCCCAGGCCATAGCAGAGAGCTGGATCAGAAGTGGAGCAGCCAGGACTAGAACCGGTGCCCATATGGGATGCTGGCGCTTCAGGCCAGGGTGTTAACCCGCTGCACCACAGCATTGGCCCCAGACTTGATTTTTTAAAACTTGGTTTGATTCCAGTGTCTGGAAGTTTGGGATCCAAATGCCTACTGTGACACAGGCAGTTTAATAATCACAGTGATTGTAGAAACCTGAAATTCCATCCACAAACCCACCAAAAGTGAGACTTAACTACAAGCCAGGCAAAAGGCAATGTGCTGTCAGAAGCTCTCTGCATGTCCAAAGAGAATACACATTTTCTCGTTCACATCACGTCTTACATTCCCAAGTCCCACAGATATGATACCAAATTTCCGCTGGCTCCCCAGACACACAGGAAAGCGGAACTTCTAAAGGTTCAGTATTTTCTTTTTTATGCCATGAAAATACTCTGAAGCTGGCAACACTGTAAGAAATTAAAATCTTGGTGCCAAACCAAGAGTTAATATCTTTCCCAACCTTTAAGAGAAACTGTGTGATAAGCATCTTTGGATGAATCCAACACTTCTGGAATCTTTCAACAATGTGAACTTACCAATGACCTAAATTTGGGTTCTCTCAGCTAAGGGCCCTTAGATAAGGACTTGGGGGCAAGTAGTTTATCTGGGAGATGAAGAAAAGCAGAGACAGCACCGTGAGGAGGGTGCAGAAATAAGCAAGGAGAGGCACCCGTGAAGGCTGTGTTGCTGTCAACTACCTCTGTGGGCAGCTGGAACACATACTACCAGAGGACTTTGGGAGGCAGGGCAGGATACACACTGCAGAGCCACCTCATCTGATAGAAAAGGAAGCAGAAAGCGCATGTGCACACGCACACACACACACACACACAGGAGGGAGAGAGATGAACTTCTGACAGTTAACACTCCTGGGCAGGATGCCATTTCCTTCCTCCCTACTGCACAGTGCAGGTAATGTAGGTGGGCCAGAGAGAGACTTCAGGCAAGGATATTCAAGGGCTAACAGTAGGCAACCAACCAGTGGGCACTAAAATGATGAGGGTGGAGGCATGAGCTGCAGCTAATCAACTGCTTCCTTTCTGGATCCTCCTTCCCTTCCTTTCACCCAGTGGGGATTTACTAAGTGTCCACGCCCAGGGGCAGTCACTGAGTGAGGCCAGCCACATTATGATGAGCATCTGCCTTGTCCACATCATTACCTGATGCAGCCGAATGCTGCTGGAGGAAAAAATGCAATGGGGCTGACCCATTGCACTTCAGGCCTATGACTACAAAACCTCAAATGGCTGTTCAGCCTCTGCTTAATTAGTTGATTCTCCTGCTCTCCGAGACAACTATTTGCTCCTTTCTTTTCTCTTCAATCTTCCCATATCCCACCTCCCATTCTCAGTTGATGTCAAGAACTTTGAAGGACTTGATATTTTACCTTAATTGCAACTTAACAAGTTAGTCTGCACTGCAAGGATGCTGGCAGAAGACAGGATGCTGCTTGGATCAGAGACCAAAGAGTTTATTACCTGCACAAGTGAAAACATTGGCATTGTTTTATTGTGTTCTGAGATAATGCAAAGAGGGACAGGGAATGCTCACACACACAGTAGTTTTCATTACATAGGAGAACCTTGAATTTAGGGAACCCAGATCTGTTAAGCCTGCCTTTGACCTTGGAAGAAACTATTATCATTATACACTGGACACTAAGTATTTTTGCCCTAGGCTCCAAATGGAGATGCTATGACTATCTTCCAAATTTTCTTGCTATACGTCATCCTCGAAGTTAGTCCAGAATAAAGGCAACGCCTTGGCTCCTGAGACATGCAGAAATGCAAGACACAGCAGGAATTGTTCAGCAACAATGACTTCCCTTAATCATCTGCCGAGGAAACTGAGTGCTCTCATCTTCCTGCCACCAAAGCTACATTCCATCTGATAGTCTTCCTGTTCTTCTGTTACAATTACAGTGTTCCTTCTCCTCACTGAAGGCCAAGTTCCCATCTGTGCTGTGCATAATGCCTTCATCTTCTTCAGGATTTGATTCCTGCAAGTATCTTCCCTTTGTTCTCTATTGATTTCTTTCTCTTGCATTCTGTGTCATACTAATCAGCATGCAAACATGACCTTAAGTCTTCCGTCTTTAACAGCTCTATTTTCTGATTTATGGTCCCATTTCCCCATTACTCCTCCAAAAAAGCTTCTCAAGGAATTGTATACAAGCCACATTTTTGTCAATCTGGCAAACACCATCACTCAACAGAAATTGCTGCTGTCAAGGTCTCAAATGACCTCCATGTTGCTAAAACCATTGGACACTTCTCTGTTCTTATCTCCCATCATCATCCCACAACTGACTATTGTTCCCTCCACCTTTTTGCTGTGTAGAACTTGAGTTTGTTGTAGTTTCACTTGATTACTTTTGCTTTTTTCCGCAGGTACTTTTGGGGTCATATACAAAAAATTAATTCCAAAGCCAATGTCAAGAGGTTTTCCCATTTTCTTCCAGAAGTCTCACATTGTGGAGTTTTAAATCTTTTACACATTTTTAGTTGATTTGTGTATGGTGTGGAAGGGGGTCCACAATTTATTTTGCATGTTGATATCCACTTGTCCTCACATCATTTTTAAAAAGAGACTATTTACTTCTTGGCCTTTTGGCTAAGATCAAGTGTAAAAAGAGACTATTTTTCTCCATTGTGTTCTTGGCTCATTTTTAAATACTATCTGATTATAAATCTGTGGCTTTTTTCCTTGGTTCTCTATTCCATTAGTTTTAACATGTTTTTAGGCTAGTATCACACTATTTTTTTTAAAGATCTTATTTATTTTTATGAAAGGTAGAGTTAAAGAAACATAGAGGAAAGAAAGGAAGGTCTGCCATCCACTGGTTCACTCCCAAAATGCCCACAATGGCCAGAATTGAGCCCATCCAAAGCCAGGAGCCAGGAGTTTCTTCCAGGTCTCCCATGCAGGTACAGGGACCCAAGCATTTGTGCCACCTTCCACTGCTTTCCCAGGCCATAAGCAGAGAGCTAGATCAGAAAAGTAGACGGACACAAACTAGGGCCCATATGGGTGCCAGTGCTGCAGGCAGAGGCTTAGGCTACTATACCATGTTGATGGCTCCTAGCACTATTTTGTAAATTATTATAGTTTTGTAATATAATTTAAAGTTAGGAAATGAGATTCCTCCAGCTTTGTTTTTCTTGCTTAAGTTTCTTTGGCTAACCATGATTTTCTGTGGGTCCATGGGAATATTAGGATTGCTTCTCTTTGTGTAAGAAGTGTCTCTGGAATTTTCATAGGGACTGCATTCAGTTTGTAGCTTATTTCTGGAGGTATGGACATTTAGATACTGTTAATTTTGCTAGCCCATGAAGGATGTGTTTCCACTTATTTGTGCCATTAATTTGCTTCATCATTGTCTCATAATTCTGAGACATGCTTGTTGTTGTTAATGTAAACATAATGTATAATGCAAGTAAAATCTGCAGCTGCAAGCTAAATGCTCCAAGAAAAGTGAGAACAGAGCCTATGTTCATGTTTTGCCTGCAACAAAGAACACATTATTTTGGCAGCACCGATCTTTCTTAGCAGGAACTTAAGGGTGCAGGGGTCATCCTCTTAAGGCTGTGCCCTCGAGTTGTTGAAGCTGTGCTTGTGCTTGTCCAAGTCCCTTAAGGAGTGGAAGAAATACTTGTGAGTTGTATTTCTCACAGGGCAAGGATGAAGCCTAGCCATGAAGGGGGCTCTGAGGAGTCTCACTCCAGCTTGGCCAAGGAGAGAGTCATTGAGACACTGTCTTCCCTCTTCCTACAAAGTATTGGTGTCTGTCTTATTGAGAATTCAAATTTAGTTCAAACTTTCCCACAACTTCAAACTCATTTCTCTAAATAATCTCTTCAATGTTCATTTGATTGTCTTCAGGTATCTGAAAGTTAATTTAGCCAAAACAAAACAAAACAAAGCCCACCCTTGAATTTCAGCTTTATGTATCCCGTCAACATGCTGTTTCTCCACTCTCTCTGCCTTAGGGAATGACACAGCCAAACACCAAACATGGTTTAGCCCACAACCTAGGAAGCTGCCTTAACCTGTCCTTATAGCTTTCCAAAGCCATCGATCAATAATCTCTCTGGGCTCTACCTCCCTTGGTCTCTATTTCACCAGCAACGTCCAGCTACTCTGCTGCTAAGCACAGAGTAGGCCCCGGTCCTGTACTGTCCTGCCAGGCATAGCAGCATTTAGACCAAAAGGTCTTCACGGGTCTTTCAAAGGGATGCCAAGTATTCATGTAGCTTGGAATAAAGTGGTAGCTTGAGTCCTATCTTGTTTCTTGTTAATGTCTTCCCAAGAAACATGCGCTGGTGGGGTAACAGCAGAACAGCAGGATTTAGGCATTCTGAATGTTGGTAATAAACATGATAATAAAAAGTCTAGTAAAAAGTCCTG